TTTTACTTTTTTTTTTTTTTTTAATACTATGGCTCATGATGCTAGCTAGTGGTTACCAGGAATGAACGAGGGCAAAGTTATTGGCTCGGCCGACAGGGCTTTCGAGCCTGCGTGATGTACACAAGGGCGCGGTAGAGATTGATCATACCATCAAACACAGATTGTTACTGAAGGAGGTTCTTACGTACAGAATACAAACGCTCTCCGTCTAGCTACCATTCAACAGTATCGATAAACTCCATGGCTACACGCCGTGCACTACACTCGAGTGTGGTCGGGTTTTTGGTCGGATATGCTTAAATTATCGGTACCCAAGTGTTTGTAAATTCGCTGTGTATCCCGTAGGAAAAGCTCGGGGAGCTAAGGATTGGCATGCCGGATCTCATCTGTACCAAGTGAACCTAAGAGAGGAACGTCATGATCCGTTGAAGAAACTCGATATACTTGCGTTGTCCAGAACAATTATTAAAGGATGTATTGCGACCGCTACATATGAGCCATGTTTACGCACAAGTTTTAACTCTCCATGTTGAAAGGTATTGATTATCGTCTCTATATCTCATCCAATCTGTACCATTTATGGGACATCGTTTGAAGACAACACTTCCAAAAATTCCAAAACGCTAATAATTGAAGTCCATACTTCAATGCAAAAAAACGCCGTGTCAACCATACTGAAGGTTCGCATAAAACCAGTTTGTGGTTTTTTTTTGTAAGTCCTCATGATATGAGAGACATCAAAGGATATCATCGCTTATTGCCGAATGCATCAAATCGATCGCTCGCTCGTGCCGTGTGCTTTATACATCATTTCCCCCCATACTACTATACCCGCTGATGGCACCCCCTGCAGTGGCAACTGAACTTCCTGTCGTCATTTTGGACAGGTCAGAAGCCTTGGCGCTCGATTTGCGCCCAAAAACATGCTGAATTGGAGCAACGGCCTTGGCCGACTCCACAGATGTGGTGCAACTCTCATCGTCGTCTCCCTCATCGTCGATATGTTCATCCTCCTCATCATTGGATGATAGATCCCCGTTTGCCGAGTATGCATACGACGGCATCTTGTGTGGCGGAGCCGTGTCGTCGTCGTCATCACTACAATCCGAGCCAGTTGTTTCAAACGAGCTTGAATTGGCCCCGAAGAAGAAAGATGGTGGAGGTAGCGGCGCCGATGGAAGACGCTCAACTTTGCCACTCAAATATACAATGTTGACTCTCGGTTGCGCAACTCCTGCCGGCGTCGGCGAGCACGTGGACAGTGCGGCAAGTCGTCCTGTCATGGACTCCGTAGTGTCTTTGGACATGGTGGTTTCTTCGCTGGAGGTCTTTGCAAATGTAGGCCGGCGATGCACCCCAGTGGGTTTGAGACGCTTGGGACGACTCGTAGCGACCACGACGACGAAGTGATCCTCAGGAGAAACACCACCAAGACCACTAGCCTCGAGATTTGTGAGTTTTGCTGACTGCTTTGAATTAGACCACGGGAAATCTGCCTGAATCTCGTCCGTCGTGTCAGTGTCCTCGGAGGCTCCATCCCGATGCTTAAAGTCCAGGTCCATCATGGATCTGTGGGATGTAAAATTGCTCAGTGGTTTGAAGGGGATGGAGGACCCGGAGCCATGACGAATTAGCTCTGGTGCCGCGGATGGCTCAGAGGAGGTGGTGTTGTAAGAAGAGTCGTTGCCGACATCTCCCGACAAATCCGTGCAGAAAGGAGCTCCAGTATAATAAATGATGGCACCGTCACGGCGTCTCTTACGCTGAGAGGGGCGGGAAACGCCGCTGTAGTTCCACCTGGAGTTCATGCCCAAGTGACTCTCTTCCGGAGGACCAGTTGATGAACCCGACTCCTCATCAATGGATGGCTGCTCATCGGATGATGATGTCTGGTGATGGGCGAACATGGGCTTGTAGTGAAACTCGTCCGAGGAACCCGATGCTTGATGACCAAACTTGGAAGGCTCGGACGTCATGGCCTCATCACCACCGGCAGGTCGGGACTTCTGTCGCTTTCGCTGATCATTTTCATTAGACCCATCAGTGTCGGGGCTCGAGCCTCCATGCTTTGAATTGCTACCACTGCTGTCACTGCTGAATCTGGTACCCTCACCGCCGCCTCTCCAACGCATCTTGCGACCATCGGGCGAGAGCTGAAACTGTTTACTCTTTTCTGCAACAGCGGAGCGGATGAATGCTGGTGTAACGTTGAACATGTGGAGCTGTGCCATACTACACAAGAGATTGAGATATACCCAACCTTCGGCATCCACCGACACATCCTGGGCCGAAAATTTCCGAGATTCGGGCGCGTGCAGCCCCAAGTGGCGGATATAGTTCATGTTTTCGGCCGGAACGGAGGGACGATCGGGATCCAAATCTTTCGGCCGAGTCGGGCGCTGATCCGGAGCCTTCGCGTCGGGTGGGGACGTCCCGTTGTCCCGTTGTCCAGAACCACCACCCGAACCGCTAGCGTCACCCGTGTCTCGAGAAGTCGTTTGGTCTTCAGCAGAGTTGGACGGAGACACATTATGCCGAGAGTGACTCTTTTGTAAACATCGAGGCAAAATATGGGCCTCGCGGCTGGCTTCTGCTGGCAGTGCAGCCGAAGTTGGACCTTTGGGGGGTTGTTGAGACTTGTCATCAGCACCAGACAGCCCTGACATGTCAACATCGTCGGTGCCAGCTGGCACAAGTGAGAGTGAGTTGTGTCTAGCGTGACCCAAGTTCTTGCCAGTAAAGATCTGCTCCAAGCGCCGCACGACTAGCTTCTTCTTCTCCTTCTCACTCAATAGTATGCTCAGGTTGGGTAGCAATCCCTCGGGAATGTCTTGCAAATAACGCTCCACCGTGTTGTCGGACTTTTGACTGGATAGCTTGCTCGGCAGTGATGGAACTGAAGACCCGACGCCTGTCGACATCGATGCATACGCTGAGTCAGTTTGGTTGGGGCGGCTGTTGGAGCCCGATGAGGATGATGCGTGTTTTGACATGACAGATTCCAGACCCTTGTTGCCTTTGGACTTGTCTTTCCGACGTGCGGGAGATGCGCCGGCACTAGATCCATCGAGGCTGGTTGTGAAGTCACGTAGAGCAGCTTCTAGTTCTCTCTTCTTTCGACTGGGCAGGCCGTGGACCTTGACCTCAAACAACTTTTCCCGGCGGAGCGAGTCTGGACCCATCTGGCGATAGCGCTTCAACTCCTCCTTCAGACGCTTATTCTCAATAGTAAGATCGTCAATGACGCTCCGGTAGTCATCGGCGCTGCTGCTGTGTGCAATGCCAGGGCGCAGGAGCCCTTGACTGTTGTCTCGCATGAACCGGTAAGCTGGACTCTGGGACGGCACCAGATTAACCTCCTCGTTCGAATCATCCGATTCCTTCTGGAAGAAGGGCGGATCCACGTCCATCGATGCCCCAGCCGTTGTGGGGTGGTTCTGGTTGGACTGCTCATACCATTGCCTCGGATCGCTAACCCCAGTTTCATGGCTCTCCCCCGAAGAATTCCGTCGCGGGGATTCCGTAACAGAGACTATTGGGATGGTTTGCTTCGTCGTTCTTGCCAATGCCTGCTGCTTCTCTAGATTTCGCTGTGAAGCTTGACGAGCCATCCGGTGATGGCGGAGGGTGATGGAATTTTCGGGTGACGTGCGCCGAGGATTTGTATAGGTTACCGGCGGAGGCGTCGAGCCTGCTGGCTTTTTACCGGCGTCGACCATGGTGGTATCATTGGAGCCTTCTTCAACAATTTCTTGGGGGGTGGATTTTGCGACGGAGTCGGTCATGAATGTCGCAAGTTGAGTTTGCTTCCTCTTCTATCAAGTGATACTCTCATGTCAGCACGTGCGCCGATGATGGTGTTTCTGGGGGTGGGTCGCCAGAGCTCAGTTGACAGGTTTGCGAAGTGGGATGGGACGGAGAATCGGATACCGGCCATACAAACAGCTTGGGCACGAATGTCGTCGTGGTAGTTTTCTGGCATGATTGGATAAGGCAACGTGCAGCACATTGTCATACGTACATTTCCGTGTACTTTCTGCTCAAGAAAAACCAAATTTGTTGATGGTGCTTGGCGTCTTTTGGTGGACCTGAGCAGAGGGGTTGTTGGTAGATCTGCAAGGGGGGGAGGTAGGGACAAGTAAGAATAAGAAAGAAAAAAAAATGGTATAATTGGTAGAGTGGGCGCTATTCGGAAGGTGTCGGCAATGGCGAGATGGACTGGTGGGGCATCAGGTTGTGGTTTTTGCGATCTTGTTGGTTGGTTTGCCGAGATGAATGTTGCGAATAACCTCAGCTGTGGTGGTGGAGGTGCTATTTGGAGGGAAGATGCAGCAAGTTGCAAGTGGAAAAGCAGTCGACAACGGTCAACAGATATGATCATGGGTATAGGTACGACACCGAAAATCCAGAATCGGTCGATTGCATCGAGATTTCTGAATTCGCGATGCCAGATTACAGTGAGTGCTGAGATGCATGGCTTCAGTTCATATTCCGCGCCTGCTGATTTTACCACCGAAGCTCAATTGCTGCTCGATCGCGGCTCGATGGCAATATTCTGAAGATCGGGACTAATAGGTGAGGATCAGGGTCCTGCATCTGCCTTTGGCCAAGACTTGGCTAATCGAGCCACGCAGGCGTAGACTGAGCGAGCGTCGAGCCAATCAGCGCTGCCCGTCAGCAGGCCCAAAGCCTGGGCCTTTCTTCCCCGGACGTGAGTCTAGAATGGGGTCGTGGTGGGGATGCGTCAAATGTAGATTCTACCAGCGTCCGCCCGATCGCACCGCGAAAACACGCCAAGGTAAAGTGTAACTGTACGCCACGGCAAGGAAACTGCTGGGACACTGACGAAACCCACCCAGACTGCCAGCCCTTTTCCCTCTTGCCATCGACGATTCATCCCCCCATTCGCCGCTCCCGTGAACCTGATTGGGCACCGTGCTCCATCCTATGTCATCACAACAGCACAACTCTACACATCCTTCTCTTTCGCCGACAAGTTGGGTAGCATTTCTTTTGTCATTTTTTTGTCTGTCTCTAGTAGATCAGGTCGATCAGGGTCCTCCAGCCCTCTTGGGGGCTTGCTCGGGTCTCAGGAACAAGCCGGGAGATGGTGATACCCCAGGACCCCTCTTCCGTCACTCGACGTCAAATCTGACTGTTGAACAAGGTGGGATCACGATCTCTGCCGAAGAAGCCTCTGGAAGCCTTACCAGAAACTTTTAAGCCGTGCCTCGACTTGGAAACCAGCCATGAATATGAATGGATGCAACGGAAAGTTATGCCTACGTACATTATCAATGATCTGCTGTGAGCCTGCATGCCTGCTAGTCCATGTACATGGCAACATGGGAGGAGAGGCATCCGAAGAACGACTTTACAGACTAATTGCTAGCACTTCCCAATACAGAAAAGAGTGGAACGAAGGTACTGTGCATTGTGAACAGCCTTTTCTGGCTTGCCTGAATCTGCTCATAGCCCTTCCATGAGAGAAAGGCTTGAGGGGCGGGAGAGGCAAGTATGAGCTGTTGTTAACAACAATCGAGGCAGCTCCGGCTCGTAGTCGACTCGGACGGTCTGTACCTTGTTTGAGCGGTTCCAGGCCTAAAGCTTACTCTGATTGGGCCTAGACTTGCCTAGCAGGCCACACTGCTACCATCCAGTACGGAATACATAACAGGAATACTATTCCCTGAGGCCTCAAAAGAGGTAAAAAGGGAGGCTCATATGTTTGGCTGCAGATTGCTTGGGAATTCGATGCGGCCTTTCCGTTTCCCAGCCTGCCTTAGTTAGCGGTTCGATGCTCTGGCTAGATGAGATCGCCCGTTCATATCGCATCGTGGAGCCTTTAGGGGTTTGCATTCATCTACATAGTAGCTCGTACAGCGATTGCGAGATTCAGATGTAGCCCAATACGTGAGTAGGGCAATCCTCTGCAGCCAATTCCGTATTCTGAATCATTAATGCTGTTCTGCTCTTGACCCTTGAGAGTCATTCATTTATTTTAGTGGCACTTGAGATCCATATCATAAAGACATTTCTACAAGCATACGGACGATTCGAATGCATAAAGTTTATGCCAGAGCACAGACGCATATTTCACTGCCCGTATACTATACATACATGCAAACTAGTGGATGCAGCCATGCTATAGCCAAAGATATACTACAACAACCCCATTAGCCACCATTGTGAAATCAAACCAAAATAGATCAAACATGATCAATAAAGGCTGCTGCTGGGATGTGGTCTTTACGGACATAAGCAATTCCTAATTCATCTTGGTCGCTGATCTCGGCTTGACATCTGTGACTGACTGGGAAGGCTACGTTGGAATAGTGGCAAAAGCCGACTCCTGACAATATCGGGTTGCAGTTGTGAACCACATGGCTTGCATGGATCCATCAGAAAAGTCGAGTGCACATTCTGAAGTTTTAGCATCCCGTGGAATGGCATTTCTGACTCGCTAACATCGGATTCTCCTCTACTTTCCCATCTGCCTATAAAACCAGCATCCCCTTCCCTCCCCGATCTCCAGGCCGTCCCGCTGTTCTCGAGATCGGGAGCTCAAAGCTGCACACTAGGACAACGAGCCACGGCCAAAACACTCCGGCTCGAAGCCCTTGCCATTCACTGCTTGACTGCATGCCACCCCTTCCCTTCAACGGATCAGTGGTGTCTGAGTGGTCGCACCGAGCGAGATTTCAGGAACCTCCACAGATCTCGCCTATCTCACCAGTCGCCTCTCAACTCGACACGACACTTGTTGTTTGGGTGCCGGAATGATTTCCCCCCACTCATTACTGCTGCCACTTTGCCACCCAACCACCATTGCGGTAGACTCCACGCCGCACAATTGGGTATTATGAAAGAAAAGCTCCGAGAGAACCAGGGGGCCGCAGGGGACGATCTCTTTGTAGTTTTCACACGTACCTGTCAAGCCGTGCAAGCCTGCCACGGGTGAAGCCGAGGACCCGGGATCTTGTCTCCGGCACGACTGTCCGAAGCCACGAGTGTGGTTCTGGTTTCTCCTATAACACGGAGTAAACCCTCCACGCAAAATGGAAATCCCGTGCTTCTGGAGCAGAGAAAATACAACAAATAGAAGGGGCCGGGTGGCAAACCCCCCTCCAATCTTTGTCGATTTCTGAATCTCGACTAATTTCCCTCAATTGACTAAGGGACAATACTGAAGTCAGCACTGGCCATCAAACTCTTGGTGCTGCTAATACTCACGATTCGGATTCCCGATAGAACTTGTGGATATCACGACGTGGCGGCTTCGTGGGCAACAGTCAAACTGGAAGCGGAGAATATTGAAAGACACGCCATTCGAATCATATACGGCTGGTCGGTTCATCCTTCGCGCTGATCTCTCTCGCTTTAGGTGCGGATACGATACTGGCCTGAAGAAAAGCCAGAGGGCGACTGTATCCTGCCGCCACTGCCAAATTTATTCAATTCTATACCCGACCGACATTGCCATGCAGCTTAATGGATTTCGAAAGCGGGGTGGCAAGTAGATCCGACTCATATGCTCGAGCTCACTTTAGAAAAAAGCTTTTCCTCTTGTCTCGTACTCTTATCCTCGTTGATCACTGATCAGCGTACGCAACCATGACAAGCATGAACTTATCATAAAGGAAGCATTTAGTATTGCATACAAGTTCGGCGATCTCACGTGCTCTGAGGTATAATTAATATCCCGGATTTCCGAAAATACCTGAGAATCATTGAACTCAATAGAAACCAATGAGAGATCAATTGCTTATGATTTTGTACGTTGCCAAGCTATGTCGAATATATTCAATCGTGACCATCAAGTTGAATATGAATCGCTAAATATTGAAGAAAAAACACGCGACACCATCCATAAGACTCGCTAATGGCCTTAACAAATGAACAACAAAAACCCATATTGAATCCAAGCAGTATCGGGGCGGTTCTGTTTCTCTTTCAGATTGAGCGTGGTGGTATTTTAAAACGTTTTTTACAAGTACATGCATGACCTCGAATCTCAACAACTATATATCACATACAACGCCAGCTACGCCTCCTGATCCATCTCCATCTTTTCCGTGTCGCGTCCAATTACAACGAATCTTGCAAGAAAATCTTGAACCGACCATGTACATTTCCATATCACAATGCGAATCATTTCAAATCATTCCTCGCCGCCGCAAACTCATGCTCCGGAGTAAACGGCAGTGACATATCGTCCACACTCAACCCTCTGCTCCACGCTGACTTTTCTGGCGTTGCCGCCTTCACCAATTTTTGTCGTTGTTCTAGGCGTGATTTGAAATCGGTGCTCTTCCCCCTTGCGACCCTTTTCTGCATCCGCTGCACCACCATCTAGTGGCCTCAAATAGATGGGCGAGTTCACATTATTTCGTTTGCCAGTGCCCAATTGGTAGTGCTCATTTCCGCCCCACCAGACAATGTCGGCACCCCAGTTGGTATCGTTGACTGTTGAGGCCTTTGCTGAAGTATCAACTGAGGTCACATTGTCCATCACAGCGGAAGCGTGCGTAGATCCGATGCTGAGACGTGCCAAACGAATTGGAACAACGGTATTCTTCTTCTCATCCCACTCAAAAAGACCTGATAAAGGCTTGATTTTGGTAGGACCGAGGGATACATGTGTCCATCGCCCATTGCCCAGACTGCCGTAGATTCCCGAGCCACACGCCCAGGTGTCGGCCGTGACCTGTCCAAGATTCCTGGCAGGTGCAACTTCCATCTTTTCCTCTTTGCCAGGCTGGCCAGCAATGCGGGTCGCGTCAACCGTGAAGAACGAGTTTGCACCGCCGGCAGCAACGGACGTCACACGAGGTCGCTGATTCGTTCCTTTGTAAATGGTAGTAAAAGGAAGGGGAATGGGTCCGTCCACGAACGGAATCTCCTTCTCCGGCTCAAATCCAAGCTGACCGGAAGAGTTATCGCCAAAAACAAAGACCTTGCCATCCTTATCTAATGCCAAAGAGTGAAAATCTCCAGTAGCAATATCAGATATTTGGAATCCCTTCAGCTGGGGAATCTCGTGGGGTTGGTCATAAGGGCCCTGCGGGCGGGTCGCCCAAGTAAGTCCTGGTATACCAAGTTGCCCGTGCGAGGGAAACTCGGTGTTGCTAGAGGCAGATGAGAATAGGCGCCCCTTGTTGGTAAGTACAAGTGCATGGTCTAGGCCCGATGAAATATCTGTCACACGTTCGCCCCAGGCCAGGTTTGGCACGTCAAGCTTGCGGTATGATGCTGTCGAAGAGTTTGACCACAGTCCAAGCCATGATGACGGCTGCTCCTTAGAGCTGCTCGATTGGTCAGTGCTGGAGACGGGCAGTGTATAGATTGAACCACCGTTGCTCAGTGCCAATATGCGGTCTCTGGAAATCGCCAGCTTGACAAGATCCTTGCCCTTGAGGGTGACGACGGGCTTTGGGTCCTTTTCTGAGAAACCTGCCCCCCACTGAACCAAATCACCCTTTTCCGTGACAGCAGCACCAAAACTGCGATCCAACTTAATATCTCGAAGTAGTTGCCCATCAAAGTATGCAATGCGTCTGGGTGTTTTAACAACAGTCTCAGGCGAGTCTGGTGCGGCCACGCGGCCGGTATTGGAGCCCCAAGCATACACACCCGGATGTTCCCAGCTCTTCCTCACTTGCAAATGCTGGCTACTGATGATATCCCTGTTGTCCTCGATCGTTTGAGGGGTCGGTCTCTGTTTTTCATAATGGATTGTCGCATGGCTAGGCTTGGCGGGTTCCGTGACAAAAGCCGGATATATAGTCACAATAAGACCAGCTCCGACGAAGGCTACCGCAGCTCCTGCGATGAACCGGCCGGCGCTACCTCCCGGTCCCCCCAAAGGCCGACCACCTCCTCCAGAGCTGGCGTGTCGCAAGGTCTGTCGTCGAAAAGCCGGCGAACGAGACACGCCACGCGAGAGGACGGGCGCCTGGCGCATTGAGAGCCTATAAGGCAACAACATGTCGAGTATGGATGCGCTTCAGGACGAAGCGATTGTTGAATGGAAAAAGAAAAATTATTGTGGCCACCGAAATAAGAAACTTAACATAATCCTGAAATCTTTCACGAAAACACACACAGCAAAGTGGTGTCTTTTGAGCTTGAAGACGTTTTTGGCAGGGTTGAGAATGGTGAGGTCATGAAAATACCTTCATCATCATTGGAAGAAGCTCTAAATCTTTAGCCCCACTTTGCGATTCCTAGAGCTTTAGCGATACCCAGGCAATTGCTGCAGGGTCTTCCGCATCGAGCTTGCTAAAATGTTGCCAGTTTGAGAACACAGAGCCCGCAGACTCCACTAAAAGAGCATTGGAAGAGCTTCATGTTCAGCGGGGGCCGGCCAAAATTGAGCTCCGGCCCGTTGCCCCTGCCTTGAGACACCTACCGCGGTGCCCCCCACTAAGGAAATATGGCCTGTGCCATTTGAGCTCCCGTGCCGATGTCGACTCTCGCGCTCTGGGCTATCGTGGCATATTCCAAGTCAGGTGGGGACCGTGAACTGCCTCCAACAACGACTTAGCTGAGCAAACAGCACTGTCCTTCAGGATGTACGAGGATTCCTGGTACAGCTTCGTCCCCGAAGTGACGCAAAAGAAGACACCTTCTATCAGCCAAAGTACTGGCCACAAAAGACGCGAATCTCTCTTGCAGCCGCTCAATGTTCGTGCTGGCCCTTAGCACCTTTAGCTGACAGCAAGGATTACGACGTTTTATATGCTAATCGGACTTTCAGGGCTCGAATCAAAATGATGCTGTAGAGCCCCTCGCAAATCTCTACGAGGAAATCGATGCTACCGAAGGACCTCCCGAAGCGACACTACTCCGTAGGGCCAAGTCCTACTCGGACTTTTACCATGTTGTGCGGGCCCAGCTTGCAAAGGACGCGAAGAAGAAACGCAAGAAGAAGAGAATCAATTATTCTCTGGAGGCACTGAACATTCAAAAACCAGAGGACGCCGTCGGCCAAAGGTATGAGGAGCCCACGGAGTCCATTGACGATCAATTGCTCGAGGCAAGTCAGCAAGAGTACCTCGTGTACCAGGACCAGCTCGCTCTGACCGACCGACACCTGGACACGCTGATTGAGGATGCAAATGGAGCGCTACAGTTGTTAGAGACATTGGCAAGCTCTTTCCGTGCTGTTGAGAACCAGACCTCGTCTTTTCAGGCTCAATGCGACGACCTATTGTCCGAGGAGAAACGGCTTCAGAAGTTGGCAGACGAGGTCGGGACCGAACTGCACTACTATGCTTACCTAGACGGCGTGACTAGGCGGCTGAATGCTCCTGGCGCAAGTCGCCTGGTAGACCATGAGAATTTTGCGGAAATTCTGACCAACACGGATGCTTGTATTCGGTTCATGGCCAAGCATGTGAGTTGTCGTTGTTACTTGTCGGGGGCACGCAAATACTGACTGTATCCAGCCAACATACCGAGATGCCGAATCCTACCTGGCCCGATACCAATCTTCGTTGACGAAAGCGCTTCATTTGGTTGAGAGCGGGTTCAGTAATCACCTCGATCGCATATCGGGCGAGATTTCCAAGCAAATCGCTTCAACCCAGTCTGAAGCTGCTCGTCATGCCCTGGCCTATGGACGTTTTGAAGAGCTAGTCCTCGAAGCTGACGGCCTAATCTCTAATGTTCAAAGGGTTATTCGCAGCGGTTTTGATCAGTCTGGAAACCCGATCGCCGAACATAATTTTGACTATTACGCCAATACGGCCGTCAACATTTTCTTCTCCTATTCTAGCATCAGAGATAGAGATCTGAAGCCAATGACACAACATGACCTGGAGACATTTCGAAAAGAGACAAAAGAAGCCAATGTAGGGATGGCGTCACGAAACTTCATCAAGCAATGTTACGAGAGGTCGTACGACGAGGCTGGTCTGTTTGCCAAGATTTTTGCCATCGACCCGCAATTCAGTATGGACACCCAGTCGGCATACGTTGCAATGAAAGGTCAGCAGAAGACTTTGGTCAACATCGCCAATGTCGCGCCTATAGCCAACACGCTCCAACCCAACCTGCAGGCTAGCGACTTGCAGACTATTTGCAACCTTCTCGGATGGATCACTAATGAATACTTGCTCCTGGACTATGATGAAGAGATCTCGCGCTATTCTCAGCACTGCCAAGAGCTTACAGCAAGACTATTGATGGAGCATTTGTGGCCTTTCGCAGACACGGCATTCGAAAACGAAATCACACAGTCCATTACCCGTCCAGCTGTCTCACCTGAAACCATCAAGATCGGCCCGGTAGTGAATGGTGTTGCCTCATCCAACGCACATCCTCTGGCCAAGAAAGCTTTGGAGCTCCTCGTCATGTATGACCAGGCTATGCCAAAAGAGCGCAGCGTAAGTATCTTTCTCGAGCTTGGTCGAAACATGAGAATGCTAATCCGAAGTAGCAAAAGTCAAGTTCCGTGGTCTTCAAGATTATCCACGAGACGATACTTGCGTTGCAGAGAATTGAAACCCGCATCAAGTCTACGAAATCTACGGATCCCGACCCCGATCCCGATCTGTTCATGATCAAGAATCTTCTCATTGTCAAGAATGAGCTTGTATCACTCGAAATTGGCGATGTTCGCTCGCAGACAACTACAAACATGCAGCACTTTGGGCAGATTTGGGATGCCCTTTCACCGCAGAACTGGATGGGTCTGTTCAGGGGCATCTTGGGTGGTTCCTTGTCCCTGGGCCTGTGGTCTTCCGCCACTGCTGCAAACAATTCTAAACCAGCCAACATCAATGATGGTGTGCAGGACGCCAGTGAAAAATTGGACGAGCTACTGCGCCAAAGTATTTATGCTTTTACGCAGCGATGGGGCGGCTTGGTGAATGCAGCAAAGAGTGGCAAGAAGGGCGCAAAGACTTCGGCACAGGTTGAGACCGAATTGAATGAAAAGCTATTGACTGCATTTGGCGGGCAGCCAGAGGTGGTTGGCAAGCTGAAGGAAGCTATTCAGATCAATGCCCAGGCACAGAAGGAGGTTGGTGGTGCAAAGCGGTGAGATGATGATGGATTAGCTCAATACCCCTTTATACACTAGCCCTTAATAATTTTGTAATCTCAAGGTTTAAATTCCAGGTGGTGTTTACAAATCGCCACCACAGGGCGATATTTTATTGTGAATACTTCAGATATGTTATCCTACGCACTGAAGCAAAACTGGTCCGAGTTGGGAGCAGTACACTATATGCAGAGTATGAACACGTGTAGTATCAAAACTCCTTCTGCATGCGGCGCGCCAAAGATACTTTGCGCCATTCTGCATTCTATATAATCTCCTGGATGAACTGGCTGAAAATGAAAAAAAGGGGGTATAGATCGGGTATCTTGAAGGAAAGCAGAGTATACACAAGTATTAATGCATTTGTTCGTCGAGAGTCATCTGGTCCTACCGCGTCTCGTCCCTCCTATCATTATGATATGTGAGCGGCCCAACAAATAATGATTCAACGTCACTCGAGATATGTTTTACATCGACAATGTCGCTAAACACAAGCATTCATTAGTATCATCAGTCAAAAGTTGTTTCAGCCGGGAATAAACTTGTGAGCGAGACTTACCAATCATATTTCTCTCCAAAACGATCCAGGTACTCCAGATGGCGACCGCCCGCTTCGCTGTCGCCAAATCGGACGAAATGCAGGGTGACCTGCTGCCTTGTGAGACGACGGCGGCCGACCTCGTCCATTAGGTACTTGACGGCATCCTCGACGTGGCAGGCACCCTCTGGGTCGTCGCCCCAGTTTCCGTCCGTGAATATGTACACGCTGACATGCTTGCGGGCAATGGGATTGATATTGAAGCCCATCTTCTTGACGGGCAGCTTGCGGATAATCTGGTGCTCGACGAGCTCCGACAGACTCTTGGCCATCATGGTCGGTTCGTGCTCGTACCGGTGCGTCTTTACAATCTTGACCAGCTTGCGGGTGGCGCGGGCGCGGTAGACGTCCTTTGGCCGCGACGCAAACGCGAGCTCGACCCGGTTTGGGTCGAGCCGCTTGGCAATGGACGAGAGGGCCTGGAAACCCTCGAGCACGATGCGCTCGTGCGGCCTCATGCTGGTCGAGTCGTCAATGAAGAAGAACTGGTCACGGTCCCGCAGATTCCGCGTGATTTGGTCAATCAAGTTCTTGACGGTCGAGTCGAGGACCTTGCTGTTCTCGGCCGCCCGGCTACCCAGCCAGCTTTTGCCACCCTCGAAAAAAGTGTTGATGCTGCGGATGCTTTTGAGACTGGTTGGCGTCGTCTCACCGTTGTCGCTACTTGTCATCCAGGTTGACCTCCGCCGGATTGAAAGACTAATGGTCGGGGTCAGTGGCTCGCTCCAAAGGATATTATTGAAGCGGTCTATCAGCACGGCGGCCTGATCTCGCTCGGACGACTTTGGGAGTAGCATGTGTTGCTGTACAATATCGAGAATCTGTGGAGTGATGAGGTCGTGTCTTTTGTCCTGACAGAATGTTTTGATGTAGCTGTGCATCTCTTCAATGACTGGGAACTTTTCTGTCCCGGCGTGAAAACAACCCTCAAAGTCCGTCTTGGAGAATCTCCTTAGTTTGGCGTGTGCAGCTTTCCGCTTGACAAGATATTCTTGAATGAGCTGGGTGCCACCGGCCACAAAAGCAGCGGCAGCACTCAATACTGCGCCGAAAGAAAAGATGTCGGCACCTGGGGTGATTAGACTGATCCCTTTGAATTTGTTGCGCACGTTTGTGCTGACTTCGGGGGCGCCTAGCGAGAAAATTAGTTTCGGGATCATTATATTCTAGGCTTGGACATCTTACTGTAGATCTGGTTACCGTACTTATTTGGGCCTTTGGCTTCGTCACTATTGCTTCTTGTCTTCCTCGCATGACTGAATAAACCAAAGTCTGCAATCTTGGGCTGGAAGTCATAGGGCGAACCCGACGAACCCTTCATCAAAAGAATATTGGCAGGCTTGATGTCTTGGTGGATACTGTCGTCTTGGTCAATAAAACGCAGGCAAGCAGGTCTTTCTCTTGGGTATGCGCTCACCCTTGGATAATACTCTTCATGTGACTGTCGACGCTCATCAATTGATGTATCCTGTCGAGACCCTGTAGTGACATGATGAGACTTTTCCAAAAGACCCGGGTGTCTTCAGCCGTCATTGGTGGAGGCGTTTCCTGGAAAAACGCCTTCAAGTCGCCTCCGTCGGCAAAGTCCAGGATAATGAAACCATGGCCATCTTTGCGGAAAGAGCCGTAGAAGGTGATTAGATTCTCGGATGGACTTTGACGGAGCATCGTCAGAGCATCGACTTCTGTCTGGTAACGCTCCTCGGCATACTTGAGCTCATATTCTTTGAGGGCAAGATATCCTCCCTTTGACTCGGAGCCCTACTGCCTTGTCAGCAATTCAGGAACACGTACTTGGGCTGATATGGAAATCGAAACCCACCAAGCCATTATAGTCGTCATTGATCTTGATTTTATGAACAAGAGACTCGCCGCGCTTAAAGATGGTCTCAAGTGACTCGATGGGGAGAATACAATCACTTTCCAATTGGGTCTTATAGAGCCTAGTCTTTTCAAAGTGATATGGGAAGAAAATCCATTGTTCCGTTTGGAGATTCTCAAAGTCACCCAAAGCGCCACGGTTGTGGATATGCCAATTCCTTGGAGGGTCGACCAAGGGCCATCGGTGATCGTCCAGGGCATCGGTCAGAACTAGACCTAGAAAACGTCGTGTGGTGCCGGTCCAAACGAGGGCAGAAAAGATGCGCAGGTAGGCCGATTGGATGCTCGGCGCATCAAATGGCAGCGGCTTGTCATAGGATCGAAGCACCGCGTTGATCTTTGTGATACTCCAGTACTTTGTCAACTCGGAATATGGAATGTAGGTAAGGGAATTTTCGCGTAGATCCTGGCCAATGTATCTTGCTCGTGTTGTTTCCACCCATTGGGCGAAGTCGTCCCCTGGACGCGCATCCACGTTCTCTGCCATTGAGACGGAACTCGGTATCGCTTGTGAGTGGTGGCTTTGGCGCCAATGGCGCTGCTAGCTTGTAGCTATACGGATCCGCAAGAGGCAATGAAGAGGCAATTCGATTACCGCACACGAGTATGAAAATTATAGTGTATCATTCGTTATGTAAGAGCAGAGCAGAATCGGCAGAGAGAACAACAAGGCTTCGAGTATTAAAAAAAAAAGTGAAAACAAAGAATTTCCCCAAGGCTGAAAGATATATATCGCTTCTGAAGCAAATCTGCAACGGCCTTGCGGCTGGCACGATGGGGGCCGAAAACAGAAATGGCAGTATTGGAGAGATAGCCAGGCATTGTAGGTAGGTAGGTATGCCACCATGCCTATTTCCAGCGCGCTGGAGGCTGTGCAAGTGCAGCTTAGTCTCGCTAGAGGTACGACCCTGGGACGGCAGTGTGCTGAAAACAGACTGGTTTGTGAGGCGCTCCGCCTGGCTACACCTATGTAGGTACCCTTGTCGCCAATAGAAGGACTTCGTTCTGCAGCTGACCTTTTCTAACAGAGGGGAAGACCTGCGAAGGATTCTCTACCCAGAGAAGTGGATGGAATGGTGTGCTGACGATATCTACTACAAAGGCAGAATAAACCCTGCAGATGCCACCGATGTTATTTTACGCGAGATCATTGAATCCTACGTGCAACATTGAGAAAATAACGCCTCCAGCAGTGTCATATGCAAGGCTCAATATGCAAAGAGCTGGATACTTGACACATCGTACGAAACCGCCGTCAAAAAGACTTTGCTATTTTACTGCGTCTTCTCCTCTATGAGCACCATGTCCCCATTTTTGGCCTTCCTGTGTCGGCGTGCGACCCAGTAGATCAAGCCCCAAATGATCATAATCACCACCGTCAAAGGCACAATGGTGATGAAGAACAACTTCATGCCGCCAGGTCTAGCTATATAATCTGTGCCCAAGGTTCCGTCCTCATCCCACTGAATCGCGCCGCTGCTGAAAAAGGTCTGGATTTGGGTCAGGCCAGCAGTAATAAAATGTCGAACATGAGGCCAGCCGTATCTTACTGCAACAAAGGTTCCGGGGAGGAAGATGAGAGTAAAGATGGTGATGACGTGCATCGACACTGTCTCGTGTTCCGTCTTGATAGCTATGCTGTGCATTTGTCGTGTCCAGTCTTCCATTCTGTCGGCCGATTCCCTCGCCGTAACGGCAAAATGCTTCGATACTCGAGCGCTTTCGTACTGCAGCGCAGCTCCATACTAGAGGATACAGTTAACAACCAAACACTTTTGAGCCCTATTCGGGTTTGAAGCCTTACCATGGCCTTGTCATTTTCCAGTGTGCGCGCAACCGCCTCCAGCCGATCTCTGTGAACGACAAGATCTCGTGAAACTCCATCAATCCGCTTAAAGAAAGTCGCGATACGACTTGTAAGATCGCTCGCCCTGATGTGCTGCTGGTATTCATGAGATTCAATGATCTCGCGATAATGCTTCTGCAACTGTTCCAGGACCCCCAGATTTTGCCCAATGACCATGATTGACTGCTCAAGCTCTGAGCCCCAGCGGTTCATTCTCTGAAACTCTTCAAAGGATAGTTTCTCATCAAGGTCATACTCGACTAACTCGTCTTCGTGGCTGTTCCGGTGCCCCATCTCAATGTCCTCGTTCTTGGACTGAGAGCTCGACGCTCTGGTAAACATGCCCGCAACAGACTGGCGAAGACTCGATGTCCGCCGTCTGGGCGGGGATCTGGGCATGACCGGACTCGCAGGCTGGGATTCATCTACAGCCCTGGGTGTTTCCGGCGTATCGGTGTCAATTTGCGTGAGCATACGTGTCGGCGGCCGTGAGTCTCGACCGAAAGTTGTTTGTCTGGGGAAGGTTCCCTTTCTGGACGCAGCTGGTGAGGTCGTCGTGCTCCTCCGAGAAAGATCCATCTCGATTGCCATGGACGTCGTGGCAGCTGAAATGGGGGCCATTTTCCCTTCAATGGACTTGTCTCGCACCTTTGTCTCAAAGTACTCGATGTAATCCGCCCAATTCTCGGCACACCACTCTACTATGATGAGCTGAACCAACAGCGTTGCAGCAAAAGATTTTTCAACATTTGTGAATAGGCTGGGTTGCATTTCAGGGTTATTGAGAGCTTCTTGGTGAATGCGTTTGAGAATGTTTGTGTCTGCCTTTAGCACAATGAATAGTGTCTGTCCGCTCACCACATCAAACGTGTGGCACAGAGCCGTCTGACGAAGCGGCCATGGGTTGCCCTCGTTTGGTGCATCGGTAGCTTCCACCGATAAGAGATTGAAGGCACACTGAATCTGACGACCTGATCTGCCAAGACCAGGCACGGCGAATCGGGGGCTGTCTTTTTCAAGATAGTTCTCGTGCTTGAACATGGCATGTGTCGGTGGCTTTGAGCTGGGACTGAACGCCATGACCAGGTCTAGAAACGAAGGCATTACCTGGTGATGCGTGAGAAGCATGGCCAGCTGCTCCCTAGTGCATCCTAGAGGAGACCGCGAGGAGCGCGATTGAAGAAAAATGAACCGCCAGAGAGGATCAGACGTCTTGGTTAAATAGGTCGTGAGCACATCCAAGGTCTCTGGCTGCGTATTCTTAAATCTGAGTTCTGCGTGGAAGCAAGTACCTTAGCCAGGTACTTTGACAGTGGGCCAGTAAAATCTACCTTGAGTTCGCTCATTGTTGACTATTGTATCCAACAGATACAGCGATCTGTGAGATGTATGGAACAACTGCTTTTGTTGCAAGCGTTGGCGATACCTATCTACAGCGTAGATGGAGGTTTGCTTCCTGACGACATTGCTCGGGTACAATTGATATTTCTGTCGCGACTCCTCGAACTCGGCCGTGTGATCGGGTGCTAAGACCATTGCTCAAGTGTCTAGAGTATATGAACAATCACATAACCAACTGCAGTGCTCAACAAGAAGACGTTCAAAGAAAGCCTGTACCTACTTGGGTGTCAGTAGTCGGTACTCCTACTCCGATCATATATAATCAATACGCGCCAGATCAGCCTCACAGCCTGCAGAGGGATCCAGCGATGCGCCAATGACTCGGGCGTACTCAGATAACGTGTTGCAGTATTATTGCCAAATACAGTTTTGGGGGGGAAGAGCGGATCAGGATGCAATGGCAAAGTGGAAAAACCCAGTACTGGAAAGAAAGACCAAGGAGGCGGGTGCGGGAGCAGGATTTTGGCCCCCAAATAGACAAGGCAGGGATCCGTATGGAGGTAGGACTGTACACTGATTCACATGCATCGTGGCTGTGGGTTCTGTGGGTTCCCTCGCATCACCAACACCCGTGTCATCGGTCGCCCGGTCAAACATGATGTGGGATAATCATTGGCTACTACATAGCGAAGTTTTGGCCACACATTTCAGCCCTCCAAGGGTCTGAAAGAAAGCCTTTGCAGGTCGGCGTATTCCCGGTCTACAGGCATGTTTGTCGTTTTCGCCGCCTGCTGACATGGGATCCCCAACACTGAATCAAGCGAACGGATTTTCATCTTTCTTAGCCCACCGATGTTTCTCCAGAGATGAATCGGACTTCTCTTCCTAGATCCCCAGCAGCTATTAGCCAGACTGTCTCCTCAATTACACTTCTTCCCACTTGCCTTGGTAAGTTGTCGAGGAATATAGACACGGTAGTGGTCTTCGTCAAATGTCTACGGCGACAATATCATTAGTTTCGACGTCGCTTATTCAAGACTAAGTATGAACCCACCTCAAATTTGATGCGTTTCCGATAAGAGTCAGCAGTGAAGATGTCGTGTAGGAATTTCAACAAGCCTGCCTGATTAAGGCGATAACTCGGCACGTAGTCCCATACGAACGGCATCGAGACCATTAGTACTGGGCAAAAGAGCAATCTGTCTCTCCAAGTGAGCCCGAAGAGTCGGGAAGGAATGCTGTGAAGAGTGCGCCCAGTGAATGCGGATTTGGGGGAGCCTTGCACTATATACTGCGTATTTGCACCCCCGGGCGGGAGGGTGCTCACTGTAAGCCAGGGTCGGCTGCATACCGAACTTGGATGAGAACGACCGACCTACCTGAGGTTAGTCAGTATTTCCAGTAAAGAATCGGCTGCCTCGCCAGAGAGGATTGCCTCGTCCGTAGCCTGGCCGAATGTTCGCAAATTACACCATTTTACATGTGAGATGGGCTTTGTTTTATGGCTTGCAGGATTTCACGGGACGCCCCCAAGGTGTTTTTTTCGCTGGGCTTTGCGTGCCAGCAATGATACAATCACCCTTTCGCAGGAACCTCTCTGACGGTGCATGTCCTGCAGCCTCAGCCTTATCATCCACTTTAGACGAAGACTACCGAAATGTCGAATCCATGTTGGAATCACTGAATCATTCACTCACTCAAAGCAAAACAAGTGCGCGACATGGGTACTCAGTCAGGATTGTGTTGTCGTTATCTACAAGAAGATAGATCATTAAACAAATGCTTGCAGTCCCGTAATGGCACGACCTAATATCAAACCTGGATTTTTGTCAGCAAATACAACAGTGGCTAGCCAGATAGCACGGGATTAGACTTACTGTGGATATCGCTCTGGCCTTCATATGTCTGTGTCACAAACAAGTTTGCCACGTGCCGGCCAATGCCATACTCATCGCTGACCGCATTACCGCCAAACACTTCTTGTAATACTCTAGCATTCCACAGAGCCCTGTCGCAGTTCTGTCGCTTAATCATGGAAATCATCTCTGGTGTGGCCTTGCCCTCGTCCTTGAGCCTTCCCACCTGGATTGCGGCCAGTGTACCGTAGGCGGCATCGGTGGCGGCATCTGCCAGCTTCTTTTGTACAAGCTGATACTTGGCGATTGGGTTGTTCTTGAATTGTTTTCTCTCCATGGCGTATGTCCTGGTGCGCTCAATGCAGTCCTCTAGGGCGCCCATGGTACCCAATGCAATGCCGTAGCGAGCACTATTCAGGCAAGTGAACGGGCCAGTCAAGCCCTCAACATCTGGAAACATGTGGGCCTCGGGAACGGGACAATCATCGAGGTGAATCATGCCAGTAATGCTTGCGCGAAGACCGTTCTTGTTCTTAATAGCAGGCGTCTCGAGGGTGCCTGGAGGACAATCTTTACGTTCAACCAGGAAACCTCTGATCTTGCCCGTCTCTTGGAGTTTGGCCCAGATCATGAGGACATCAGCGATTGGGCTGTTGGTGATCCATGTCTTTGAGCCGCTGAGCAGGAGGTACCCCTTCTTGGTCGGGTGCGGTCGAGCCGTCGTCTCCATGGAACCGGGATCACTGCCGTGGTTCGGCTCGGTCAGACCAAAGGCACCGAGCAACTTGCCTTGTGCCATTCCCGGCAAAAACTTGTCCTTTTGCTCAGCCGTGCCAAACGTGTGTATACCGCCCATGACCAGTGAAGACTGCACCGACATGCCCGATCGGTAGCCACTATCGACGCGCTCGACGGCTCGTGTGATTAGACCGGAAGCGACTGTGCTGGCGCCCGCGCAGCCGTACCCGTCGAGGTTGGCTCCGAGCAGACCGAGTTCGCCCATTTCGGAAAGGATCGCGGCATCGTAATTCTCGTCACGGTAAGCCTCTGGGAAGCGTATATGCTTCGTGTTAGTGACAGGTCATAATAGCATGCATGCATCACCAAGGCAAGCCGTCTTCTGTGCGTGGTTTGCTTACGGAGTACACGAGGAAGCATCCGCTCCTGGCAGTATCTCTCTGCCGTCTCAGAGATGGCAAGCTCCTCCTCGGTCAGCAGCGACTTGCTGTCCAACGGGTCTTGCCAGTCAAACTTGACAGAACCCGCGGACGCGTAGGCGCGCGAGGCCATGCAGTTTGGCTTCAGAGAGGTGGCCAATGGCCGTGTGCACTGTCGAATCGCTGGTCGAAACATTGTGTCAGTGGTCGTCAATTGTAGGCAGAAGAGAAAGAAGAAAGAAACGCAACGACCCTAGAGGTAGACACCTCCATCGTGGTATATCCGGGTCTGTTCCCCATGATTTCATGGCCCGGTTACATGATGATCGAGGTGCGGGGCCGAGGTTGTGGTTCCGCGTAGCACCACTACAATGAGCTTAGTGAGGGACAGGGGACATTTGGGGTTCGCTAGTTGGAGGATCATAGCGGCTGAGCGGGTGAGCGACCAGCGTTCCGGTAATCGGCAGTTCGGGATACGCATTGGTCCCAATATGGTAAGTGACCGCTATAAGTCAATGGATGGCGGGCAGCCATTGCTATGCTCTTAGTCATGATGCCGGAACGTTACAGTGCTCAATAACCCCCTCCTCTGAAGATATGCCTAATGTACCTAGATAATAAAGTACCCTTTTTCTTGTTTTAAACATTTGAATAAAATGCTGGTAGGACTGCAGAATGAAATAAATCGTTCACAAAGACCTTGCCATAACTGGCAAAACTTCTTAAGCCTGACCAAGAATATGGATTGTTTCCCCCCTTGCTTCAAGAAATTACCATTTGCATATGAATCAAAAGCTAAAGTAAGTATTCTTTTGGGAGACAGACAAACTGATCAGGGGAGATATTGGACCTGATTCTGTGTACCGTTTCCCCAAACTCTTGCCAAATCGTGGTATTACACCCTGCTGTAGAGTCCGCACAATGCCTGAGTGAGCTGGACCATGTGCACCTAGGTAATTGCGTTCCAAGTTGCTTGCATCGGAAACACATGGCGATGCACACGCCGTGTACCTATGGTGTATATTGAACCGTTGCCAAGATATGCCCAAAGCCTTGAAAACCGGCGATGAGTACTTCCTCCTCGACAAAGATACCTGCCTATACAACGTCAAGCATAGCTCGATGGATAACGTATCGTCACAAATCTGGTACCAGTAGTTTCTGACGAAGAAGATATCGAAACAAGCTTCATTAAACTCGGTACTATCATTTGAGAGCTATGGGGCTTCACTTCAAAATACGAGCTGCGCTTCGGGCCTTCCCCAGCAATGTAGACAGTTTTACTGCTGCTGCTGCTGCTGCTTTCAGGGTCGGATCCTGTCACGACGTGCAACCTTCACATGGACACCACGGACAACATGCAGCTGCTCACAAAACCTAAAGAGCTCTTGCCTTTCACCTCAAGAAAGCCATTGGGCAGGACTTGGTCGCATATGTAGGAACCCCGAGCTTGAGGGCTTTGTGTCGGCTTCTATTCATGTTGGACTCAACCTAAACCCTCGATCCCATCCCAATCGGCTATCCCTTCTGAGTATTCTTCAATTAGGCTCCATGGCGCCCATCTTACCTATAAATCGTGCACATTCGGCCGTTCAAGACATTCACTTTCTGTATCACTAAACATCTTTCAAAGTCCGTTTCCAATCGTGGACAGGAAAGATTGCCTCTCCTTCTTCCTAAGCATGCGCAACCCAAGCCCGACGAGGTGCCTCACTGGATGGTGCCTCGCCGAATCGAACGTTTATCAACCCTCAAGAACGCCGCGTCCAACCGCAGCAGGTGGTTTTACCTGCGAGAAACATTGGGAACCGGTCAGAGATGTACTATCACCAACGCCAATCACTCCGGGTACTCTTAGCAAGAGCAAGAACGCTCCCGATATCATAGAGCGTGCTGCGAACCTGCCCTCCATAGATATCGCCTTTTCCTTCAAAGACCTTGATCCTTGCGAATATGAGAATCCGGACAGTGTCTCCCAGGCCGATATCATCGCAGATTCCGGATTGCGGTGGCTAGATATCGACCGCGCGCGGATCGCCAACCAGCCGACTGCCCAGCAGCCCTTCCATAGACGTGCAGTGTCGTCCGTCGAGTCTGGAATGGAACATCACCAGCCGCATTCTAGGCACTTTAGCAACTGCCAAGGCAACCGTGCTGATCCTTCCTTGGAGCCATCAGAAGTCAACAATGGCAAGATCTCAGCATGGTTGACTGGCTTAATAACACCTTCCTACAAGCCTGAGATGCAAGAGGCTCCAACTATGCCAGCACTACAGCGGCTCAAAACAGAAAAGAACCGAGTCGAGCCTGGAAATCTTGGAGTGGTTGACTATCTAACTGCCATGGCAAGTCGGCGTGCACCCGATAGTCCTAGCGATGGTCTTTCAGAAGGTGGGGTGAACATTGATCCTCAGGTTGAGGATCTTGCACTGTCTAACAGACTCTCCGATTCCGGGCTGGAAGAGAAATCATTGTCGCTAGACTCACTTGACCCGCCAGCCATCGTCGACCTGAAACACCAGAATCAACTTGAACCTGGGCTCAAGGAATGGCTCAGCAATGTTCCAGCCCAGTATCTCTCGACCAGATTTGGGTCTGGGTATGATGGGCCTCCCAGCCCTACAAGAGACCAAGCAAGGCTAGAGTCGACATCATGTAATGGATCATCTGCGGCAAAGAATGTTGCAGATCAGCGTTACCACAGCAAAAATTATTACAGTGCGGCGGGAACGATTGATTGGGAGAAGAGCTGGTTCAAGCACAAGCCACGGCGCGCACACGACGTGTCCGAGGTGACTTCCCCGGACTACTCGGTCCACAAGCACGCTGTCGATCTCTTCTCAATGACAGGCTTTGACAGCGATCAGAGCGAAGGTGAAAGCCCTGACAGTAACACTCCGAATAAGGACGTGTCAGGACTGCCTAATGCACTGACGTTCAAGTCTTGTCCCGAATTAGGTACTGTCGAAGAAGTGGAAGGCAAGACGTCAAAGTCTATCTTGGTAGGGCATTTTCCGAACATGTTTAGAAAACCATACTGACTAAGAGAAGGGGGCAATCCACCCTCTCCATCGTCATGGCATTCGTAGGGCCTTTAGTAAACCATTTCGTTACTTGAAAAGGAAAATTAGTGGCGCGCCAACCGATTCCTCCATTCGATCCGATTTTCCAGCCCCTCCATACGGAACAGAGCGTCGAATATTATCACGAGGTTCTGCTGACATCTATCCGTCGTCGGGTCAGGAATCCCCCGTATTCAACACTCCAGTCAGAGCACCATCGGAAGCACAAGCTCGGTTGAAGAAAGACTTGGAAGGGGCAGATCAAATCTACACTGGGCCGGCGGCCATGTCTGGAGGTAAAATAGTCGATGAAGGCAATGGTGTGTTCTGCCCATCAGTCAGTGCACCATTCCTTTTGGCCAAGTCGACATCACACTCAACGCCAGCAAGATTCGGACCAAGGAGAAGAACAACAGCCAGAAGTCGTTTGTCTGAAGTCACCACACCGGAAGATCTTGCTACACCTGAAATTTCTCTGAGCCCTTGCAGCCCAGAGATTGACTTCAACTCTGCAGATTGTGCAGTCATGGATTGGCAAGATGATGATGAGACTGGCCTAGCGCCTCATTCGCCAACGGCGAGCCGCGATAATGTCAATTCCCCTCATACACTCTTGTCAACACCAAGCAGTGCGCAACATTATCGCTCGTCCCCGATACTCGTAGGAGAAGCTCATTACCTACCAAGAGCTGGCTTGGCATTGAGACGGGTTATCGAATCTATGCTGGAGAATGAATCAGACACGGCTCCACCTTCATGCTCCGCTGAAGAGGCACTGAAATCCGAAACAAATGACACAGAGCCTCATCAGTCTGCGGGCTCGCAATCAATTGATGGTGTAGAAGGAAGTCACAGCGAGGAGGGAGCAGCTTCAAGATCAATGAGCCCGCCTGTTCTGTCTGGAATCCCTCTCGATCAGCGAGGCGCTGATTGTACTAATGCCAGCGGTGGTTCCGATGCAGATACTTCAAGCGCTATAATCGCAAAACGCGAATCGTGCCACCCTGATACTTGGAATTCTTCGAAGGGTGAGCCGGGTGATTCGGATCCATTTTGCCCTCTTAGCTGCAATTCCGAAGAGCCAAGCCCCCGCTCATCACTGTAACCTCAATGGAGAACTAGTGTCACATAAAGGACCGGAATATCTCGAACTATGAAGAGATTGAGCTGGAACTGAAGTTCGATCGGAATGATGGCTGGATCACTGAACCAGTTTTTGAGTGCCTGTTGATTCAGCACTGCCCCTATTCTATCACAAATGAATTGTATATTACTACAGATACCAGATATCTGGTTAGTCTTGAATATCAACAGAATCAGTGAGACAGAGGCTGCTAAGAATTAGAGAGTTTATGCAATTGCTATGTGATTACTGAATGCCAGTACCTGTTACTTTTTTCCCCTTCGCTTTTGGAAGTGGGCTAAAAATGATCGTCTGCTATTTTTAGGAACTCGACAGTACTATGGAAGACACGGCCCAGATCGATCATCAGATATATGAACATGTCGTGGTTATTTCCAGAAGACTGTCCATTACGCGGTTAACTCCTGTAATATCTCTTTGAGGTTGAGCAATGACCTCTGTGCCCTCTATGAACAGGGTGTAGCTCACTAGCATAAGACTGTCCGCGCCAGCAGCATGACTGACAGCACGTCTTGGACGGAGGAGATGACAACGGTACGCAGAATGTGGCCGTTGAAGCCGTCATTACAGGTGCGGCTGCATTTCCCTGCCCATTGGGATACAGCCGGCCTGAAGTGTGCGTCGGCATGACCCATTGTTGGTTGTGGGCGGGACAGTTCCAGGTGTTAAAGTGTTGATACTCGGGCTGATAGGTCCACGACATTTTATCGGGAGCAAAGTGATCGTTCGAAGCGATGGAGGTTTTGATGAGATATCAAATTCTACGCGGATTACGTTTTCTAAATCAAAGGAAGATGGATTTTGGGGATCAACGGAGGAATTCTGGGCTTGGGGCAGAGGTAGGTATTTATATAGATTATTCGCTCTGATTCACAGACAAGGTCAGTTTCCGTGGTATCATGTCGAATTATTTTCATGGACATGATCACGGCCTCGAAATGAGTGATGAAGGGTTCACTGCATCGCGAAAAAAAAGCTGACCGGAGGAAGATGAAGTCCACGTCGGCGGCAATGGCGTTAAGCGGGCTTGATGATGTGGAATTGCCTCTTAAGCAGGGCGACGTCTAGATATCAAATGGACGTTTCGAAGAGGGGCACAAGAAAAAAAAAAAAAAAAAACTACGCTCCAGGAACTTCATCTATACCTCGAAGATGCATCTACTGTTGTAAATTGCTGTCAAGAACTTGCCGTCTCTTGGCAAGTGCCAAAAGACATCAATTACACCCGACCCCTAGGGCTCCCCACATGGTATACTCAGTACTATGTACAGCCGCGCAGAAGCAATTTGATGGCATATATGCACGGACCACATGCATCCTCATACGCAGGTTGTGTGTACTGTGTACAACTTAAGCAGCACCAAGGGCGTTAAACTCAGCCTTTTCATTTCTAAAAAATGGTGACAAGGGGCAAAAATTGAAAGGTGCTGATGTACCAGCTACCATATCGACGCAGACAGGATTCGAACTGAGGATATGTCAATGTTGGAAAATCTGGTCCCGAGTATTTGGGCAATCTTACCCTGTGCTCCCGAAGGAATGAGATTGAGGCTTCAAGATTAGAACCAGATGATTCTAGTCTCACGCATTAGACCACTCTGCCACTGCGCCTGTGGTGGTTAAGGCATTCTGACATTATCGTCGCAGATTCTGTAAACTTCACCTTGGCGGAGAGAGTACAACAGCCAGCAGCTTTAAACAGCTCCGCATCCTTGGGTTCGGCTGGGTGCTAGACCCGTCCATCGACAGGGATTAGCTCTCCATTGCTACGCTGGCGGCACCGTCTAAACTTTGCTGTCACGGCCATCATAACTCATCAAGGACTTTTACCTTGTTTCGTCAGTGTCGCACCGGATCCAATGAGCCAGCGGCAAGCAAAAAAGAACGACAGAAAGGAAAAAGGGAACTGTAGCGGGTGAATTGTAATTATCGTCAGCATCGCACCGCGTCACCTCTCTTGTTTGCTCCATTGCTTCTTGGCTTGAACGAAAGCCACGACACACACACACACACACACACACACACACACACACACACACATACACACACACACACACACACACATCCTCCACTAGTATTGCGGCCATCTCTCGCAGCGGCACTGCAAGTGAAAGAGTGGCGATCCTACGCTGGATTTTGATACGCTGACAAGGTGCCCGGCAACTTTTTGCTTTGGGCGCCGCTACATTAGCCTCATCTGCCCAGTGGTTGTGGACTTGCGGTACCCACCTTTGGCCAGACAACGGGCAGTGGAACGGGGATCAGCTCTCAACAGGCCGGCCCAGACAGCAAAGCCATGCTTGAATGAGTGAAGAGAAACCACCACGGCATCTCGCGAAACCCGTCTACGCATGGCGTGAAATACTCTTTCCTTGCTTTTTTTCCCGGCTCTGTTTCTGCTCCTCCTATAGTGCCCGCACCGCAGCAGCATGGAGCTCGGCCGCTCGGTAGTGCCACCGGAGACAGAGCATACTCACACCATCATCTGGCTGCACGGCCGTGGTAGCACAGCACAGGAGACGGCAGAAAATCTGCTTTTGCTCAGAGACTCGTCCAAACGCTCCCTCAGCCAGGTGTTCCCCTCGGCGCGCTGGGTCTTTCCGCAGGCCGAACTGCTTTACTGTGAGCGTGATGACCAGGACTGGTCGCAATGGTTCGATGTCTGGAACGTGCTCGACTTCTCCGACGGCGAGGAGATGCAGGCTCCCGGGCTGCGTGACAGCGTGCGAAGCATCACCAAGCTTGTGCACAAGGAGGCGCTGACGGTCGGAGGTCTGAACCGGGTGGTCCTGGCGGGGTTCAGCCAAGGCGGGTCAACGGCGATCCACGTGCTGCTGAACATGCCCGCACCGGATAACATGGAACCCCCAAAGCCGAAACGGATCAAAACGGAGCACTTTGACGTCCAAATCAGGAGGCGGCAGCGGCTGGCCGGGGTCATGGGCTTCAGCTGCCGCCTTCCATTTCCGGGTGGGACACTGGAGGAGACGAGAGAGGTGCTGTGCCTAGATGGTGAACCCAGCAACGAGATCTACAAAAACACTCCAGTATTCCTGGGACACTGCGTCGATGATCCGCTCGTCTTTGTCGATTATGGCAGACAATTAGCTGAAGCACTGGGATCTTTCGGTATGCAGGGCGTGTCTAGAGAATACCCCGAAGGAGGGCACCGGCTCAATGCACCCCAAGGAATTGACGATATTATCGTTTTCTTGAAAGCACAAGGACTGAAAGCCGTGCCGGCTTGAGACTCCCCAAGATTGACGATATTCTGCTTGGATCTCGCACACTACAGAAATGTCTCCCTTGCAATACTGCAATCACAACACGGAGGCTCACAACTCACGACCGACGCCAGGCGGTACTGTATTGGGCTTTACCAACTTGCAACGACTTTTGACTCGACTATATATATCAACGCTGGCATGATTCATTTCGAGAATTGCCAATTTAGCAGTCAAGTATGTCTATGGCCGCTTGTCAGATCTTGGAGTCTTATCTACACCATTTTTTGAGCATCTGGGTCAACAACCCTCGATTTTCCTTCGCCGAGCTCATACATCACCCATTCGTATACCGCCCATTGTATCGCGTTGACAAAAAAAGCGCGGACACTACAGATGGTCAACCCTCGGAAGAACACTCGACTGCCGCCTTCCCTATACGCTTCCTTTGCGACAGCCACTGCGCCGAGCCTTTTCGCTTGATTCGGGCGGGTGTCCATCAGTGGTCTCGTTTCCGAAGACAAAACTTGTGCTTGAACTCTCGTCTTGATCACATCAAGGGGGAATATACTGGCCCAGGTCGCTACCCCAGCCAGACCGCCACAGAGCAAGACCTTGGCAGCATCCTCGCTGAATGACGTCTCACGCTTCTTCGAAGACATCATCATCTGCGTACTCAACTCGTACGACCAAAAGTAAAAGCCGTAGCCGATACTGTCTCGCAGGGCCGTCACAACGCCACCAAGATATAGTCCTCTTATTCCCTCGTTTCTGAGAACCGACTTTGCAATGCTCCAGCTGGATGCCGGTGGCGATGAAAGTTGTGCTCTACACTTGATCAACTCAGTGGGTGTACTGACCACCCAAGTCGCCAAACCGCCGATTGCGCCAGCTACCCAGGTTGTCCAAAGATTTGACTGAGTATTGAGCGCATTGTTGATGGCGGACTCGCTTCGGTTATAAGATACGAACAGCAACGCATTAAGCGCACCATAGCCGAGCACAGGAGCTGCCGTGCCCGATATCAGAGAGGATGTACCCTCAAACTGACGGAGGTATGAAGAGGCATTTTGAGCGCCAATTGCATCCTTTGCTTGTAGCCGCACCTTGAGAATGTCCAGTGGGTTACCAACAAGGATTCCAATCGCACCACTGATATACCCCGCCCAAAAGTCTGCCGACATATTTGCGTCTGAGAGAGGGAGCGTGCCTGTGTTGGAGACAGAGTGTAGCGACAGTCACGTCACCAAATATCCTCGGCTAAGTGCGAGGTAGAGTACACCAGGTGCCGCCTTGAGCTCTGAATGACGGGTGTTGGAATAGTTGGAGATGCGGATTTTGAGTATAAAAATCTTACAACAGTATGTATAATAGATTTTCAAGGCTTTTAGTGGTCGATACAATGGATATACGCGTACCTCCTATAGTGGCAAGCAAATATGGAAAGAGTGTGATTGGATATAGACTGAGACATGCATTTGACAAGGACGAGTGTAGGTAGGTAATGCCCTCAACCTACCTACCCTTGGAAACTTGCCCCGCTGTCGTTGGTGAGGGGCAATCAGCCGAGCCGTCCCGTCCGCGCACCCCCCAAAAGGGACAGCTAACTGGGGAAAGCTGGGCTCATCCACTGTAGCACTTGGATGCAGCATTCTGCAAGTTTGAAAGTTTGAAAGGATATTCAAATGCAATTGCTAGATTTTGATCAGACTTTCTACGTAGTATTTGCCAATGTACATTGGCATCCCGTCTCCAGAGCAGTTGATCCTCAATTTTGTGTAGTGGTGGCCGTTGAAAGCAGCGAATGAGATTTGCCAATCAGCTCGACTATTGCCAATAATCCGTGAGGTGCACGCAAAGTCCTGAAATATTGTGATGATGAATGAGAACTTTAACGGCATGCGGATCGAAAACATCAAAGAGCCTCACGTCTGGATACGGCAATCAAATAAATACCTACATGGAAATACTACTACTTTGTCCAGGATATGCGCAAGTGAAATTGAAGTATTAGTAATGGGTTACTGCTTTTAGTAAATGGACTTGATCCCAGTGCGACTTTGTGGCAAGACCCCGCCGACTTGGAAGCACTTTCCGCGCGTACCAGGTCATGTGAGCCCGTGTCGCTGCCTATTGCGGACACCCGCTAGCAGTCGCGTCGCGCTTTTCAACATAGTCAACAAACTGCCATATTCGCCATCCGCATCCTGTTTTCTTTTGCGACATGGTGGCAAATTGAGTTTGCATCAGTCAAATTTCTCCCCAATATTAACCTCTTTTCTCTGCCTGATTCTGGACGTAAAGCAGAATTGTGTCGTCAAATTTAGGACGGGAGATGTGAGTCTTGCCCGTCGCATATCAAGCTTACAGCGCCTATTCAGAACTAATCTCGAATCACAGGGCGACTCCAACCGTCTCGACGCCACTGGCGAAAAAGGCGCCTGCTCCTGGCCCGCGATATCGCCCGACAGACTCGATCGAGCGTCTACACAAACCTTTTAAATGCCCAGGCTCTGCAACAAGAACTCCTGCCAGCGATAGGCCGGCTCGAAAGAAGCGAAAGGTCGACTACGGCGGTGCTGATGGAGAAGCCGACGGCGCCGACAAGCCCTATACCAATGCAGACCGCCTGGCCCTCGCGAATCGAGACGTCAACAGATTCCCAGTGTTCCAGCCAAAGGACAAGGACAAAGTCTTTAGAAAAGCCTTCTCTGTGCCTTTTGTCAATAAGGCTGCTGCCAACTATAATCCGAATCGACCTCCACCTACACTCGGTCTTCGACAGGGTGCTGTATTTGTGGCGAAGCCACTACATGACCCTGCTGGAGACTTTGCCATCGTGCTCTATGATCCTACAGTAGACGAACCTAAGAAGCCGCAAGAAGAATTGGAGCAGGAAGAGGCGGCAAAGCCAAAACTGGAGGAGCCGCTATTTCACAAGAGCTTGGCCGAGATCTTGGGTATCAAGAAGAAGGTTCAGGGTGATCACCCCAAAGTGCCCGTCGTCATTGATCCCAGACTTGCCAAGGTGTTGAGACCGCATCAAGTTGAGGGTGTCAAATTCATGTACAGATGTGTCACTGGCTTGATTGATGCCAAGGCCAATGGCTGCATAATGGCTGACGAGATGGGTCTGGGAAAGACGCTGCAGTGCATCACATTGTTGTGGAGCCTGCTGAAACAATCACCAGAGGCGGGAAAGACCACGATCCAGAAAGCTATTGTTGCATGTCCTTCGTCACTGGTCCGAAATTGGGCCAACGAACTTGTCAAGTGGCTTGGCCCAGATGCCATCACACCATTTGCCATTGACGGCAAGGCATCAAAGGAAGAATTGACCCGCCAGCTACGTCAGTGGGCCATATCCAGTGGCCGAGCAGTCACGAGACCAGTTATCATTGTTTCCTATGAAACCCTGAGACTCAATGTGGAGGAATTGAAGAACACAAAGATTGGGCTGATGCTCTGTGACGAGGGCCATCGACTGAAGAACGGCGACAGCCAGACATTCAGTGCTCTGAATAGTCTGAATGTCACAAGACGGGTTATTCTTTCTGGTACCCCAATTCAGAATGATCTGTCCGAGTACTTTGCTCTCATCAGTTTCGCCAATCCGGATCTACTCGGCACTCGACTAGAATTCCGCAAACGCTTCGAGATTCCCATTCTGCGCGGTCGTGATGCTGACGCAACAGAACTTGAAAAGCAAAAGGGCGATGAACGCACGTCTGAACTGCTTGGTATAGTCAACAAATTCATCATTCGCAGAACCAATGACCTCTTGTCCAAGTACTTGCCAGTCAAGTACGAGCACGTCGTCTTCTGCAATCTGGCTCCTTTCCAGCTTGACTTGTACAACTACTTCATCAAGAGTCCCGACATTCAGGCACTCTTGCGAGGTAAGGGAAGCCAGCCCCTCAAAGCCATTGGCATTCTCAAGAAGCTGGTCAACCATCCCGATCTGCTCAACCTCAGCGAGGATCTACCTGGTTCTGAGCAATACTGGCCAGATGACTACGTACCAAAGGAAGCCCGTGGCCGCGATCGTGACATTAAGCCATGGTATTCAGGTAAGATGCAGGTATTGGACCGCATGCTTGCACGCATTCGACAAGACACGAACGACAAGATTGTCTTGATCAGCAACTACACATCGACGCTTGACCTTTTCGAGCGACTCTGCCGCAACCGTGCCTATGGTTGTCTCCGGCTTGATGGTACTATGAATGTGAATAAACGACAAAAGCTAGTCGACAAATTCAACGATCCTAATGGCGAAGAGTTTGTCTTCTTGCTGTCCAGCAAAGCCGGAGGTTGTGGTCTCAACTTGATTGGTGCCAATCGTCTGGTGCTGTTTGATCCGGATTGGAACCCTGCATCTGATCAACAAGCCCTCGCTCGTGTCTGGCGTGACGGACAAAAGAAGGACTGCTTCGTCTATCGATTTATTGGAACAGGCACGATTGAGGAAAAGATATTCCAGCGCCAAAGTCACAAGCAGTCCCTGTCGTCCTGTGTTGTTGATTCTGCCGAGGATGTTGAACGCCACTTTTCGCTCGACAGTCTGAGGGAGCTATTCCAGTACCGAGCAGACACGAAGAGTGACACACACGACACTTTCAAGTGCAAACGTTGCAAACCAGACGGCAAGCAATACATCAAAGCCCCAGCCATGCTGTACGGTGATACGAGCACTTGGAACCACTTTATCAACTCAGGGTTGAAACCCATTCAAGACCACTTGCTACAACAAGAGTGCGGTGAACAAGAGGTATCGGCAGTTTTCCAGTACATTTCGCACTAAGTCTACACGGATTGTGAATTATTCATGGCAAAGGCCGTGAGAAAGGATGTGATAGAACCTTTAGACGAGACACGATGAGATGTTTGTTGCTGCATTTGTAAAGGAGTTCAAGGCGAAAGAAGTTGCACTGGCATTGCTTCCTAGAGCAACAGATTGGCGTTGTGTAAACTTGGCCATCATGACGACATGAGTTGTGAAAATAAATACCATTCGAATCCTCAGTATTTTCATTGCTAGTTTTTTGTTGATGTCCGTCTCCATTGGATCACTTCTTGTCCGCCATCAGACAGGCATCTGGGACGCCTTTGATAGTTTGGGCTGTTCTCGCAGAAATACCATCTCACCCACCCCCATGTCATCCAGGACAATCAGCCTCTACTATAAAAAAAAAAGGTCTTCGAGAGCGAGAGCGATAGCGATAGCGAGCAATTATCTGACCAAGATCCCTGGGACTATACGAGGCAAGAAGGTGAGAATCGGCGCGGGATTGGCTCTGGGAGATTAATGTCCGTCCCGGTTGGAGTCCGACAGGATGGCTGAGCAAGCGCCACTGCGACCGGAGAATACGGCGGTTACGGGCAAACTCACCCTAGTGCTCAATAATCCAGATCGATGAGTAGACAAATGCATGGATCGTAAGCCTTATATTCTCCGTTTGTACTTTTGAGCATTCTATAGCTCAGGATGAATTCGCTGCTCAGTATTCTTTGACTTCATCACGGGCACTTGTCGGAACCGCCTTGAACGGCGGATAGTGTTGCGCCGGCGCCCCTGCCGACAATGTCGGTAGTCGCTTGTACGGGGGTAGAGCTTACAGTGGTCAGCGATAAGCCTAGTACTATAAAGTGTAATGTAGTCGCTCTTGCAACGAGATTCCAATGGAATGCATGAGTCATTTTTTCTTCCATTGAATTTGCATACTTTTTAGAGAGATATTCTTACCATAGTGCTATTCCCGCTCACATCAATTCCGCGTCATACTATCGCTTCATCTCAGCATTAACGGACCAGTAGAAGTAGATAGAACGAGCAGAAAAAAATGGCAGCTATTCCAAAGGTTCAATTCCCGTCTGGCACCAAAGTAGACCAGGTAAGCCATGCTGCTACTGCGCTATTCGGATTACTAAACGCTCACCTTGAACCATAGCTGGCATATGGCACTGGAAGTGCTTGGATGAAGGAAGTAGAAGGCGAGGTTCATCGACCAACCGTGGACGCGATTAAAGATGCTATCAACGTGGGCTACCGCCACCTCGACGGCGCGCAGTGTAAGTCATCGTCAGTCTGTAGGGAAGTAGGAAATTGCACATTCTCAAGACTCTGAAACGCTGTTGAATATGCAGAAAACGACTGACCAGGCACAGATTACAAGAATGAGACCGAGCTGGGCCTTGCCGTCAGAGAGTCGGGCATACCAAGGTCTGAATTTTTCCTAACCACCAAAGTCTTTGGCCACACCGACGTGGAAGGGCAGCTTCGGGCCAGCCTGGAGAAACTCGGCACCGACTACATAGACCTCTACATGCTCCATGAGCCATTTTCGGCCCGTGGAAGTCCTGCCGCCCTTCAAGCAGTGTGGCGTGACAGTGAGGAAATACCTTAATGTCAACCCTCTTGAGGACACTTGTGCTAATTGTATGTGAAATCTTGCAGTGGAGGCTTGCCACGATAAAGGGCTCGCACGCAACATTGGTGTGTCGAATTTCTTGGTGCCGCACATCAAGGCGGTCCTCGAAACGGCCAAGACCAAGCCGGCCGTCAACCAGATTGAGCTGCACCCCTATCTGCCGCGCGCGGAGCTGGTCGACTTTTGCCAGAGCCAGGGCATCACGGTCGAGGCCTTTGCCCCCTTGACGCCGCTGACCAAGGCCAGCCCGGGGCCCATTGATAATGTAGTCCAGCGCCTGGCTGCCAAGTATTCTATCACTGAGAGCGCGGTGCTCTTGAGGTGGCACGTGGAGAGGGGCATTGTGGTAATCACTACCAGCTCCAAGAAGGAGCGGCTCCAGGAGTACCTCGTGCAGATTCCGGGCTTTCAGCTCAGCGAGGCCGAGGTTGATGAAATTGGCAAGGCGGGTGAGCAAAAGTTGTTCAGGCAGTACTTGGCTGATTTCTTTGGCAAGGACGTCTGGGATTAAAGAATGATTAGTTCCAATATATGAATAGCTTCAGGAAGCTACAACTTTTATTAGCGAGCGACTATTTCATGTCTTGCTGCTATACTAGCTCTATTTCCGCCGAGAAGTTTTGTGCAAAATATACCGAGACTCCATCCTATGCAAATGCTACTAGTTTGATGCATTCATACTATTCTTGGTTCATGATGACTATCTTAATATCCTTGCGCGCGTGTTGTGCCTCAAAAGCCTCGGCACACTTGGTTAGGGGGTATGTAGAGGTGATCAAAGGTTTCAAATCAATCTTTTTGCGACTCAACAGATCGATAGCATCAGCGAAGCAGCCTGGTGTGTATCTGACAGTGCCTGGATTTTGGGGTCAGCAATGTTTGGCCGGGTCAGATGATGGGTCAGTTCTTACCCTTGATATTCAGTTCCCTAGCCGTCAAGAGAAACAATGGAACAGAAGTCAGGGGCTTGCCAAGTCCTGCTTGTATACCTGCCGTTATGTCAATATGCTGCCCAAGGGATTCAGTCTTTTATCCAATTGAGCTTACAAGTGCCTCCGTTCTTCAGCATGCAAATTGCCATTTGGCTGCACGCTTCAGCGCCACTAGCTTCCACAGTAACATCAAAGCCGTTACCGACATCGTGTTCCTTGATGATCTGCTTGGCATAGTCCTGAGCAAATGCGAGTGCTTCAACACCCTCATCTCTCTTTGGCGAGACGATTCCGGCATCTGCACCGTACTTGACGGCAAAGTCTACCCTTGTCTGCTCGATATCAAACATGACAACTTTTCGAACTCCATAGGCCTTGGCTACAGCGAGGATCAAAAGGCCAAGAGGTCCGCAGCCACTATGAAATGTTTAGATATCGTGCAGGAATTGATCATCTCGTACACCAGGCAGACTTACAAGATTGCTAGAGTCTGATGAGAGTTCAAAGCGGCGCGTCTGCCAAGCTGCACAGCAATCGCCAGCGGCTGAATGGCACCGGCCTCTTCCCACGAGACATTGTCGGGGATCGGCACCGTCATGGACGCCCGGACCGTGGCGAACTGGCAGAGCGTACCGTCGGTCGGATCGAGACCGCAGTACTTGAGGTCGGCGCAGACGTTGGGATCTCCCCGGAGGCAGAACTCGCACTCCATGCACGCGAATCCGGGCTCGACGGCCACCCTCTGGCCGACGACCCGGTCCTTGACGGCCGGGCCGACCTGCTCAATCACGCCCGACGACTCGTGTCCGAGGACTAGCTGCTTCGAGACCGAAGCGCTCTCCCAGTTGTGGCAGTCCGAGCCGCAGATGCCCGTGGAAATTACCTTGACGAGCACGTCATTGTCACCGAGAGGCTTAATGGGACGTTCTTGCACCTCGAGCTTCCTGGGCCCGACCCAGACGCAAGCGCGGTTGGTGGTGATCTCGGTCATGGTGGGTGTCGATTACTTGAGGATTGATCTGTTGACGTGAATGTTTAGAAAATTAATGAACAGCTCGGAATAACAGTGATCATGCTCAAATTTGAATGCAAGATTGGATGGCATACGACCCTTTTTTCGTGTTATTCCCTATCATTGTCGAGATGAGTATTCGGATCGGATCACGGGCCCTAGTGACTATTATATCGGATGGGTATGACAACTGTGGGGTTGGGAGCAGGGATCAGTGAGGATCATTGAGGGTATTGCATGGCCTCAATTGCAGTATATCGGGAATCATTTCCCTACTTTTCTTGCTGATAAGAGTGTACTAAGCCACTTTGGATACTCCGAACAACATGATTCTCACTTCAAGCATGCCAAGCTCGGTTCCATTGCTGCCGCTACATGACAGGGGTGCTTGCACAGGAGAGCATGGCAAGATAACCCTATCAGATTGAACATTTCTCTTAAAGAAGGGACACCAATCGTATATGGCCGGAGCCAGGCTCTGTGTTGTTGTTCATACCCGAAATACACACCGATCCAAGACTGCGCCATCAGGTCAGTGAAAATTGGAACAACATGGCATCCAAAGACATGGCTCAATCTGTCACATCCCACGCAGGCGGTGAGGTCGACACTTGGGATCCGAAAGAGGAGAAGGCCTTGGTTCGCCGGATCGACCTGCGAATCTTTCCCGTCATGATTGTCCTTTTCATCCTCAATTTCATCGACCGAAACAACTTTGCCAATGCCCGCCTCAAGGGGCTCGAGAAAGACCTCAACCTCACAGATGTTCAATACCAGACATGTATATCCATTCTCCTGGTGGGATATGTGGCAATGCAGATACCATCAAATATGATCCTTAGCAAGCTTTCTCGGCCGAGTTGGTACATGTGAGTGATAGGACGTATATTTTCCTCGCCTTCCAGAGCGTCATTTCAATGGGGACTTCTCCCGGATGGGCATGCTTCGATGACTCCGCGGTGCCATCCAAACTTGCTCTTTCGAATCAAAAAAGATACAACAGAAAGCTGACGTTTCGATGTGATCAACAGATGTGCATGCGTTGCATTATGGGGCGTCATCTCTGCAGCGACGGGAGCAATCCAGAACGCAACGGGGGCGATACTATGTCGATTCTTTCTAGGCTGCATCGAAGCCTCACTATTTCCCGGCAGTATTGTAGGCGTCATACCTGCATGAAAATTACATGAAAAGTAGGCTGACAGTGTTACTTCCGTGATCCAGTATCTATTGGCGCGGTGGTATACCAGAAAAGAAATGCAGTTGCGGGTGACCATCCTCAATGGAGGTAATCTTGCAGCACAGGCCTTTGGGGGCTTGATTGCAGCCGGAATTCTTTCCGACATGGAGGGAAAAGCAGGTCTGCGCGCTTGGCGATGGCTGTTCATCATTGAAGGTGTCATCACAATTGCTTGCGCAGTCATTGCCGTCTTTATCCTACCCGAATACCCCCAGACGACCAGCTGGCTCTCGGAGCGTGAAAAGTTGATTGCCCAAAAGCGACTTGCTTTGGATGCTGGAGTCGCAGAGACAACAGAAAACGAAAGCGCTCTCCATGGTCTCAAGTTGGCGGTGATGGACCCCAAAGTCTGGCTTCTGGGTATCACCTATCACGCGACCATCATGGCCTTGAGCGTAAGTCGATTGGTCTCTAGGTGCCTATAACAATGCCGCGACTGACATGAAAAATTAGTTCAGCTACTTCTTCCCAACTATTACGGCATCTCTTGGTTACGACACGACAAAGACCCTTCTCCTGACTGCTCCGCCTTGGATCTGGGCTCTGCTCTTTTCCCTGCCCAACGCATGGCATGCCGATAAAACGGGAGAGCGCTTTTGGCACTATACTGTCCCCGCCGTGATCTGCATCATCGGTTACATCATCTCAATGACGACGACAACGACCGCTCCTCGGTATTTTGCCATGTTTATGATGACAAGTGAGTATCTGCGGCAGCCCACAAGACGCGCAAATCATGGGCTGATGACTTTGAATAGCTGGATATGCCTGCGGCTTCATGATGCTCGCGTGGATTTCCAACACCATTGTGCGACCAGCTTCCAAGAAAGCCGCGGCAATCGCCATTGTAAACGCCTGCGGTAACATTGGCAGCATTCCTGGCTCCTACATATGGCCCTCAAAGTACGGCCCATACTACGTCAAGAGTTTCGGCGCTGAGCTGGCCATTTTCGCGTTTGCTGTCCTGTGTGCATTCATCTTGAGGATGTATCTGAAACATTTGAACAAGAAGCTTGACGCCACCGAGGAGGTACCGTACGAGGTCACCGATGCCTCGGCTGCGCGCACGGCGGATCTAGAGGGCAAGTCGCCAAATGCAGTGGTCGAGGATGCCAAGGGCTTCAGATACCTGTATTAGAAGTGAGGTTGGGTTCATGCATGGGGAAGTTGGCATGCTAGAAGGCGTTTGGCGGCATCGAAAATCAGTCTTGTCAACGTATCCCTGAAAGAGTATATGTCGTGGCCTTGAAGATGGGGTGTCAAGAAATCAGTCTCTTGAGTCAAAACTTTTGCCCAATGCTATTAATGAGATGTGATAATATACCAAGTTAGCAAATGTCTGCGCGTGGATGCCATATTATCTTCATTAAATTACAAGTAGAATAAGCCTCGCCCCCTCCTTTCTCTTTCTTTCTTTTATGAACGAAGAATAATAATGAAAATGTTTCAAACCCATTTTTTTGACTCATTTGTTTTGTGATATTTTGCCGTAAAGTTCTTTCTATGGATTCTTGATTTATTTATATTCAAGACTTAGATTAACCAAGACCGCCGTATGCAGAATCTCGCTCGGTCAATGTAGCTAGAAATTATTTATAGCCATTAGCGACTCTCACATCTTGTCCTTTCTCAGCCGTATCAGACTGTTTCGACTTTGCTACAAGACTTTGAAGTTTTGACATCTCAGTGCACATCCAGGCTTGAATCGCCACGATATCAGCACCACAGTTCACGAAGTGGAATCCTTGGTCATATCGCTGTGCCGCTAGAGTTAAAAGCACAAAATATCAGCTGTTCATCCTTCGTATACTTGTTAGTCATTCTGGTTCGAGGATTGACTCACCAACATCAGCACTCAGGGCAAAATGACCAGCATATTTCCCTGCATCCAAAGTTGCCTTGAGAATTTGCGCAGTGGCATCCTGTACCTCGGGGACCTTGGAGTGGTCAAGGCCAGCATAGCCCATGGATGAAGCCAGGTCGTTTGGTCCAATAAAGAGCATATCTGAGAGAAAGAATTAGTCTTTGTGCTGATGGGATCCGCGAGTGCAGTGGTGAGATTACCGATTCCATCGACGTTTGCGATCTCTTCCACATTCTCGAAGGCCTTTCGTGACTCAATCTGCACACAGATCATGACATTGTCATTGGCGCTGAGCGTGTATTGCCCCATGGTCTGGTTGAAAGCTGCCGATGCAAACATGGCGCCTACACCCCGAACCCCCTGTGCCCATCGGTTGGATGGGTATTTGCAGGCTTTAACTATGGCTTCCGCTTGTTCCTGCGTCCCAAATTTTAGTCTGCTGTTTGTAGATGCTTCTATGGTACTGTAGGGGTATTAAAAATACCTTTGTCTCACACATTGGCACCATGATACCATGTGCACCAGCATCCAGGACCCTCTTCATCATCCATGGTTCACTGCCTGCTATCCTCACGATTGGGGAGCAGCCAGACGACGAAATGGCGCCAACTTGTAAATACATGTCGTTATCCGAAATGTTTCCATGCTCGCAGTCAATGAGAACCCACTACAACGAATCATTTAGCTTTTGTTCCAATCAAGGTTTGCGCATGGAATTGGAGTAATTGCAAAACTTACGTCCTGTCCCAATGGCGCAATCGTCCTCGCGAGCGTGTATCCGGGAAACTCGAGCCATTGCCCGACACTAGGTCCTTCTCCGCGCTTCGCTCTTTCGAGCGATTCCTGGAGCCGCGTTTTGCCAGAGGCGTTTACGACGGGAGACGCGATTTGGTTGGACATGGTTGTATGTGATTGAGTGAGTGGATGAATAGTGAGTTCGAAATCAAACTATGATTACAGAAATTGTCTAGAGCCATTCAAGGGCCGGATTTGGTCTGACCTGAGCTTATCAGAGACGACGTGGTTGAACTACCTGGTCCGGGCCGGAACACGGACCGACGCCGAAACGAATTGGTGGTGTGGTCATGGGAACACTTGATCGGGAGAAATAACCACTCATGCCGAAATGAACACGCAAGAAAACTTCAATAATCGGATCTGCGAGGAGTCATTCTGCTGATGTAAGGACCTCCATTATGTTCTATGGACAAACTTTATCACCGTTGTGATTTGGGTAAGCTATCGGATTCTGGCTGGTGTTGCTGGTAAGAAGCGGCTGGACCCTGATTTAGGACACCCCTGGGCTCAGGCCTGCTATAGTGGACAACTAGGGTATTTGTGCCTATGATCTTCTTCTGAAAGAAAAAAAGAAAAAAAGAGAAAGAACTTCCCTGTCGACCGGAAAAATTGAGTTTTTATGTACTTCATTACGGACTATATATCAATAGAGTAAACATCTTGAACATACACCTAGCTTCAGCTTTAGATCTATTTGTACCTGGCAGGGGAAAGGTCAACACTTGACTGGTTGACGAGTGTCGCTAACGTGCACACACTTCCAGCTGCTGGACTGATATTTAACATTCAACTATATTCGATTGTAAATTGCCAAATGGGGAAAGCGACGAAGTACTGCCTGGTGAACTGGCCGTGCTATAGTTGGCAAGGCCTCTTGTGGAAAATGACACTAGATCGAATACACACACGTTGAAATACTCGCAGAATTGGCTGTGATCAGTTGAACAATAAATACACTGGCACTCAAAGGCCATTAATCTTCCCTGATGACAGCGATTATGGGTCCTTGTAATACTCCAACCTGCATGTCTTACGTTCCAAGGGGATAGGCAAGTGCTCATGTTGAAGCGTTCAGTGCAACCCTTTATCTGCCACGAGTCTGGAAAGTGGGGAAAGTGTCGGATGGGCCACCCAAATATCCCGACGGCTGCTATCTAGGTACAGTCCATCAATGATACTGTATTGTACTCTGACAATATTGTCCGGACTCTACGATTGTTGACCGAATATTCGAGTGTCTTGGGAGATCTCTGCCGATTCCAGGTTGTCTTGCCCTTACAAGGTACCTACTTCTTCCAGCGGCCCCAAGGTCATTTCCACGATGGGCCGGAATGCGGCGAAGCGGGACTCCACTGCCGCCGACGCCTCAAGTGCCTCCACTACCAATAGAGTATGGCAAGCCTGCATAGCTTGTCGCAGAAAGAAGGTGTGGTTTTCCCATTATCAAGTCCAAGTATATGCTTGGGGACTCTCATGCTGACGAGACTCTCATGCTGACGAGACTCTCAGGTGAAATGCGACGGGCAACAGCCATGTCACAACTGCAGCTCCCGTGATGCTCTTTGCGAGTACCCGGGGAGTAACGACAATGCTTCAACGAGTCGGCAGTGGGTCCAGTCATACCACTGAGCCTTGACGGCTATACTGATGGAAACTCTTAGATATGCCATGTCATTTGAAGCACGCTGCCAACAACTCGACCTGTTCTGCCAGCGTCTAGAAGGCCTTGCAGGTCAACTCTCACAGACAGTCGAGTCTCTTGTCAGAGCCAAAGTTGGATCTGAGACGTTCATGGAGGACGAGCTTGTTCAAGCAGCCAATGCTTTGAGATCCTTGCCAGACGCCGGCGAACACATGCCATTGGCCTTGGACCCATCATTATCAGGAACCGGGCCAGTGGTACAGCAAGAAATAGAAGACGAAGCACCCCAAGATAATCATGAAGAGTCGGACTCTGAAGCCTTTGAAGATGATGGCCTCGACTTTTCGGTTGATCAGAATGGTAGGACGGAGAAGTTTGGTTCGCTCGTGACAGACTCCTATGGCAAACTGAGGCAAGTCTCCAAATGCCGCGCAACGCTTGCTACATGATTAGCTGACCTCTAGATCAGATTCGTCGGAGGTGCGACAAATAGTGTTTTGATTGAAGCGATACAGAGTCTCTCACCCCCAGGGCAATCAGCTGTATCGGATTCCCCCGGAATGCTCAGTGTCAGCCGGGGTACTGCCAATGAAAGCGCCACCCAGCCTCTTGAAGTACCTCTTTTCGTTCATGGTCAACGTTGGCCCGAGCTACCACATTTGCCAAAGGCCGATCAGTTGAGCCGCCCTCCGCAGTACATTGCTGATCTCTTGGTGAATCTGTACTTTGACCAATTACACTACACTCTCCCCGTATTGCACAAGCCACATTTCTTGGCTCGCTACAAGAACCTTAATTCTTCACGGTCTTCTGAACAGCCGGACAAGAGGTTCCTCTCCGTCTTCTTCGCCGTGTGCGCGTGCGCTGCGAGTCTCTTGCCGTCCGATGGCAAGTCCTCGAGGTTCCCTGGCCTAGACTACTACGAAAAGTCTCTCTTGTTGCACTATGCATCCCATGGCGAAGCCTCGCTCGAAGGCGTGCAGTGTTTGGCCTTGCTTGCCATGTGCTCGGCTGGCTGGAACACTCTGACACAGAGCTGGAACTATGCTGGCAGGGCTGTTCGTGCTGCACAGGACCTAGGTATTCACTTGAGTAGCTTGGTAAGTGCCGTCGGCATATTTCATGATAATTGAATCGCGTTACCAACCACGTACAGATGTCCGTTCCAGGCGAGCACCTGGATCCAGCGGCAATGATTCGACAGCAGTTATCAAGACGGATCTGGTGGAGTGTGTACACCTTGGACCGGTAAGTCCCGACTTCCTCAAGTAGGGGAGAATACTGGCCTAATTGCTTCCTCGATGATAGTGTCACGTCGATATGCCTAGGGAGACCGATGGCGGCTCAAGACGCGGATTGCCACTGCGAGCTGCCTCTAGACATTAGTGATGACGACCTCGATGAATACTGCCGGAACAAACAGCATTCTCCAGTAAATCCGCCAGTGTCCACTCCGATGACTGGCTTCTTGGCTTTCGCGCGGCTATGCCGCATCGGAGGCAAGATCCAACAATTATATTCTCCTTCGAGGATCCGGGAAATTGCTAAGCCCGCAAAGGCTAAGCAACGATTGCGGACTATCGGCTCTCTGGATAAATCACTGAATGAATGGTTGATTAGCCTACCAGACGATATACGCTTTAGTGCGAATCAGCTTGATCGAGGCCCAAACTTGACCATGTGTGTGATCATGTTCATCGTCCATGCTGGATCTCTCCTCAATCTGTACCGGTAGGTCATAGCTTTTGCCTGTCGGGTACGCGTTACACTATGGCTGACATCATCAAAGGTCACTTGTCGGCAGTCTCAATCAGGCACTGCCCGGACTTCAAGCAATCGATGCAGTATCCCACTGCGTGAGTGCGGCAAAGAGCTGTATCAATGCCGCCGAGTTGGTACGTGAGCTGGTGCCACCTTCGCATCACCTCGCATTTTGTGTGCATTACCTGACATTGTCGGGCTTGGTATTGTAGGTGCCCTGCCCTTACATACGGGGAGAGAGACTTTTTTTTTTGGGTACAGGACCGTTGACACTATAATTTTAGACTTCGAATGCCAGGGTCTCCCCACGATTCGACCCTCCCCGATGTGCGGAAGTGCGTTAGTTTCTTGAAAGACCTGGAAGTGACATGGAATGGGGCAGCAAAGAGTCGTGCCATAATCGAGCAGCTCATGCACGAGTCAATCCCCGAGGCGAGAGCACCCAACGGAAGAACGTTTGAAAATTCAGAGGTTATTGAATCATTCTCATGGGATCAAGTCCCAGGAGCAGGACTCTTTGGCTACGATATTCCAGGTACCGATGTGCTCAATGCCTGGTTATTATGATCATGAATGGAATCGGTTTGAAGCACAAAAGGAATCTTGCCCAAGATCTGACATGACGCGCATAATTCAATTGATCTAGCGGGTGTGACTATCGCGTACATACTATATGTCATGTGCAAGGCGCAACGTATTGACCGACTTTGATGGTGACCAAAATGTACATAGTTCCATTCCTCAGGTTGACGACTCTTGCTTGACCACTTGCTAGTAGGAGTATTACACATCTGTGCGATTGCCGACAAGGATTGAATCCATCATGGTTTGCCTCCTATTCGGATTAAAAAAGACTGCGAATAATAGTATGGATTTACGGAATAACGAGTCGGACATTTGCCAGCGGCCCCTAGGCGCTGTCCACGAACCAACGAGAGAGCTTCTGGCTGACCACCGCTGAAACCTTACTCTCCACCACGCTGTCCGCTGCCGATCGGGTATCGCACCGCACCGCCTAATCGGAACCTATCCGCTTCGAACCCCCGTCGCTTATCATGAGTCCTTTCGAGTCTCCGCTATTCAAAGCATCATCAATATGAACATACGATCGAATTGATCGCCAGTCAAGTAATAGCGTCTTTCTGGATATGTGTATTATCAAGTTGAATACATGTTCTCCGAATAACTATATCAATCTATCATATCCCCCGGATTTTTCAACAACTGTCGACCCCTCTCCGGCATATAACAATCAAGCCCCGCATTGCCAGCAGCTTGCTTGAAAATAAAATAGTCATCAACGCCTTTTCACAACCTATATATCAGCGTACAGTCAAAGACTTCTTCTCAGGGCTTTCAAAGTCTTGACCCATACACACCGTATAATTAGCTGAGCGCTGCAAACATGGCACTTCCTTCAGCACCAGTCGTCACATTGGCAGCAAATGCCTCGATACAGCCGCCCCTCTCGCGACGTGGCCACGGTCCAGGTGTGATTGTCATTGATGCCGGTCTCCCCGACTCTTCGGTAGCAAAGAGTCTCGACCCAAAGCCTCAAAAGAAGTGGGCAGAGGAGGGCTACGCGGTCGCGCGGGCCACATTCTCACAATCGAGCGCCGGTGATGGAGCTTGGGAAGCCGAGTCTGTGCTGGAGAAGGCTGTAGATGCTCTGGTGAAATTAGATACCTGCGACACCAAGGACAAGTTTGCACTTGTTGGTAAGTTTTGCCTGGAATCAACTATGCGCAGGGAAAACGGAGGGACTGACATGAGTTGCAGTATATGGCACACCTTCAGACTACCCCGCTGGTTTCTCAGACAAGCTGAGAGCTGCATATAAATCTGCTGCCAGCATTGTGGCGGCAGTAACATTTTCATCAGAGTGGGATCTGTCAGTAAAGCCAGAATTGGTGCACATTGCAGGCAAGCCAGGATCACCAGTGACCAGATCCAACACATCGACGTACGACTACCCCCAGGTTGAATCCGAAAAGTTCATCGTGCCGGGCGCCGAGGGCTTCAACTACTCGGCGGCGTCCGTGGCGCACACCCGAGGCCTGACCTTTATCAAGAAGCACCTCGGGGGCCCCAACTTTGACCTGGAGAAGATTTGGGACGAGCACACGTACTATGAGTTTGACGACCGCTCCGTCGAAAAGACCATGGCCACCATGGTCGACGAGCCCTACGTCAACCACATCCCCACCATGACGGGTGGCGTGGGACGCGAGAGGCTGACCACCTTTTACCGCCACCACTTTATCTTTAGCAACCCCGAAGACACAGCGTTGGAGCTGGTGAGCCGGACGATTGGCGTGGACCGCATCGTGGACGAGTTTGTCTTTACGCTCACGCACAATGCCAAGGTTGACTGGCTGTAAGTACCACCATGAACTTCCACTGCTTGGAATTTTTCCAGACCGAAACAAGAAACACACAACTAACAATGAGGAAAACTAGACTCCCCGGTGTGCCACCAACGGGCAAGCGCCTCAGGCTCCCCTTTACCTCCATTGTCAACATTCGCGGCGACCGCCTCTACCACGAGCACATTGCGTGGGACCAGTGCACGGCCCTGATCCAGGCCGGCCTGATGCCAGAGTACCTCACCTTTCCCTACCAGGTCGACGGCAAGTCGCCCGAGCCCGGCAAGAAGTTTGAGTACCGCGTGCCGGCTGCCGGGTTCGACGTGCCCGACAAGCTGCAGGACCACGGAGCTGCGGAGAGCAACGGCATGTTTTCGTTCGAGGTTAGGCAGGTTGATGCTTAGGCCAGAAATATTATAATGAATGAATAACAATTCAATTGAACATGTCGTCTTGTGCATCTTGTTTCAGTGTTCCTCGTATTCAGTCAAGTGTTGGAAACGTAGGAGAGCCACCAAATAGAGTGTGGCCAGTAAGCTTATCGCTTAGTTGATACTCAACACTTGCATTTCTATTGGCAGGGTGTGGGATCAAGTCCAAAGTCTTGCTTGTATAATTCGCGCACTGCACTGGTGCATTCAATCGTCTCTATATGTGTAGCATTGATTCAGGACAAAAGTCATCTTTCTATAGGTTCAATATGCTTTAAATAGGGTGCCCACAACATCTTCTGGCGCGCGCTGACTGGTCGCATTATAGTTGGGAAGCAGAGAAATAAAGGCCATATTTGCCCCTGCAACTGTTACTTTTTCAGGATTATACTGATTCCAGGACTTTATCCCATTCTTCATGATCGATTGTCTCTGGATGCGCGGCATTTAGTCTTTAATACAATGCCTGGCGCATACGTGCTAATTATTGTGCATATAGATGGTGCAATGAAAATGGAATTAAAGTCAGACCGCTGCCAGTTTCCTGGTCGCTGATTCAAACGCTGATGAGAAGCAGCAGGCGATGGCGGAATACCTCAAGAAACAGGGCTTGCAGGGCAGATTAATGGGAGGCGCATCGCCCCGGGCCAGGGGGTGACTCGTTCCTGCATCTGGCTTATCAGGCGCTTCCCATGCCAGCTAAACCAGATTGAGGCTTGGCGCCACTGGGCACGGGGAGCCGCGCTCAAGTCCCACCCAGGTGATCGTGTCAATAATTGGGCACATGACGCACAGTTCCATTGATACGTCGTGCTGCCATCAGTCATCTGTCCAGTCTGTGTTTGCCTATCTGTTTCTTATCCATCTCTTCCTCTTTTGTTTATCACATCTCTGTTTTCATCTGATTTTCTGTTCTCGATCCTCTTTTACACCTTCACAGACGATACAGGCGTCACATCATGGTCGGATACACTCGACGCCAAGTGGCCGCGGGCCTAGCTCTCATGGGCGGCCTGCCAGCGCTCGCAACTCAAGTTCCTCTGGGCCTGGATACCAATCGCGAGCAGCAATTGCCGCTGCAAAGCGAAGGCAGCGCCCTGCCCTTGGTCAGCACCGAGGCGCTTCAGGATAGCATCAAGATTGACAATCTTTTTGCTCGCGCCAAGGAGCTGTATGAGATTGCAAAGCTGGGCGAGGATGAGTTCAACCATCCTACGCGCGTTATCGGCGGTGACGGTATGACCTCTTCTCCCAATCTTACTTATTTCCATTGTCCTCGACACTGTGCTCTATATCGCTATACTCGAGAAACAAGACTGATAGTTTCTTTTTAGGACACTTGGGGACGCTATCGTATATATACTCGTCCCTAGCAGAGCTGGGCGACTATTATACTTTGTCTAACCAAACCTTTCCCGCCGTGACGGGACGGGTCTCCGAGTATCGTCTCGTGCTGGGCGACCAGGTCCCGAGCTCGGCGTTGCCCATGGGCCTGACGCCCCCGACCAAGGACAAGGAGCCTGTTCACGCAGACCTGGTCCTCGTCGCAAACGCCGGCTGCGATGCTTCTGACTTTCCCGCCGAAGTCGCTGGCAACATTGCCTTTGTGCAGCGTGGCACGTGCGCCTTTGGCACCAAGTCAGAGCACGCTGGCCGTGCTGGCGCCGTTGCCGCGGTTGTCTACAACAACGACGAGGGTCCTCTTTCCGGAACACTTGGTACGCCGTCGCCGTACCACGTTGCCACCTTTGGCTTGTCCGATGCACAGGCTGCACCGGTCCTAAAAAAGCTCAAGGATGGAAAGCGTGTAGATGCCATTGCTTACATGGATGCCGACGTCCAGACTACCTACACTGACAATATCATTGCCCAGACCACCGCTGGCGACCCTGACAACTGTGTTATGTTGGGTGGACACAGCGATAGTGTAACTGAAGGTCCTGGTATCAACGACGACGGTTCTGGTAGTCTTAGTGTGCTCGAGGTTGCTAAGCAACTTACCAAGTTTAGCGTCAACAACTGTGTCCGCTTTTCTTGGTGGGCTGCCGAGGAAGAAGGCTTGCTCGGCTCGGACCACTACGCAGCCAGCCTCAGTCCCGAGGAGAACCAGAAGATTCGCTTGTTCATGGATTATGACATGATGGCCAGCCCCAACTTTGCTTACCAGATTTACAATGCTACCAACGATGAGAGTCCGGAAGGATCGGAGGAGCTTCGAGACCTCTATATCAACTGGTACAAGTCTCAGGGTCTCAACTATACTCTCATCCCCTTTGATGGCAGAAGTGACTACGATGGTTTCATCCGAGCTGGTATTCCCGCTGGTGGTATCGCCACTGGTGCAGAGGGCATCAAGACCAAGGAGGAAGAGGAGCAATTCGGCGGCAAGGCAGGTGACTGGTACGATCCGTGCTACCACCAGCTTTGCGATGATGTTAGCAACCTGAATCTGACAGCCTGGGAGGTGAACACCAAGGTATGACCACCCATACACATCATGAATCTATTTGACTTCGATAGAGTTAATACTAAGATTTCCCAGCTTATCGCTCACTCAGTTGCCACCTATGCTGCCTCTTTCGAGGGCTTCCCCAAGCGAGTTGCGCTGAAGTCTTCGGCTACCGGCGTATACGAGGAACAGACCAAGTACCACGGCGCCAAGCTTTTCATCTAAATTGTTTTGAATGTTACGTATACAAGTATGGCATGAAGGAATGCTAGCATTTACAGCGTGGGGCAATATCCTGAGGCATGATTAGACTCAAGTAGAATGATTCATTAGAAGGCGAGTCTTGATGTGTTATTAATCTCATGAGCACAATTGCTTGACGAAATGATTGAATCAAGCAGCGCTATAATTGACTTTTCAGTGCTTCATGTTGCTTTACCAGGCATTCTTGAGTGTGTCCAGAAACCCGGGTCTGTAGTAATGACAATATATGTTGATGCAGTACTCACATATAATGCCCAATCAGGATAGGCATTATTGTCATTTACAAGCAGGCCCATGCCGAGTCAATGCCAAGGTAGGACTTATTATCAGCGCCAATGACAAGCACATCGAAACAGGATGCGTCCCGACTAGACGTAATCACGAGCGGCCCGAGCCATCAGCCAACTTCCCGTGTGGCGCGGCAATTAGTGCGACTGCCAGCTAGTAACGCATTTTCGCTTGCCGTGTTTTCTTTTCGCAATCTGTCCCGTGAACGGATGCGCAATATGCTCTTCTGCATGTACACTCTTGTCATCACAATCTAGTATCGGGCCAAATAGCGATTGTTCTCATCAGTCATTGAATTTGAATTCAAGGTAACGCTACAACAAAACGATGGCTATGTGGTCTATACCAACAGCAGAATATTTAAACTCGTCGTAACCCGTGTATATACATGATGTCATGACATGATCCTCCTCTCATCAAATAGCAACCTCATCTTGGGGGAAAGCATTAGGCAAATGCTCTTGTCCAATTGTGAGTCTCTTTCTCCTCTCTCTCTCCATTTACGAGAGAGTCTTGGTGGCGAAACCCAGGGTTGGGGTAGAGGCACCGTTGAAGACAACGTAGGCGGCCTTGAGGGCAACGTCGCCAAAGATGTTGATGCCGATATCAGCGCTGGACTGCAGACCACCGTAGCAGGTGGAGGAGCCGTCCTCGACGGGGGCATAGTTGAGGTAGGTGGCGGGGATGACGATGCTGACGGAGCCGACGGTGTAGGTGAAGGTGGGCAGGGTGGCGGTGCAGGGGAAGACGTAGCCGCCGTACGTGTTGGAGTTGCTCGAGCCCGTCACCTTGGCGTAGTAGTTCTTGACCACGGTGGCGGGGAGCAGCAGCAGCGTGGTGCCCGTGTCGGCGATGCCGTTGAGGCTGGTCGAGTAGCTCGTCGTGCCCACCTTGTAGCTCGACGCGCTGAACTGCCAGAACCCTTGCGAGGTGCTGACCGACGTGTAGGCAATGGAGCCCGTGTACTTGGAGCTGTCAGTCTTTCCAAAGTCGTAGGTGCCGGCTGTAAAATTATCGTGTTAGTCTCTACATCCCATTTCTCATTGTTACCGAGTATTTTACTTACGGGCATCATGCTTCAGGTCAGCAACGAACAGGGGCGAGCTGAGCGAAGACTTGACATTGTCAAAAAAGGTCTTTTGGGACTTGGGCGACACGGTGTTGATGGAGCTGAAAGCCAGACCAACGAGACCATCGTTGTTGGTGTCCTGGGTGAACTCGGTAGAGATCTTGCTGGCGGCCTCGACGGCCTGGGTAGCGTACGAGACGCCACCGATGTTGACAACGTCGGTGTAGACGTCGCCAGAGGCTCCCGAACCGTCGCCGTACGAGATGCTCCAGGTGTAGCCGCTCAGCTTGGTGGCCGTGCTGCTCTTGGAGGGGCTGTACACGCTGTGGCCCGACTGGTAGCTCGAAGCCAGCTCGGTGCTGAACACCCACAGGTCCGAGGAACCGGTGTCAAAGTCGAGGTTGAGAGTCTGGGCAGGCGTGCCGATGCTCACGGGAGTGAGGTACTCGACATCGTACTCCTCGGGCGTGGTGACGGCGCTGCCCGTGGTTGCGCGCTTGGTGTAGGTGTGGTTGAGCGCGGCAGTCAAGTACTCGGGCAGAGGAGCGCCGTACTTGCGGTAAGCCTTGGCCAGAGCGGCAGCACCATTGCGGACATAGTGAGGGTTGCGGACCTGGGTGACAGTAAAGTCCTTGGTCTTGGGACCCTCGGCAGTGGGAGCGGCCGAAGTGAAGGAGATGATGGCAGCCGAGGCCAGGAGGAAAGTCTGCGCAAAGGACTGCATCTTGATGTCTTGTCTGGCTTTTGAATAATCACCGGCGACGACTCAGTTGGAGATGGAGAGACTGATGTGGTGAGAATGAATCCATCTTTGTTGACGAGGGCGACAGTGCCCTTTTATAAAAGAATGGGCAACTGTCGATGATCATCTCAAGATAAATGGGATATAGGTATATCTGATGAGTGATTATGCCGTGTAGACTAGCTCGCGCATACTCCAGTCTCTTGCTCTCTCCCTGGCTCCGAGATCTTGGCGTTCTGCTAACCCCCATGCCAGGACATAAAGCTTGTTCCTTTGTCCAAGCCTGTGTGTAATGTACCGACTACAGAGAGGCGCCACACCACCATCATCATCCTTGGCCCCTGTCATTGGGCATGTCGTTGCGAGGGAAGAGACATGCATATGGAGTATAATCCCTAGACATTGGCAAACGAGCAGTTGCCGAGGCCTGCACACTAACAGCCTACCTACCCACAGTAGAAAAAGAAAAATGCGTGATTCAGTCCATCTGACGAGTGATGGGCCATGGATTCTCAACACGAACCACAATCGATCGGCCAAGGTGGGAATTCCCACGAATCCTAGAGTTGCCCCGGTCAATTGCAGATTGCAGCATTGTACGAAGTACATGGTTTGACAGTGCTGTATCTGGAGCGCAATCTCCAAGAGCGGTAAACCACCCAAAGAAACTATTGTTCGCCCCGCTGAGGGCGACCATCCAGGAGCCATCAAAACCCCTGACTCAAGCGAGACATGCACTAGAGCCTTTTAGCCAGCAGAGCGACCCAGGGTCTATCGAATGCGAGAGCTCCGAGAGCACCCAATCAGCAAATGCCTTGAAGTACTTGTATATCCTGAACAAGCAAGATCAACAGTCGTGATCATCCATTCTCATGATGGCGACTTTTACACACACACACGCACACAAGCACCCAATTGGAGCTTCTTTACAGTTAATGCAGCAGCAACCATTTCGACTTGTCCATGAGGAGGTTTCTGTTGCCTGCACCTTTCAACTGATTTGAGGCGATAAAGGAGTGAATGAATGAATCAATGAGGGAATACACAGCAAGTGTCGTGTGAACCACATGTCTAGAATAGGAGGCGTATTCTGTACGACGTCGGCCGCTGCTGTGATACTCCGGGCAAATACCGTATAATGCCGAGAACTGCAACATGTCCGAAGGAGGCTGAAATGCGCGGCGCATCATGTCAACTTCTCCGTGGCTTCTAGACCATTTCAAGCCGCCAGAAGGTCTCCGTCGGCTGCGCAGGTTTGGTTGCGTTATGTGGGGCGAGATTTGAGTAGCAGTGGTCGTAGCAGTTTTTCGTGATCTAGGTAGAGTAGAGTAGTAGATCTAAAACTGGTCCACGTGCTTTACATTACGGTGACGATGGACTGAATATGCCACCTTCTTAATTGGGATGTGTGCTGTCCAAGGCATTCGATTGGGAGACTCCGTCCCGTGTCTGTCTTGCATACTGTCTGCTTTGGTCAAGGCGATCGGGCAAAAAAATCGAACGAATCGTGAGGCTCGAGGCGCATCGCAGGCAAGACAGATTACGCTGGTGTTGGCGGTGCGTCGTGTGTTTCCGATTGCGCCTCTGCAGTCATCTGTTGCGCGTCTTGCTTCCCCGACCTGTCAATGTGACAAGCCGCTGCAGAAGGACGGTAAAACACAGTCTTGGCTCTTGGCGACTCAGACCCAGAGGCAGCCAAGACCGGACACGTCGCATTCAGCCTATACCATTGATTGAAGTTGCATCTTCATTGACTAACCATGGTTTTACATGATCATATCGATAGCAACAGCGACGAGATGACGATAGTGACGATGAGATGCGATGAATAATTGTAGCGAGGCGATATCCGATCGTTCATCTGATGTCAAGAATCAAGCTTGTTTTCCTTTTTGACATGGCTTAATCGAGAAGGTGACATGCATGGCCCGCACTAAAGAGTGCTCCTAGCGGTACGCATTAAATCAGTTGGCAATGCCTACGGCGCACAAGTACCTGTAGCTTAGCGCACTGCAAACCCTCCTGGCCCAGTCCCCTTTGGAGAATGTACAACCCCCAAAAGCTTAAATGTTTAGCGGCCGTGATAAGCTTTCTTGGGCGCCACGTCCTCGGGAGCAGCGTCGCTACGCTACATGTGCTGCGCGGAGCTGCAATGTCGCCCACCTCGGCATCGCGAGCCTCCATTTGACCTCCTAAAGAGTCCTAGGTTGGGCGGCTTTCAGCCAGAAAAGTCCATCGTGTTTCAACGCCCCCAGATCAGTCTCCGTCCAATGACACTTCATATCCGAAGCAGGCCCCCAGCATCGATCCGAGATGCGCTAACTCATTCCGACAGGTGCCTTGGCCAGCGACCTGCCATTGGTCACTCCATACTCGCTGGCCTGCCTGGACTCCGATGGAGGCTCTGGCTCCCCGGGCTTTCGAAATAGCACGCGATTCAGCGTTGCGAGTAGACGACCGCTTCTCATTGGATAGGTGGAAAGATTATGGATCAACCCCGTAATATACTACCTTGACTTACTAAACATATCTCCAGTCTCCAGAGAAGCGGCAGTGGCCGTGGGTTGCGTGCTAACCCCTGCTTTGTGTATCAACGTGCAGCTGCTATGCATAAAGTGTAATCTCTAACCCCCAGCAACATCAGTAGCCTCACTGGTCAGAGGCTCCAGATTACACAATCTCACAACGACGATGACAACAACCCTTCCAGGTTACCGCTGGTAACTCGAGTGTCAATTCCATTACTCATCGTATCATGCCCACTGCCGGAAGCCGGCATCAATAGAAGATACAAGCATGACACCATTGACGCCTTGCCGACCGAGGGTAGTATCATGGAGCAGGACTAGACCTACACTTGCTCACAAGAAGAAACTGCTCTTCTATGCGGCGGTCCTTTCAGCAAGGGGCGTACCGAACCAGAGCGACAACATTACGCATTCATGTCTGTTTGGGCGCCGTTTAGGACTTTCTTCAGGCCCAACGTACCATCGCCTCATGCATACCATTGCCCAGTCACTGGTCCTACAGAGTTCCAGAAGCCTTTGGCTATAACACGATCTCCGGAGGCCTTGTTTGGTCAGTATGGCGTCACATTAGGCCACAATAAGACAATGGCGTCTAGCTTTGGCCGTTCAACGTCTCCATTCGTAAGATTCACTATGATCCCGAGATAGTCACCTTCCTTTTGTTCGACCGAACCTGAGATCAATATTTCTGACGTCTTTCACTGAGAATATGGAATCATCTTCGCCATCATTGATGACTCGAACGAGTTGTCCTGCAAGACAAGCTCGATGAGTCGCCGCCATAATTGCCACCACTGTCCTTGACCTAGTCTCGAAGCTTCTCAAGATTCGAGGCAACGTTGACAGCAGCACATTTCATGTTCAGTCTCTTGAACTCGGCATCTTGCCACAAAGCCACAGACGACACGACCTTTCCACCATTACTTCATAATGTTCGGAAGCAAAGTATTGCCCTTGTGTGCCATTGCGCAACATCACGCAGCTTCATACTACTACCAGTCTAGGTCATCATCGGCGACTCCATTTAATTACATACTTTGGCCACGGGAGGACAGACACAACGTAAGAATAGGATCATCTTTGCAATCTGCCTTCTCAACTCTGGCCAAGTCTCCCCCCACAGCCGCGACAGTTTCAATCGTTGTCTCCGTAAATGTCTCGTCTTGGATGACAAAAGATAAACTTGTCAACCGCATCCATCTATCCACGCCTTGAACACCTTTGAGCAATGACATACACATACGTATAATAGTCTCATGAGAGGGCTGGTGTTGGAGCAACTAGAGAATGGAGCGTTGCTGCTCCGAATAGCTCTGGAAAATCTGGTTGTGCTCCATTTTGTGGGAATCCCAATCGCATGAGTGGCCATGGACTATTGACAATAGCGTGAGAAGTCGTGATGTTGACTGAGCGGTACCGAGGACACCCTGGCAATCAAGGACAAGCAACAGCGCTTTGGGGTCAATGCTACCTCCCGTAAACGTGCCGAAACAGTCCATTGTGGTGAGGGATGCCTTGACATCCATGGCCTTCACAGAATATTTGATGTGGTAAAGTTGTGTGATGTCCATGAATGTGAATTTCTCTCGAGAATACTGGCCCAACTCCACAATGGAGAAAGGCATTGCTCCGGCAAAGACGGCTGAGGTTCCAAGCAATCACCAGTCTACTTGTCCCTCAAGATCTCTTGCCGGGAGATTTCACTCAGAGAAGGCCACGGGGACATCATGGCCAAAGCTACATGGAGTCGTCGAAGATCAGAAAGCAGCCATCGCTTCCAACTAGATTATACTTCACTATTGCAGTGTCTGGTTAGGTTCCTTGCTACTACTATACATGCACCATTCCGAAGGACCGTCAGTTTTCGTGGATATTGCCTTTGAGATACTTGAAACATATTCTTCGATGGCCCAATAAAAGGATGCAATATGTCAGAGTAGTCTCCTGCAAAATCTGGTCTTTTCTATCTAATGCAACCTGATGCATTACGTCCGCGCGTTCACAGATGCAGGCTTGGTAGACGTCAGCTTTTGACTTGACACAACCTGGTTTCTACTGCCGGAGTGCCTCATACGTACACTGTTTTCTGCTTCCTCGTGGTCCAGAAGGCCACGCCGCCTACTCTACGTATGATCACTATTCTCTCAGAAAGCTCAAAATTTTATTGTCCCAAGTCTTCAATATCATGTCGACCGGTCGCGATCTTAATTGTACGTAAATTCATTCGATTTATTTCAGTTTTCCACTTCTCTACAATACCCTATACTCCTCCTACTTATACCAACCAAATTGATTTTCGTTCGGCTTCACGAAATTGCTCGTCCAGATACTCTCCAAAAATTCTCCCAATACCAATGCGCTCAAAGCAATCCTCAAGTCCGTAAACTTTCGTGGGTCTGATATATAAAACCGTATATGCTGTCAGACGGCGCTCCCTGAAACCTACAAAACTGCCCCCACGTATTCTATCAATTCTTTCGAGTACTAACCCATGAAGATTGATAGCAGCCTCACAATCTTCGTCCGTCTGAATGTCTGGATGCTCAATCGATGCCCAACCTGCAGTTACCAGGCTTTCTCGAGTTAACGTTACTTGCCGCCACATGTTACTGCTTTGGCCAGAATCGTGACCAGTCAATCTTGCGGCAGTAGAAGTATCGTCTTCTGTCGGAAAATTGCGATGGATGAATGCCGGTGTACACAACCCACGCAATCCAAGAATTGCGAACCGCTTGTCACCATCATACACATTCTCTGGCGGCCGAAATCTCAGTGCTCGACCGAAATTCGGTCGGAGATTCTTGGTCACTGGGACTGGCAATACAGCAGTCAACTCACATACCGCTTTGCCATCTCGATGGTGGCCCCACTGAATAGCCAACCCTGACCACACATTCTGTCGCTCGGAGTTGGTGACTAAGGCGGCCATTGATGCCCATGACCACGTGGGTATGCCTCTGATTCGTCCTCGGTTTCCCGGCTGTGTCTGTTCCCAAAGCAATCCTCGAATAGCCAGTAGCCAGGTCCCCGAATAGTACTCCACTTTCATTGCATCGGCATCCGACGACGAGGCCTTCGCCCTCCTCATGTGGCGAAGGCTTCGGCCAAACTCGATGGCAATACCGGAAAGCGCCATAAGGCGGTCTTGCTCCAGCTGCGTAAGTTCCAGGCTGGCATAAGTCTGCACAACCTCCTCCCATTGGGCCAAAATAGACGAGGTGGTGGTAGAATAGTCTAGAAGTGTCTTGTCAAAACTCCGCATCCACTAAACTTATTTTATGAATTCATTCTTTTGGAGGATCGTACCTTTTACCCAGTCTCCTTGCGAATCGGCTTTAGTTGGATTGAAGATGTCACCTAGGAAAGATCGGGCAGGCCCAGTCTGACATTGCACGAACATACCCGATTTAGAAAAGAAAAGGAGACGCCTACTAAGCAGCCGTTCTTGGTATATCCAGCCACGGCGGTTGAGTTCGCCATCGCTGACTGACTTCATGAAATCTCTCTGTAGCGCTTTGGAATCAGCAGCCTGGAGGTAGAAATAGCCGTTTTGTTTCCCATTCATATCCCGATACGGGAGTCGCGTGACACGTGTTATATCGTTGGAAGTGACATCATGGAATAACCCCCTGTCTTGTGTGTATGCTGCCACAACAGTGAGCCATGAATACTGATAGTACTCTGCCATCTTGGCAGCCTCCCGTCTCCAGTCAGCTTCATCGTCTTGTACGATACAAATCGAGTCGATCCAGATATACTTAAGACCTAGTGCAAAGGCGGCTTGTCCCGCTTCGTACATCAAGCGCGTGATGCTATTAGGTGTGGAACAATTGAAACCCTGCTTGCATCTAGTCTCATAGTTATCTTTCGTTGTCCTTGTATCAAACGTTTCCGTGGTCCAACGATGACTCAAGGCGATATATTTGCCTTTTTCGCCCTGAGTCCTTCGCAGAAAGAATAAAAGGTCGTGCTTAGTGCAGCGTGCATTCCCACAAACGGAGATAACCTCAATGCATCGAGTTGGCAGGCATGCTAGTTCGACATCGATGGAGTGGCATCGGGACAGTGTCTTGTTGCAGCGCTGATGGGTTGAACAGCATTCCAGGTGCCATTTCCTAATAGCTTGGAAATTGGACTTGGACAAGGTGGATTTGTCTGCAAACAAACGGCCGATAATATCCCGGGACTCATGTGCTGCCGTGCCGTCATCTGCTGCAACATGAATCCAGGTTCGTGATATGGTGCTTCGGTCTGAACGCCAGAGCAAATACCTCGAAGTTGATATGAAGGCACCAATGGCTTCAATATGGAGGCCTTTACTTGTCTCGTCCTCCCCAGCGATAAGCTTCGCACGTCTGACGTTGAAATGTATCCAGGGAGGCGAAGTCCACGCCCACATGGAACCGATGATATTAAAGAAAGAAATAGATCCATGTTGATATGGCCATCTCATATTTCGCCTACTTCCAAAAGGTTCATCGGAAAAGACAAGGTCATTCTCATCATCAGTGGCGTTCAGATTTATCAGCAGGAAGCTGCAGAAAGAGCATCCTGTCTCGGCAGAGGATATAACTGATGCTAATGAATAACCTCTCAAATCGAAATTGCTTCTTTGAAAAACTTGAATGTCGAAGTCGCGACAGCGCTGGCAGAGTGACTGAGCCATGGCCAAGTACTTCCACCAGATGGTGATGTTCAATAGAGGTCAAAAGTTCCAGGTGTAAGACATAAAATAGTGGCGTACTGAGCGCGAGATGAGGAGAGGGGAGGGAAGGAAGAAAAGAAACACTCGAGGCCTGAACGTATCACAGGTCGCATGTGCTTCACCCCGCTCATACTCGAAGACTTTTCAACCCCAGCCTCGCCAGCCTTTCATTGTTGTTAAGGCGGAGTTGCTCTATTGGGCCACCCTCACTGCCTCCTCATCGGACTTCGGTTCGACACAAAAGTCCGAGGAGAGTATGCACCTGTCGACCAAAAATACACATGTAGCATGAAATGATGCACCCCGCCAGTTGCTCCATCATTTGTCTGAGACATAAATTTCAGGCATTTCGACGACCAACACATCGTCTTTTCTTCCTTTTCACAGCAGTAACATGTCTTTGCAATCTTTGAGTCGAGCCATTGACCGATCTCTATTTTGGATATCAAGAAAAAAGACGCGATGGGGAGCCTTTGGCATGGTAGCATGTTTCATCTACACTGCGATTTCCACCCTCGTTATGGTGGTGTGGCTCGGCCCAGAAGCGAGCGCACAATTCGCCAACTCAAAAGTTCCGAGTCTATCTCCCGATGACGAGTGCGATGTAATAATACATTCCACGTCAACCAACATAATGATCACAACAGTCGTATATCTAGTCTTCCTGCCAGCGCACGTAATCTACCTTGGGTGTTTCTGGCCCCATCACAATCACACTACCATACGCAGTTACATTGTCTTGGCGTTTACCCCACTTCACTTGACACTTTCAATATTGCGCAAGGTGTGGGGGAACAAGATCTCCGGGGCGACGATTACCGCCTGTATAGGCGGCGAGGTAGGAAAGGACTTCGACAAGTGGAAGGAAGCCTTTGCAACGGCTTTTATTCTTGAAGTTCCGGTCTCTGCTTCTCTAGCAGTTGTGCAATTCGCGGCGGCCGTTTCCTTGCTTTGGCTACTCCCGTCTCCTTCTCGGTTCCCAAAACATTACGAGCCAGTAATCGTCAAAGGAAGGGGGTTGCAGACATCAGAGCCCGTTTCAGAAGTTCTACAATCGTTTCAAGAATCAACCACCGGTCCTAAAGGTCATTTGGAGGCAATCTTTGAAAAGCATGAAAAGGCAAGAGCATGTAATATTATTTCTGATAATCAGGTTCGCGCCCTGTATCTTCACGTTTGAAATGTGCCATATTGATTTTCTAGGTGTTAAAACCGAGCACATGGCCGAAGCCATCAATTAAAAGACAACAAAGCGAGTGTCCAGAGCAGGCTCCTCAGCGGCACAATATTGGACCACGAATCGAGCGCCACTTACAATATTGGATATCGCCAGACCGAAGGCTTGGTGTCGATAGCTTTGTCATACTCTCTATATGTACGATTCTGGGTGTCTGCTGCCAAGTATCTGTCTATATTTATATTCGAGCATCACATATGGAGTGCCTTTGGTATGCAAGCCATCAGCTTCAAGAACCCTAAGAGTCAAGTGTCTGACGGTACTAGGGACTGCCACTTGCGACTAATTAGTCCAATACTTTCTGCCCTCTGGTTGATGGTCTTCCAGCTCTTATCTTTGTATAAGATACCTTTAGACTTGGTATTGTTTGGTAAGGCTCGCTTACTAAGTATACTTGCTATTACACTTCTTGCTACATGGATCCTTTGGCTGATAGCACATGTACTGGTTATATTATATTATATGCGTTTGAAATTGCATCTATTCGATTTATCCATTTCTTTTGCAGACCTTTTCGAAGGTGGGTTTGGAGCTATTGCTTGGGTGGCTGCAATGACACAGGGTGTTCTTATTTTGCTTTCTAATCGCTCGAAATGAAACGGACGACCTTCCGCTTCATTCCATTTATGGTACTTTATTAGCAAATCACCATTTCCTAAATTTAAACTTATGTATTACTTGTACCCAAAAACACAGAAACACCACAATATTACGAACATGCACCCTTGCATACGGCAAACAAAGGATGTTGGCGCTTAAGAAGGCAACATGCGGGGCTTAGAACCGAAGCCGCAAACATTCCAGACAAGGACCAGGCCAGCACCCCTGCCAGCTGTCAACGGCTATTAACAGGCTCACCACTAGATCAGTAATCCAAAAATAAGACTCACAATGGGATCAGTAAGCCAAACGAGAACATTACCGCTAAAAAGGTGATCTAAAAACATTAGTAAGGGAATAAATAGGTATATATTATAAAAGGATTTCCTATATAGACAGTCATTACCTCAGTAATCAATCTAAGCATCTATCTTACCCATAGGTAAAGCATTTAATACGCTTTAACGACCATACTTATAAATCAATTCAATCACCCTTACCTTCAAATACTCATTGCTCAGTACTTTCTTTTAAAGCTCTCGTCCCCTGTTAGCATAAACCCCAACACCTCTTATACTTCAGGTTTATTCTAGAAACCCGTAGTGTAGTCGTTACACACAATCACAACGAATTATACTCACCTAAGCTAATAGGAAAAGCAAATAGAACCTAAGAAGTCTGTAGAAAAGCGTTGGTCAATCCTATTGAGCTACATAAAAAAGACAATAAAATTAAATAAAAAATGGCGGGGGAGAGCTAACTAATATATTCAGCAGGTGGGCAACAGTGAGTAGGTAGGTATGTATTCCCGACGTGAGCGTGCCAGTTGCTGCTATCTTGCTACAACCTCGCCCAAACATGAGGATATCCAATTACCTAGTCAAGACAATAACTGTCGATATTTGTGATGGATTTGTGCGAAGTCGAGATGCTTCCAAGCGATGCCGTAGCCGTACTATCTCGCATTTGACCCATTCCCAATATGTTCTACTGGTAGCACCGTTAGACCTTACCGCTTTTTGTAGCAAACTTCGATGGTGTAAAAAAGTTTGTGGTGTACAAGCTGTCAACAAACTCGCGAACGCGCACAATCTTACTTCCATCTTCCGTAAAATAGAAAATCACTGGGCCAAACATCAGTGACTGGTCCAAAAAAAAGTTTCTGTTCTTGCTATTATGACAAATATGAGATAGTCTCAATGAACATCAAACTGACCGGGGCCGATCTTGAAGATGAAATAGTGCATGAAGTGATGAATGAGGTTTACCGACGCCACTTACTGATGAATTCGTTACGATATGGTTCAAAGTCCGAGTCTGCACTTCCTCGGATATGAACAGCCACCTTATTGCTGGCTGCGTCCTCTACAAGATCTTCCACCTCGGCCTTGTAGTTCTTGAGTAACGGCATCAAGGCGCTGAAGTGTTTGCGAAAGGTTGCATTGTCTGCAGGAGGTCGCTCAAGAGACTCTGCAAGAGACTGATAAGCATATTGCGGAGAAGGATAAAATGTATATTGCACGAATGAAGTTTCAGCTTACTTGGAAGCATCTCGTGGATACAACTTTCATGGCGATATGACATGATTGCCTCAATGTCCCAATCATTGAGGGCCTGAACGGCCTGGAGTGCTGTTTGACGTCTCTTGGACATGGCGCTAAATAGGTACGTGGATAACAGCTTTGGCCTGTGATGAGACAGATGTTCAGTCTTGCGCCTTTTTCTTCGATGGGATTTGGTTAATATGGACTACTTATATTTCTGAAAATTATGATATCGGATAGCTCGGAGACTTTATTTCTCTGCTTGTCCCGCCTCTCTTGGGCCCTCTTGGCGTGGATCTCGGCACTGCGCATGGATTCAATATGAGCAAGGATGAACGTAACGGACAATACACAAAGACCGGATTGAAGACCTTTGGCGTCTCGGACTCGGGCCGCTTATTTGGGCTCATTGGTGATACGTTCAATACGTGGCTGCTGCGCTTAGTCAGCGCATACCCGAGATTGTGCCTAGACAGGGAATTGACGGGTGAGGCGACTCATGCACCTTGTAATTAATCTGTTATACACTTCTATTTGCCCAGTGTCTGTGTTACATTCGCGTCCAATGTTGGATCCAGTAATCTCCTCGTCGGTGGATTGACGATGCAAATCCGTGAGCTAACCTACGAGGCGCTCATTTCGCGGCTTCAAGACTACATGCAGCGGTGGCTTATTCCAGAAAAAGCAAACTTCCTGCTCTGATAGCCAATTTCTTGAGCTTTTGCTCAGTTCAAGATCGAAATTCCAAATCAAACGAGCTAGTACCAGGCGCATCTCAGTGAACGCAAGGCTATAAATTTGGTATGTGATTAGCGCAATGCTGTGTGCGAAAAGAAAGAAAGGTACGGTAAAAATCACTTACTTCATACCGATACAGTTTCGTGGACCATAAGAAAATGGTTGGTGGGCATCCTTGCAATCATTCGCAAATCGCTGATCGTCGAGCCAGCGATCTGGAATGAATTCATCAGGGCAGAGGAAATTGGAGGATAGGTGGTATAGCGCATATTGCCAAATACCGAGAGTTGTCTGAGTAGTAAAGTTAGTATCGAGACACTCACGAAAGTGATGAAGCAACTGACCCCCTCTGGTATATATCTACCTGCAATCTCGGCGCCTCCTGGTGCGGCTCTCCGAACTAGTGCAATCGGTACGGGCGGGTACACCCGCATGACCTCTTTCAGAACCGCAAGCATGTATGGGAGATTTTGGACGCTGTTGATGTTGATCTCTTCCTCGTTCTTAAAGGATGAACGGATCTCTGTACTGAGCTTGGCCAAGACCTCGGGATGGGTGCCCAGGAAGTATGTCGTCGCGGTCAGGGTTGTCGCAGTTGTTTCCGAGCCAGCCGTGGTGAGCAACACGCTATTGTCGACCATTTCTAGTTCTGACATGGACTGAGCGATTCATTTGATTAGTCAACGCAACTCAAAGCGGGCTGATTCGAACAAAAGTAAAAGTAAACTTACGTAGCCACCCTTTGCTGCCAGCATAGCATCCACAAAGTCGGGTCTAGTTATTGGCGAGGAAAGCCTTTTCCCCAAGCTGGCCTTGCTAAACTCGATACTGTCTTGCCGCTTCCTCAAAATATCTCGAGGCATCAGAAGTACGAAATACGATGGCTTGAGGATGGAGAAAAAAGGAAAGTCGTTTATCGCTTGGAGCCAGGGCAGAAATTTGAGCGAGTCGAAGAGAATGTTGACCCAAGGGTGGGCCTTTTCCTTTTCGAGACACCCAAACGATTCACCAAAGGCCAGATCGCCAATCATGTCGAAGGTCATGAATTCATACCAGTCGGTCATGTCGAGGGCCACGGTACCATTGTTGCAGCGTTCGCTTATCTTTTGTAGGAACAAATTGATGTATCTGTTGATCAAGGGTTGCTGATCAGCCATGGCCCGTGCCGAGAAAGCATGAGCCAAAGTTCTCCGCATAGGACCGTGCCTTTCACGCGAAGTAGAGATGAGGCTCTTGTCCAGGCTTTCGTCGGCGTATTTCGGGTCTTTGCCATGTTCGTGCTGCCCATGCTTGAGATGTCCGCAAATCTCTTTCCAGGCATCCGCATGCGCAAATGCCAGCTCATTGGGCCCGATGCGGACCACTTCACCATACTGCCTGTGCAGATCTAGTAGCTTGATGTGAGGTTTGCCAGACACGTTGTTCAAGGCTGCTGGGAGTGCACTGGATGCCCACAACATCGGGCCCGGAAACTTGCGCAAAGGGTGCAAGTAAAGATTGTATATGACCTTGGCCACGCAGTAAGCAATGATCTAGGAAACGTCAGTTCCGCGTTGCACAAGTTGGGGTTTTCTGGACGTGGTGGCACACAAGTATTGAGAGAGTCCCCAGTCCCGAGATGAAGACTTGAGCGTCAGGGACGAGGCTGATTATTTCCACCATCTTCGTGTCGTTGCCAGGGTTTCAAAGTTACACAAGGGATTCTGAGTCGAGGTCTTGCTTCGAGCTCTTGACAAAGATACTCTTTGGAACCCAAAGAATCTGTGCAGGAGGATGGAGTTATTATACTTCTGGAAATGGCCATGCTTTGGTCGCAAAGTAAGTAATCATTGAATTGTGTCGTTTTGTAGACATGATCATTGGCTAGAGGATAATAGCAGGGACTGGTAAGGCGTGTCCGGCTCTCGATATGGTCTATATCGCCCGTAATGCCCGCTGACTCAGCGGCGAATCTAGTCTGAATGACTTGATTTGCCAAGCCTAAACACCGTTTGATGATCATTTCCTCGCGGAGCATTATCCCCCAATGACAAGACGACCATAGTCGTGGCCCTGGAGACAAAAGCGGAGGTTGCGCAGAAGAATAACTCTATGCTACCGACAGTTGGGCTCCAAAAAAAAAAAAAAATTAGCGTCCATGGTAGCATGCATTCTGTTCCCTGATGGTCCTGCTGCATTATCTGTTTTCTCAATAAACCTTTGATTCCCCTCTTGTTTGACATTGTTATCCCCAGGAACTCGTTTTCTTATAATTTCAACCCCTTTCTCCCAGACCAGCCATGGAAAGGTGCACCAGCCGTGAGAAGTGCTTTGGCTTTGAAAACTTCCAGTTTCACACTTTAGCACGGGGACTCCAAATCCTTTTGCCAATTCGCAGTGTCGCTGGCAGTTGCAACATGGCCGCGAGTCTATCCCGGCATCTTAGTGAGCTTCTCGTCCATCGACAAAGCTAGCACTCTTTGTGATTGCCACTTGGTGTGAAGGTAGCAAGTCGAACATCGCGGTCGAAATCTTTGCATTGTTCCGTCTAGCGAGCCACAAATATTCTGCAAGCTACATGGCATCCTAGAGCGCTGCAGCTGCACCTATAGCGAAAGAGAATCAAAACCAGGAGCACCTTCACCAAGCGGGACTACTCATAGTATCAGCCTAACAAGCCTCTATAATTTGACTTTGCATATTTGACTCTATTCCTAGGTTTTCTTTGCGTTCTCCTCTTCAACATTCTAGATCTCCTACGATACTTGAGATACTCTGTTGTTATAGTATAAATGGCAAAAGTGTCCTACCCCTTGAGCAGCCCGGACAATAGCCGCCCAGTATGCCTTGTTGGGATTGATAAACCCACATGTGCTTTGTCGCGTACGAGTTGTTGTTGGCATCGGAGTAGGTAGTGTGGCTTGAGATCTTGGCTGCTCGTCTTCAACATTTCAAGCGTTCCGACTTAACTCAGTTCACCTATGTTGTAACTATCGCATTTCTTGTTGGCTGATGTGCAGATAATTGCAGCGATATTGGACCATTTGTTTACGGAATTTGTGAGATTTGATGAAGTTTCTTTCTTTTTTTCTTTTCGGTGTTGGGGTGAGAAGAAATAGTCTTGTTTGGGTTGTTTGTTGTACTGTTCTTTGGATAGCTCTAATGTCCGTGTGGCAGTGCGGGAATGTACAGAGGAACTGCACTCAATTTATTGTGCACCCTCGGCGTGGATCATTGCGGCAGTAACCGCATCTACCAGATGACCAGATCTGCATCTGCAAGGGGCAGTGGGTATGCAGAGAGGGTGTAGGCATCCTGCCCATCTTGCTGACTTCTGCAGACCATCGCAAAGAGGCACAGCAGGAACAGGCTATGCACAGGTACTAGGCTGCATTGACTAGCGCAGGAGGAGGCGCCGGATTGCCAGCGAGGGTATCGAGACCTTGCATTGACGTCAAGAGACGCTGGTGCAAATCAATTGTCAGAGAAGGTCTACTTGGTATTACCTAATGGGAGGCATATGGCGAGTCGTCTCAACCGTGCATTCGGAGATCGACTTTCAAGCTGCTTCGATTTCTCCGACCTAAGTCTAGTCCTAGCCGTCCGGATGGCCGGGTCAGCTTGCGTGGTAGGCATCGGACGGGCGATCCGTGATAGTGGAGTCAAATCTGTTAGTGGTGCTGGGTGCTGCAGACTGTGCCGCTGGAAATATTCTGATTGTACACCTAGTAGGCAGGGGTTTGCCGACGACGTACAGAGTACTAGAACTCACCATGAAGTAAGTTTTACCGTTTGTATGCAAAAGCAGAGAGCATTAGATTGAAGCATACCGAGGTCAGTCAAGACTGACTTTCTAGATAAAAGAGAAAGACTTCATCGGATTCCCTATAATCAGTTTTACTTGTCTACTGCTCAGCCACCTCACAGGGCTCTAGTAGAGGAAACCCGGAAATTCCGGCTGGCCGACGCTAATGACACAAACAATCTAGGTTAGCTAGATCCCCCTGAATAACGAGCGCACAGGGCCGCCCACCGTAGCTAAATGGTCCCTAGTACCTAGCACATGGTGCTAAACTTCATGCAAAGTCGTATTCGGTAGCATTCGGGACAATTACACGGATCCATCAGAATGATCTCTGAAGGGATCTGGGCCGTTAACGTGCCGTTGCGAATGGGTTACCTGACGAATGCAGAAGACTTTTTTTATAGATCGCCCCGTTTTGCCAAGAGCACTTGCTCAGCTATGCTACATGCAATGAAAATTACTGCTGCCGTTATATATAGTCCTTGGCAGTTCAAGCATTAAGTGCAGACTTTTGTATATTCCTCTTGCAACAACTCCTTGCGTGGCCACACTCGTTTATCACCACGTTCATTCATCATCACACTCATTAATTACCACGATAATCCTTAATCGCCACATTCACTAATTCATTTTATTCATTCATTTTGGAACAACGCGAAAAAGACGACATTGGCCCAACATGCGCCGCTCCTTTCATATAGCTGCCTCGGCTCTGGCGGTAGCGACTATAGCCACCGCCGCCACTATCGAAGACCTGTGTACAGTCTCCAACGTGCAAGCCGCCCTTCCCGTCAACGGAACGCTGCTCGGCATTGATCTCATACCATCTTCCGTAACGACAGCTATCGTGTACAACGCCACTGCCGAAGAAACCACCAAGCTCTACGACTATTGCAACGTCACGCTTAGCTATGCACACACTGGCACAACCGACATTGTCAAGCTCAACTATATCTTGCCAAGCCCCGATGTGTTCTTGAACAGATTCCTCGTCACCGGCGGTTTTGCCTATCAACTCAACACGGATTTCCTCGGATCACTCGTGTATGGTGCTGCCACTGGCGGCACAGATGGTGGTTATGGTGCATTGGAAGGCACATCCTTCAGTAGCGTACTCTTGAAGGGCAATGGTAGTATTAACTGGGATAACACAGTGAATATTTCGATCACCGCACTGGAATTCAACAAACTAACATTGCTATAGTACATGTTCGCCTACCAAGCATTGGGCGAGCTGACCATGGTTGCAAAGCCTCTTCTTCAGGGCTTTTATGCTACCTCAGACAAAATTTACACCTACTTTGAGGGTTGCTCAGATGGCGGACGACAGGGCCTCAGCCAGATCCAGCGATACGGCGACCTCTACGACGGCGCTATTCTGGGTGCTCCGGCCATCCGCTACGGACAGCTCCAAGTGAGCCACTTGTACTCGAACCTCGTGGAAAAGACCCTGGACTACTATCCATCGGCATGCGAACTTGCAAAGATTGTCAATGCAACCATTGATGCCTGTGATCCTCTGGACGGCAGAACGGACGGTGTCATCTCACGCTCAGATCTTTGCATGCTCAACTTTAACCTGACATCGATTGTGGGCGAGTCCTATTCTTGCGCTGCTGCGTCGGACGGTTCCTCGCCAGCTGTAGAAGGATCCGTTAGTGCAGAGGGTGTCGCTGTCGCCCAAGGAATTTACGATGGTCTTCATACCCTTGACGGAGACCGAGCGTATGTCTCGTACCAAGTCGGTTCTGCTTTTAGCGATGCTGCAACACTATACAACTCGGACAGTGATTCATGGGGGCTTAACATCAATCGCAAAGGAGGCGAATACGTGGCCAAGTTTGTTGAACTGCTCAACATTGACAACTTGCCGGATCTCGATAATGTTACCTACGACACCCTCGTGGACTGGATGACCACGGGCTTTGAGAGGTACGCGGACAGCTTGCAGACCAGTCTGCCCGATCTTACCAAGTTCCAATCGCACGGCGGCAAAATGATCAACTACCACGGCGAATCCGACCCCAGTATCCCGACCGCCTCGACGATCCGTTATTGGCAGTCGGTCCGCTCCATCATGTACCCCAATGAGTCGGAAGAAGACTCTCTCGCGGCCATGTCGGAATGGTACCGACTGTACCTTGTGCCCGGCGCAGACCACTGCAAGCGCAACACCCTCCAGCCGTGGGGACCGTACCCCGTGGGCATTGTGTATGCCGTCATCAACTGGGTCGAGTTTGGAATAGCGCCAGAAGCGCTCAATGCTACCATTAATTATGGCCCGTATGCGGGAGAGGTGCAAGGTCTATGCGCCTGGCCCACGCGGCCCCTATGGCGAAGCGACGATAACAGCACGTTTGATTGCGTGGATGACAGCGCAAGTGTCGCTACTTGGGATTACTCGTTTCCCGCTTTCAAGCTCCCAGTGTACTAAATACGAATTCTGCGGTCATAGAGGGGATCAGGAAAACATGCGCTCGACGCAAACAATACATCATAATATAATGTCGTAATCTGAGATTGTCTCTCTATACAATGGCCATGTGTTAAAAAGTGAGATGCAATTCGCGATAACGTGTAAGCATCCATGAAGGTGCAGTTACATGATTCTCGATATTACTTTATTATCTAATTTTTAATTATGAATCAATAGATGAGTCATTTCAAGGTCAATATTATCGTCAAGACCATAATGAGAGTGCCCATGCCCAGCTTGTAGCCGGCCGAGGCTGAAAAGGACAATCGGGAGGTTGTCATCGTCCATCACATCCAGATTCGGAGGGCATGGCATATGTCAATATTTCTATGTTCTTCATATATATATCACGCAAAGAGCGCTCGCTTAATAATAAGCATCTGTGGATTGCAGTGGTTTAGATTTAAGCATATCGAGTTTGAGAGAGTACTGAACATGCTTCCAAAAATTACTTCACGGTATCTCGATGACGTTATATAGCTAAGATTTGGGCCTGCAAAACGGCTGGGCAATTGACATCGCGATGGATTTGACTGATTTGATAGATTTTGCAACATGTGTACCTAAGATGAAAGATGATCAAGGTTGAGTTCTAGGTGGGCTTTTTGCAAAGCGCTGTTAAAAACGGAACAAAAGGAAGGTCACTCCTTTTCAAGAACTATTGAGGCTGCTGCGTCTGGAGCTGTAAATATAACGTTGATTCTCACCTGGCATATCAAAAAAAAAAAAAGGAAAAAAAAAAGCTATCACTCGGGCATCACTCCCACTTTAGTTCGCACAAAGCTTGAGACCGAAAACAAGTCAAGATTTTCATCAAGACGTACCAATTCAGGTCACGATATCTATAAAACACCACCGGTAAGAAGTTTGGCAATGACCTCCCAGTATTGGTCATCGCCAATTGCTTCGGGAAAATTCCTGCGGCCTTGAAGAGTCTCAAGCATACTTTCTTCCAGTGTCTTGAACGGCAAGTCGGGGTATAGTTCCTTTGCATCCATGTACCCCAATTCTTTCGCATATCGAGGGCAATTGTCGCCTCTCACCCAGACGGTATTGAAATATTGCACAAACATCTTGTGCCACAAGGTATACTCGTCGGTCTCGGCGGCATTAGCCAACTGCGAGACTTTATCCAGTGAAATTGGCACCACTTCGAGCTCCTCGCCTGTAAGTTTCTTGGCAAGGGAGAGGCAGTCCAGCTGAGTCTTGATTTCACCATACGCAAATACGTAACGGTTGAGAGTCCGGGGGTCTGCAATGATGCGCGCCACAAATGGCCCCACGTCGTCCATCGAGGTGACTGCGGATGGTGTCGAACCGTCTCCAATCAGAAAGTTCTTGCCCACCATTGACGCGGTACCAAACTTGCCCGAAGGGACGACAGGCGTCACCCCCTCGTGCCAGAACCCGATATCAATGATGGTGAAAGGAAGTCGAATCTTTTTGATATGGTTGAAAACCTGTTCCTTCTTTATATTATGAGCAGTTTAGTACAGTACGCGTCCAAAGCACAGCGAGAGCTGAGAAAGAGAAGAAAAAAAAAACACCTACCACGTCTCGGAGGATCATGACTCCTTCGGCAGGGGCAACTGTAGCCCAGGCATTTGGAACAAAACGTTTGATCCCAGCCTTTACCGCTGCAGTGGCGAGGCCTATTTGGTCCAAAGTATTTTGGGGCGGGAGTGATGCAATCAGCACATCTTTACCAGCCAGTGCAGAGGTCAAATCGTCTTCGGGGCCCTGTAAGTCGGCTGCAATAATGGTGACACCGCGGCGGCGTAAATCCTCGACGGATTGCTTTTGGAGTGAGGCAGCGCGGACCAGAGCTGATACTTCCTTAATAAGAGATGGCATTAGACTATACCAACTTCTTGGAGTTTTTCTTTCTTTAAAAACCAACTCACAAATTTGGGTTCCTCGGAGGCTAGCAAGGCCGCGACGATCGACGAACCATTGTGTCCAGTGGCCCCAACAATGCAGACTTTTAACGACATATCTTGAAAACTATTAATCAGATAATTGATTGAATTGCCCAAGAAAACTCTTTTTTGTTTAAATCAAGGGCATATATAGTCAAAATGCGAAGAAATTATTCAGAGTATCATAAAATCCCGTAGCTTAAATCCGTACGCTCGAAGCGCTAAACTGGAGTTAAAGACAGTCCGCGACCCCGAAACAGCTCAATCCACATATACTCTCGAGACTTGGCGGCCTTGGCTAATAGAGGCTATTACGAGTCGGCTGTATATTGGCAACTCTATCGCATCTTTTCGGTGTCTCGGGGGATGAATAGTGCTTGCGTGATTGCCCTTTGAACTTTGCCAAACGATTGATTGGCAAGAATACGAAGCGCCATCTAGGCTTGTGATAGAACGATTTTAGGCTTAGTAATTCCGTTTACGCTAATCGAGCCGATCCCTTGCTATCTTAGGCCGGGGACTTAGGGAGCGTGTGCTTGTTCACGCTTCCCTTTCCGAGAACCGCGGGGAGTTAATGCGAATGTTATGGGGTGTGAATGTGGTTGTATTGAAGATGCAGAAGGTGAAGCTGGTGGCTGTAGGCAACCAACAGCTGTAAGCTTATAAGCTTATCAGCTCCTTATCTCCGCGGTGCTGGCCCAGGCCACTGGACTGTGCTTTATTTATAATGTGACCCCCTTACCATAACGTATTGTATATTTTGAATTTCAATAAACCTTTTTTTATGTCATGTTTCAAGGTAGAAGTTACATATATTTATTTGTAATTATTTATTATTTAATTATTTATAAATAAATTAGTCATTATATTGTAAATATTATCGCCAAAACCATAAAGAGGGTGCTCATGCCCAACTTATAGCCGGCCGAAGCTGAAAAGTCGTGCGGCGCCGGGAAGGAGGTAGGCTGCCAGGTGTTATCCTCCTTGGCCTCGTCCAAGTTGCAGATCTGGGCGCTGGCGTTAGCTACCGGCTCAGCATCACTGAGGTTGTATGCCACCTCGATCCATTGGATTTCCAGCAGGGCCGAGTCTCCAAGGGTCATATTCTCTGTCCAGGTTCCACCATTGCCTATATTGATACCATAAAGTCAGTTACGACAGCAAAGAGAGAGAGAGAGAGACAAGCAAGGAACACAGTGATGAACTTACCCCACATGGTAATGTACAGATGGCTAGGCTCGACCGGTACGTTGGTCGACGTGTTTCCCATGTGTACTCCGTCAATATACCAGACCACTTGGTCAGAAACCCAGTCCATGCGGTAGTCGACCCACTGCTCCCGGGTGAGATTGTGGGGGAGGGAGGTGTTGAAGTGCGTGGCGTTGATGTAGTTGCCGTGAATGTCGATGCTGGGCTGCGTGTTGAAACCGACAACGTGGTCCTCATCGCGGGTCAAGAGCTCAATGTCGGCTTCCTGGGTGTCGTTGGCATAGGTGAAGAAGGCGGTACAGGCACCCTTGGCACCAGTCACGCGCGCCCTCACGCGCAGAGACAAGTAGAGGATCGAGTCCTCATTAAAGTCAATACCGGCAGACTGGTGACGGTCGCTGTATTGCCGAGAGCTTGTCAAGCCCAGCGCAGTAGTCACGCCGGGATCAGCCTCATCGGCATCAAGGGTCTCTGTCAGAACCAGGGTGTAAGCAGGGATAGCTCAAGTTTGGATAGGCGGTTTTAGCGACATGATTTACTCACTCAGTGCTGCCTTGTCTGGCTGATAGTCAATAGGAAGCAGATTCTGGCCCTCGCCTGCGTAGAGCAAGCCACTTCTACGCTGCCAGTCGAGCGACCATCCCATGTCGGCGGTCGAAGCACCCGCCGAGGCATTGTTGGGGCTCGTTGCATTCTTTACAGAATCCCAAGTGTCTGAGGGAATGTTCCGAAAGTCATAAAAACGATAGTAGTTGTACTGCGCGGCTGCAGTACCGTTGGTGGCAAAGGCAGAGCAGTTGGTTGCGTCTGCTGCAGTAAAAAGACATGACAGAAACAAGAAAACGACAAAGAGAGTGTGGTAAACGGGCTGCAGAGCGGCGCCGGAAGCGCGCGAGCACAACATCGTCAAGTTGGCTTTGAGAACACCGACGGAGCGATGAATAATATCAACATGGACTCGCTCGGGGAAAGGATGAGACAAGAAAACTCAATCAATCCCAGATTTCTCATGGGCATGTTTTCCCTTTTGTCAGACTACTCGTGATGGGGATTTTGGACTCGCGTGAAGGGCGGGTCCTCGGCCAGGAAGACATCTCGTAATAGTGGAGTGTACCTGTCAAATCTGGCAATAGCATTGGGTATGGTATCATAAAAGCGCACACGATAATTTCTAATCCTTGGCAAGGATTTCCAGGGACAGCAGTAGCGCAAAAGCAGGTCACGAGCAAGAGGTTTTTGTTTGCACATTTTTCTTTCCACGGGAAGATATTCCACCACAATATGTACTCAGAAAAAAACGTCGTCTCATCTGTCAAATAGAGGAGGCATGTAGCGGGCGGGGTCTTTTCTCCACACGTGTATAACAGACTTTTTTTTCTTCTTCCCTCCCTTCTTCCTCTGCACTAAAATTTGTGCTAACACCTGCCATAGGTGGGGCCCCTACCAAAAACTTGGGAACGACGTTGGATTACGAGCAGTAACCTTAATTTTTTAGTGCTAATCGTATTGATTAAGCGAAAGCCAAGAAATTGGTGGGTTACTCCCCCAAAGTGCTCCTGAGATTCCACTCGAGTCTCAATGGTTGAACATGTATATTCTCGTGAAGATGAATTAATTGAAACCACATAACAAGTATCACATCATACGAATACCTGTCATGCATTTTGATTTGGCTGTCAATTGTCTCATACCCCTGCTGCGCTATCTTTTCACTCCACCAACAGACGCCATGCAGAGACTCCCCTATTACCTAGTTCATCTCCCCAAGTTCTTGTTCTGCAGATTTCCTTTTCCCAGAACACAAAACTTGGGTATTGGTCCTGATTGTTTGTTTTTTTTTTTTTTTTTTTTTTTTTATACAATATGTCATGTCCTGCTTTAATAACTTGATGATCTGATATCGTCAATGGTATCCCTTATGCCATTCACTTTCTCGACTTCTTCATCGTACTATGGGAAAACTCCTAGCGTCACCATGACTACCATGCACCTTCATACCAGCCATTAGCCGACTTTGGCCAATCATCAAAGACGGGTAGGAGAGTCCAGTCATGTGCAATGATGACCATGATGTCACCACCAGCATCGGACATCTCCATGGAACTCATTGTGGCTCGGGACATGTCGACGCCGTGTGGATGGCCGGTACAGGAGCACACGTCTCGACGAATATTGAGGCCTCGGATTTGGTCTGAACGGCGACGGGAAAACCCCGGTCGGCAGTGTCGTTCATTGGTTGGGACGCCATTTGGGACGAACAATGGCCAATATCGCCGCCCATGAAAGCGAACTACGAAAATTCATTGCTGGTTCTTGCGAGGGCCGCTAGGTGATCGACGGTATGCTACCAGAGTCAATCAAAGTCTAAGCCTCTGTAAAAAGAAAAAAAAGAAGTAAAAGGAAAGAAAAGGAGTGATAAAAGCACACGCCAGGCGTCTCGAGTGATTAAAAACTTCTCCCCTTGGCCAATGTATAAAGGAGAAGATGTAATCGAGGAAGCATAGAAAAACATCTGAATTAATCTACCATCTACAAAAGAGAGTTGCTGAAGAGCTATTTAATAAACCCGAGCAGGTGACCTGCGGTGGGTACTGACTGCATCAGTGCAACAAGACCTCCACCGCCAAACCAGTCAAATGCGCGGAAATTTCCCATCTTCAGCCCCTTTGTTTCATCGACAAAGTTAACCTGTCAATACGTCTGCCTTGATAATCTTCTTCCAAAATCTTCGCTTTGGGATTCTCGGGATATCCGGGAACCTCGGTTTTCTTGGAGCCTGGGCCGACTACAAGATTGGTCGTGGGTGGAAGCCCTATAGAATTGCCAACACGCTCAATGTGATGGTAACTGTCTAACGATCAGCACAACAAAATTCAATATTGTAGAATTTCTTTCTCACCTCCATGTTATGCCTTTGACAGTCTAAAGATACACATTGCCATTTTATAGAATATCAAAAACATCCTCTCTAGGTTCAAAGGTAAAGTCCTTGTGTTTTAGAGAACAGTTGGGATATCCTTCTAGATGTCTTTACGAATCTCTAGGTCAAAAAAAAGGTTGTGACGAGTTGCCTCGTATTTAATAAGAAAAGCAAAGACTGGAGCCGCACTCCCGCTCAAACTACTGAGTATAGATGGCTCGATGAACATTGAGATGGGAGTCATGGTTCAGAGATGATCGGAATGTTTCGAAGGGGATATCGGAATTTGTTTGTCTTGCGTGTCTACACTCATGCCGTATCTCGGGCTGTATGTGGTATATATACTTGCGTTCCAGGCAGTAAAGAATCTATTCGATTCTTCCGTGATACAAGTTTTATTTTCTAGCGGATCGATTTTGTCCCGAGACGATATCTAAAAATAAGTACTTGAAAGGCTAGTTACCATCTTGATGAACCCAGTGCGAAAGTAACTGCGCATTCATCGACCTCATTATTTTCGAAAACGAATGCGAGGCAGTTAGATGGCGACTTTCAATGATGATGAATATTGACCAACAGGGTGCAAGAGATGGCGCAGCCCCCACGGTCCCCGAATTTAGCAAGAAACTTGGACTTGAGTCCGCAGGCAGCGCGCGCGTTGATACCGGAACGGGTATAGCGTCGTCCAATACCTGGACGGTGAGGACTTCGTAGTTGAGCCAGACTCGTCGCGTTTGGGCAATTGAATGGTGATTCAATTTCATCGCAAGTCACAATGACATGCAGCCTGCAGGATGGAAATTTCGCCGACGGGCAAGCCTTGAGCCGACGGCCGTAAGGATGCAAAGTATACAAATACAACAGACTTGTCCCTCATGGATGCGTCCATATTCTGCATCAAATCACTGACAAGACCGACTCGTTCAGTGTTCAAATACGATGCTGCTATCATACATCAAGTTCTCACCCGCTTTGGGCGCGCTCTCTGCCCTAGGCCATTGTCTCCCCACGACTACATCAACGTCGTCTATCAGCATTCCTACTCCCACTTACCTATTCACCGCTGAACTCTACATCGGTAATATCCTCACGCCACCGATTCCTCTGCTTGAAGGCGGGAGTGTCACCATTGAGCCATTGGTCAACGGCACCGTCAAGGGACCTGCCCTTAATGGCACCATTTACTCTGGATTTGCTGCTGCAACCGTCGTGTCCAACAACACCGTCACCGGCAATAACGTCACTGTCCAAGTCCCTTCCATCTATGTCTATGGCGAGACCAGTGATGGATTGCCCTTTTACGTTCAGGAGACTGGTGTAGGGCCCATAGCAGGCCAGAACACGCGCCTCCAGATTGCGGTTGGGGGCAAGCATAGTAGCCTACAGACGGCCTTCATTATTGCGCAGCCAAGCATTAATATGGCTCGCACCAAGGTCACGGTGCCGTGTTTCAGCATACCCTTGGCTCCAGGTATTGCTTAAAGATAACGACACCACATTCACAGTAACACCGCTCAAGAATACAATTGGGGTTCAGGGCGACTTGAGGAGGTACCTTGGCAAGTTTTCAGATTTGGCAAAAGAGTAAAAGCTGGCCAAACACCACAAAGTAATAATGTGAGGTGGAGAAATGGCACAAGGATGACAATACAAGAGGCTTCTTCTTTTCTTCTTCTTATCATGGAACACGAAAAATCTTTATATACGACGACAGTTTGTTCAGAGATAGTATGAGAAATGTAACTATTATCTGAACCCAACTGCCATTCTGGATCTGATCTAGTCCACGTAGCGCGAGAATATCTGAATTATACAGCAGGTCCAAATCCAATGTTGCCATTATGCTCCCAGCCTTGAATATATTGTTTACACGCCCGATAAATTCATCCATGCTTTTGCTAGAGTCCTCGTGCCTTGAAGCCCACCGCGATCAGCCACCTCCGTCTTCACATATCCTCGTTGCATGCTCAAAATAAAGTTCACTATTGCCGTTGCATCAAATCCCGACTCGGTGAACCCCGCGAAGATATCAATATCCTCAGATGGCTCGTCCTCCATACCATAGTATACTTGAAGTGCCATTCCAAGCGGAAATGACGCAATCTTGGGACCCATGGCGCCGGCGCGCGGATGTAGGAAGAAGGGCATGGCTGACGCGACCTTGTGGACAAATATGAGCGGGTTGATCCTCGGAGGAAGTGCGTCATCTTTGTCAACAAGAGCAAAGAGATTTGCGTGAACCAGAGCACCGGTAGCCCAATACAGTATTGTCAGGTGTGCAAGAGCAAAGTCTTGAGGGTCTTTGGGTTCGAGTGAGTGGTCATGTTCGAAATTCTTCAATTTCGTCGTCTCGTTGGTCCATGCCCGGAGTAGCTCGTCGAGGCGCCAGCAACGACGCAGGATATCCTGCCTCAGGACAGTCTTTTCATCCAGCTTTGTGCACGCTTGCATGTGATCCACTTCCTCTAGTACCTGGCAAAGTTCGCTCAGTATGTCTAAAAGCTTGTCCCGCGGCGACTTGCGGATCGACTTCCAAGGCTTCGTGTTCCAACCTTTCCCGTCCAAGACAAACCGCTTCCTCTCAACAATTGCCGAGATAATCTAGTCATTGGTTACCTGTATACAATCGACATCTACACCTGATTCAACGTACTCACCAGATTGTATCGGTAGTCGACAAAAAGCTGATGAGCTTTGCCACTTCGGAAATCCTGGGGCTCCCTCAAGGTGAGCATTGCTAGCTGACCATTGGCGTGAGCGCCCCAGCTTCGTTGTTGTGCCAGCTTGTCTGTCTCATCAGCGCCATAATGCATCTATCTGCGCGATCAGTCCTTGTCTAACAATGAACAACTAGAAATCAAGTATGGAACCAACTCACTTCAAACAACGACAAGAGCTTTACTGTACACAGTATTCCGTCCGTGCTACGACGACCAGAGTCGGAAAGTGCTTTATTGAAGTCCTTTAAACACATGGAATATGCAGCAGACCCTTGCCGCATCAAACTTTGGTCAGCGTTGCGCATACCCATCCCGCGAAGAACAACGCTTTGCATGGCAAGTTGCAGAGTGCTGTCTGTGGAGAAGAGGTCCAGTGCCAGATTGATCCAGCCTCCGTTGCCTAGTTTCATGGCCTCGTTGGTTAGGGTCTCGCCGCAAGGCAGATAATGAGACCAGAACATGTCCATGTATCGAGCATTATAGGCTGTCTGTGTCAAGCTTTGCGACAACGTGACGTCTTGTGCCGAGGACGATTGGCTGGTATGACTTGATGCCGTCAATGCTGGAGTCGCTCTTGTGTATGTGGCCAGGTTACCTTGCGAGTCTGGTGTACTAGCGATAAAGACGGGGTGCCGACTGTAACCACCACACTGCAAGCCGGCTTGAATGCATCGCAAACAGGCGGGCCGTTGGCCATCACAGCCTTTCTTCCTGCTCCGGCATGTAATACAGCCTTGAGATCGACCTGGAACCCCAACCATGTTGTTTCTGCCTTTGCTGGCATGTAAATTCAAGAATGAAAGAGACTTGACGCCGCAACTTGAGTACTGATCTCACACTGCATCGGTACTTGTTCGGGGTGAAGGCGGTGCTACCTTGCTTCTATAGGTACTATAGGACATAGCCTTCAGGTGGCCATGGCACTCCTAACCGAATGGGGTTGCCACAATCACTACCTGTAAGGGCCCTGGCGCTACCGGCGACATACAGCAATTAGATTATGTTGCAACTCTCACTTCGGGTGGGAGTGATGTTAAAGAAAAATACGCAATGTCTTAATGACTTAAGAAGCTAAAATAGAATATTTATGGCAGATAAGTGCCTAAGAAAGTACCTTTGTAAAAATGGTTTCCTGCAACCTCCGACTTTTGTAATGTAGTTGTAGCAATCCGTTGTCCCTCCTCATTCTGTGCCCCTCACGAGCGAAATGCCGTATGTCCTCTATGACATCATGAACCAAACACAAGCTGATCTATAAATAATCCAAGACATGGATCAGAAGGCATTCCATCTTGATTGAGTGAATCATTATCTCATCAACCGCTCACAAATATGGTAAGGCGTAGGTACTGCATAATCCCAAGTCAAACAATAATGACTTCTTGCGACTCGGGTATATCAAACACCCAACCCCATACATCCTGTCTTGATAGTGTAATGAGACCCAGACGGCGATATGTATCACTCCCAACCATCTCAAGTAAGAGTCCATAACTTCGTCCTGCCAGCTTCTCATCTTGCTCCTCGTCACTGTCATCCTCGGACCCTGCACTCGTAACACCACAAATCTCGATAGCACTGTAAACATGTCCATCAACGACCTCGGCTGGATAGTCAAGATTGAAGAAAAATCTGGGATCATAGCCTCCAGACTGAGGCCACTTGTCAAGGCACTCGTCTGAAGTCATCAAAACGTCTCGACCAGCGACCTTCAAAGACGGTGACTCGTGGCTGACGTGGATTGCGATTCTCTTGGTCTTTGCGCGGACTTTGATAAAACCAGCAGACACCATTCCAAACGGACTTCTCGAGTCAACAAGGCTGATATTTGCGTCCAGAAGCGTACAGAAATGATCCAGGGGAGGGCAAGGTTGTTCCAAGCCGTGTTCCAACATATCGGCCCAATGCGCAAAGTCATCATGCACCCAGACGGGATAGTTGGTACTGGCCCAAGACCAAGATGGCGCAATATATTGCCCGTGTCGTGATTTGGGAGACGATTCTTCATTGTAGGTTACCCAAAGCAGTTGAGTATGAAAGTCTTCTTCCCATAAGCCTGCATAATACTCTGTAGTCCCCTTTTGTCTAGAGTACTCGGCCGCCAGAGCGGCTATTCCAAGCAACTTGTCTGACGCGACAGTGAGCTGGCGTTGGGTGTATGCGGCTATAATGGCGTGCCAGCTGTCAGGATGGGGTAAAGTATTGTAACGAGAGTTTCCAGGGTCGATTGCCATGTCGATATTGATATCATCAACCTTGGCTACTCCTTCGGTATGTGTGGTGAATAAGCACCGGTAGGTGAGGCCCTGGTGGCCATACGACAGTATTCGTCTTGGCAAATGTGTTTCCTGAAACGTCCAAGCCCGCTGGAACAGAGGGAGACTGGCTTCTGGAAAAATCCCTTCCTGTTCGAGTATCCCCGGCGAAAAGACAAAATCTCCAAATACGTTGTCATCCAACCTACCACTCATCTTTATCGGGCGTAATTCTTGCCTGTTGTGCAAGAAACCATCCGTGCTGCCCCGGGATACTGATGCCGCGATCGTTGCATGAGAATATTGATAGATTCTGTGCATTTGTATAATCTGATCGGCCTTGTCATCATCGTCATCCTGAATGATGCAGAGTGCATCCACCCAGAGATACGAGATATCGATGCCAATAGTGACCAGAATTGCGTCTTGTATAGCCCGAGGAAGCGATTGGAAAGGTATGCCAGCGCTATAAGCTGCAACCTTGTCCTTTACAAGTTTCGCTGGCTGGTCGCCACCCCAACAGTAGCTCAAAGTGACATATCGCTGCGCTGCAGGTTGGGAAACAAGTCGTACAAGAGGCCCACTGGTGCCTTTCTGCACTTTTAGTACGCGCCTCGGTATGAAATTCGCTTCTTCAGGAACTCTAAGATTGCAGTCTTTGTGCTTGCTGAGACACTCTTGTATCCATGTGCGTGCGCGGTAGAAGCTTAGCTCTGATTTAGGCGCGAGATTTGGAGGTAGAGCAGGGGAGAGGAGGGACCGCAGTCGTTCGTCTGGATCAAGAAATTTCAGTACTGGAGCTCTAATACCATCATTGCTTCACAACTTGAACATACCAGGATGTACCCAGATGTGAAAGTTTGTAACTTGACCTGGCCCTCGACCGAGTTTGAAAGTTATTGAAGGTTGCACGCCACTCGAGGCAATATAAGATAGCATGATTTTACCGTCGTCATCGTTGTAAAATTCACCAAGCTCTTCGTTGATGCGGTGCTGATCGGGAGTCACATGTGCTTCTAAATATTTCGAGAAGTAGACGACTTCGTGGTGTTCGTCAAAAACATAGTCGTTCCCTTTGAGCAAGGTGGTCCAAAACCTGCAGCCCCCTCGGGCCGCCATTATGGCTTCGAAGATGGTTACACCTGTAGACGCATTGATACTAATGTCAGGCCCATTTTCAAATGCCCACCATTTCAGCCGAACCCAGCTTTCGGAAACAAGTTCACGAATATCAATGCAAAGCCTATCACAGGAAGGACAAGTATGGGGCGTGATATCAGGGTCAGCCACCTCCTTGAAGAGGCGCTCGGTCACTGCAAGATCATCTTGTTCCTGCGGCACCTGCCAGAAAGCCAGGGGTCTTGCGTCAGTAGGCGGATGATCACCTCGTGACAAGACCCTACCTGTTTTGACTGTATCATCTTCTCCAAATTCGCCGCCATGATAGATTGGATTCCCATTTATTAGTGCGTTGAGGTTCTTTCTCCGCCGGTCGTTTTTGTCCAAAATGTATTCTGAAACTTGCTGGTGTTCCATCTCGCGATACGGATTGGGAGTACCGAAGAACTTCCAGGTCTGGCAATGTTAGCTAGGTAGTTCCAAGTTTGCGTAGATTCAGACGTAAGGGATATCATCTTACCGACTGCAGGCACATATTGAGGGGGTCTCTTTTGACTCCGTGACGGGTTCGCAATGCATCCCATAACATGACCTTGTCCAAGTTGTCTGCTTTCCATTTCTCATAGTCGGTCATGTCATTCCGCGGCAGGGTCTTTTTGGCCGTTGGGAATCTGAAGCGTCGCGGGACGTTCATAGGATCCCGCTATAGTTTGATTAATGACGAGTAGCGTCAGCAGGGATGTGTTTGCAATACAAACCCAACTTTCCATCTTGTACGAGTGCCCTGGCCTTGGTAAGCCAGAACTATGTCCTCTATTTGCTAGCAGAAATCTCGGCCACTGTTGCTTGCCCTATGATGTTTTACTCTGAGAGTTCGCATGAGATCCAAGTATTTCCGCCGTCGGCTCTCTTGGCATGGGGTGATACAATGGCGGTCAGCGGCGGCAGAATCCACAGATCTCGTGAACAGTGAAATACAATGGAGCCTCAAAATTAACCATTTTGTCACCTTTACAACTGGTAACATACCAAATAATGTCTACCACAAGACTGCGCAAGTTATATCCTTCAAATCAATCACAAAAGTTGTCTTGATTTGCTTAGTGACAAAGGGTCAGCTTGCTTTGATCTGCAAATGAAGTGCCGAAGGCCATTGGCGCCAATACGAGGGCGACCCATGACTTCCAAGTGTGGTCAACCAAGCAGACTTTAGCTTGGTGATAAACTCGCACCTATCAGGTATTCTTTTTTAGTCTTCCAGTGGATTTGTAGTTTCATAACCCGTCACCCTGTTCCATTCGGGGCTCTGATGGGTTTGCATGATCCGGGGCTTATCTAACCTATAATACCGTCGAGAAGCGTCATCAGCCCTGATACAGATAGCAGGCGGGGCACTGTTCATAATTCCCCACGCTGCATAAACCATACCGGCAGATCGGATTTCCGGGATGTCTTGCAATAATTCACGAAAATATTTTCATTATACATTGCTATCAGAAGATAAATGCTCGTGCAGCAGAATTATGTTTATTACGGCCTATCGCTCGACAACGGCACGAATCTGTTCCGCGTAACCTTGCTTTTGTACAAAGAGACAATTATGGGTAATCAAAAAGGTCCACTGATGGCCATGTATTTAAAGCATGATGCTGTACTGGACCTTCGGAGGCAAGACCAGATTGAATCTTCGATAGATTCGCGCCCGACTTTGCAAACATGTCAATCGTGTCTTTACTTTGGTTTATAGCAACGGCTGTAAGTGATGTCTTTGTGCGAAACTTGAGCGCAGTTTTGAATATTGATCTAATGGGTATAATTTCTGAGCAGTCTGTCGTTTACCTTGTATGCAAGGCCGTTTACTTGAAATGGTTTCATCCGCTGGCCAAGTTTCCCGGCCCTCCTCTGGCAGCAATTTCCGATGTATGGTATGCCTTCCACTGGACTGGCGGAAGATGGCCTTTTGTGATGGAGAAGATTCACCAGAAGTACGGTGATGTCGTCCGTGTTGCTCCAAATGAGCTGTCGTTCGCCACTGCCGCCGCGTACAAAGATATCTACGGGCATGCTACAAAGGGCAAGAAACAGTTTCTCAAGTCTTCATGGTATGAGAATGGAGATCCAGTGCCTGGCATTGTCAGCACACGGGATCCTGCAGACCACGCACGGCAAAGACGATCCTTGGCACATGCTTTCAGCACAAACTCGCTACGCGACCAAGAGGACCTCATTCATACCTACACCGACTTGTTCATCACACAGCTGGCGAAACATGGTGGGCAAAGCTCAGAAGGCATAAACATGCCAGAGGCTTTCCACTGGCTCACGTTCGACATTGCTGGCCACTTGGCATTCGGTGAATCATTTGGAGCTGTCGCTAGCATGAGAACAAACTACTGGGTGTCTATCATTATCGACGGTGTCTTCTTTGGCAACATTGCGAATGCACTCAAAAAACGACTCCCTCTACTCACCCCCTTGCTGCTCCTGATCATGCCAAAGGATCTGAAAAGAAAGTACATCACTCATCGCCAATTGACCTTGGAAAAGATACAAAAAAGAATCAACAACCAGCAGCTGGACCGCGACGACTTTTTCTCGCATATTCTGAAGAAGGGTGATTACACCAACGAAGGACTAGCCAGCCAAGCGGGTACCCTTATCATTGCTGGCTCAGACACGACCTCCAGTTTCCTCAATGGAGTTTTCTATTACCTGGTAACCAATCCCGACAAGCTTTCAAAACTGCAATCAGAAGTTCGGACTGCATTCAACGACATGTCAGAGATCACTGGTGCCAGCACGGCAACGCTGCCATATATACACGGCGTTATCGAGGAGGGTCTGCGACTGACACCGCCTGCACCTTTTGGACTGGCGCGAATTTCTCCCGGGGCAGATATTGCCGGTCATTTCGTGCCTGCAGGTGTGACTGTCAGTGTTGATCATTGGTCCACGCTGCACGATCCCCGATATTGGTACGATGCAGCCAGCTTCTTGCCCGAGCGGTGGGTAGGAGATGGCTTTGGAGATGAAAAAGCAGCCTTTCATCCGTTTTCGCTTGGGCCACGGGGGTGTCTGGGCATCAATCTGGCGTATTTGGAGGCACGCATCATATTGGCAAAACTGGCGTGGGCACTAGATTGGGAACTTGTGGACGCTGACGTGGACTGGAAGCGGGATGCTAGACTGTACACCTTGTGGCACCACCCGCGAATGCGTGGCCGATTCAATGTTCATGACCAGGCCAGACCCAACTAGGGCTCTCGAGACGATCTTTTGTGGGTTATACTAAGCTTGATAACAACGAACAAGACTATTACACAGAATCGTAAAGAGACAACCGATCCAAAGAGTTGCGACGACATGCCCTTGAGCGTATGACGCCAGATCCTGGACAAGTTGCAAACTTTCTCTGAATAGATCAATTCTGATCCTTCATCTTGACGAAGCCCCCGATGACGAATTGGCCGTAGCCCCCATCAGGGGTCAAAACCGGAGACTGGTAGTTGTAGTTGAAAGATCCTCCTGCCCCCATCCGAACTTTGAATACTTCCTTACCAGTGTCAAAATCAATGCCGGTTCCGTACTGAACATATGAACCTTGATGAGCAAGTTCATTTTCCTGAGTGGCCATGTATAGCAAGCCGGTCTTTGTGGATAGAATGGGTGAGATCGTACCCCTGATCTCCTTATTGAACCACACAACGCTACAAGACTTGGTCTCGTCGTCCACGTCGATCCGAGTGAGACCTGGTGCCATCTGAGTTATGTTGTTGTATTCTTCGTTGATTGTTTCAACGTCAATTGAACCATTGCCGAAAGGGTCACCCCCATTCAAGTATATGGGCACTGCATCAAAAAAGTTCGCAACGACTGCACTGTACGTGGAGCCTCCGTCCCAGTGAACCACCATGGTGTTCTCGTTTGCGCTTTGACCAGGTTCGAACAGCGGCACGGTGCAGATTGGGTCACCTCCGCCGGTGCCGTTCACCATTTGGGTAACGACAATGAGGTTGACCTGCTCGTTCGCATTATCTGTGAAAGCGACGTACTTATCCCCCAGTAGAGAGGGTGTACTACCAGAGCCACGAGATACACCGCCCTTCTTAATTCCGTCTCCCGCCTGGTAAGGCACGGTCGCCACGATTTCCACGCCGTTTGGGCCAGGTCTGAAGCCGTAAAAGTTTGCGGTTGCGTTCACAGTGTCCCTGGCTCCAGCCGGTCCCGTCACAAGGTAAACATTCGTCCCACTGACGGCAAAATTATTCTCTACCGCCGTGCCTGGCAGCTGGATGGAATGAATATTGTCCATTGGATCGACGTAGCCAATCACAGCGATATCGGCAGCGGGAAGCCCGACACCAGGGAAGCCTCCCGTACAAAACCACAAATTGCCATTGGCATCGTATGCAATACCGACGATCCTAGTGCCATCCTCTACCACGCTCGTCACGTCAATGTCGCGCCGTTTGACAAAGTATGGTGTCGAATTATCGTCAATGCGCTCGATATCCACCAGGTGTCTCTCGGATGTCGGGACGATGACATGGTTGTCAAGGATTTGCATATACACCATCGAAACCATGTCAAAGACGTCGCCATCATCGGCACCGGGATATGTTGCCTCGATCTGATATGTGTCTGGGTTTAGAGCTGCAATGCAGGATGTGTTTTCTCGACAAAGGAGCGCGCCAGTGACCTGCCCTTGCTGGCTCCAGAAAACTGGTGCTGGGGGTGGCATTGCAAACGTTTCCACCACGGGATTGAAGCCTAACGGACCGGAGTAGTCCTCGGAGCGGGTATTTCCAGCATCGCGGTGGTAGCCTTGGGATTTGGGCTCATAGGAGAACCTTGGTCTCATCAACTTCAGGATTGCTGGTTGGCCAATGTAAGAGGGCCCCTCTAGCGGTTGCGTCGAATTGATTGACACTGCCTGCATTGACCAATGGTTGTTACTTGGTGATCAGAATGTTGAGAGGAGTAAACGTCCAAACCTTCACAATTTCAACAGCCGATAGCATGAAGAGCCATTTGATAGTCCACGAGGTTTTCTGAAAAGGAAAAATAGTTGTCATCTTGATGGCAAATTGCTAAAGAATTGGTTACAATGAAGCAGCTACGGAGAGTAAACTGTGTCTGCTGAGAAGAATATGAGATATAGGAGACAGATCAATGGCTTTATATCTGTATAGCTACAGGCTCTCGGCTATGCAAGGGACCGGGAACAACGGCGGCTTATTGAATTGGCAGGTATGGTGATCTCTGGATGTGTTCAACGCTGAGGCCTTTCGTATTCGCAAAAGGTAGGCATGCTTGGCGAAGATGCGCAATATTCTGTAGGCTGTGGACCAATCTCAAGATCGACACGAGGCTTCCATGGAATTAACTGGTTTAGGTACTGTGATTCTTGGGATATCTTAGCACATTATTCAAGTGATTGACAATGGCCCCGAAATAAAGCATCCGGCTTGGCATAAGTCTCAGCCCCAATAACTCACAACTTGCACGCGCACGGATCAATTCAGTCCATGCAGGGCCAAGACTAGCCCATCACCACAATCATGGCGGAAATGCTCATTCCGTTTGATTTTGTGCATCTCGAGGACAAAGGTACCCGGGAACTTATACATGTCCGCCTACCGCTTGGCACGCCAATCATGATGAACATGCAGGTTATTGGTGGTCCCATTCTAGTCTCAACGCAATATTTCAAAGTCCGATATTGCGCAGTCCATAGCCAGTAAAACCCCGTCTACATGGTATGTAGTATACGTAATCTTAGCGCCGGCAATGTCCACAATCAATATATATTCTAATAGTGTGGATATAGCAGAAAGTGCGCAATGATATACTTATTTGATAATTCAAACAAATATTCAGCTGTTCAGGTAGGCTATCGTGTACCGTAAAGCTTTATATGTCTGGGATTGTCCTTGTAAAGTAATATAATATCCCAAATTGCTGAAAAGAATATTCACCAGGAAGTCAAGGTAGCTGGGAACATTAGCGCTCAGTACCTAGCTAGTGCACCCGTCGTCAAAGGCTAATCGAAGTGAATTCAATAAAACGTCTGTGATAACACGCTCTCCTCGTCTGTCCACAATGAAAAGTCTCAATCAGGTCAGTTTTGTGTGCTATCCAGGCGGCGTTCTGTATTGGCACGCGTGTTGACAAAATCAGGATACTGTAGTGTGAGCTCCACGCCGCCCGAGACGATGTTATCTACAGCTTCGACGCCCAGCATGAAGCTAACAGGAGATCAATTAGTTTTCCAATCACCAGACTCGCCACAGAACCATGTCAACACTTACCTGTGATCCTGATTCCCCACTTCGTACTTCCAAGATCCAAACCGTCCGCGCGATAGGATATCCTTACTCTTGAGGTAGGGTAAGATCTGGTCGAGCGCATCATTACGCTCCACGCTAGGTGTAGGGTAACCGTGGTCGAAGCGGCGGACATATGTGCTGACGATTTCGTCATCAGGCTTGAGCAGTTCGGTATTGATGAGCCCCTGAATGCTGTCCGCGAGCAGGGTGTCGTGGTTCACAGGCTTGTACGATGACTCGGATACTTCGAGCATGATGGACCAGTAAGGGCCCGGCAGAGGCTGGGAGGACGCGGGTTTCTTCCCATTGGCAAGTTGCTTGGTGGTGAGGAGCTTGCCAGCCTGGGGCTGGTTGTAGGGCGAGTAATTGGAGAAGATGGTCGCGCGATAAAAAGGACAGTTATCTTCGACAAAATATAGCTGTCAAGTTCCGTGAGTTCATGCGGCCTTTTATAAGTGGGAGTTGTACAAGTCATACCCAACATTTATCTCCAATGCGCTCAGGCCGCTCACCACGGATGCCGATTCCAATCACATTGGTGGATGAGTAGAACAGGGGTTTGCACAAGTCTTGAAGCTTGAGATCGTCCATAGACTTGGCTAGATAATCGACAGCCATGGTGGAGACCATGAATTGATAGTTGATAATGGTACCTGGGCGTATCAGAACAAAGACTCGTATCTTGTAATTAAGGTAAACACGTACCATCTGCCAAGTACGCCTTCTTAGCATCGGCGTCGACTTTTGTGACCTGGCCATGCTTTCCAAATCGAGTCTTCTCATCATCAAGAGTGTCGGCGAGTGCGGTCCAGATACCACCGGTACCTCCCCTAGCTGGAAATCGGAAGGTCGAATTTGGTCCCCATGTTCCTGCAACCTTGTTAAGAATGGCATTCTTGGTCAACAGTTTCACATTAGGCGCAGCGACACGCTCCCCAAGCCAAGTGGCATTCATCTGAGAGAACCGCAGTTAGAATCGCCAGTTGTGTTATGCGATTGTAATGGCAATGGCAAAGCGCATACCTTGGTCGTGGGTACAGCCCAAACCTTGAAATTGTATGGCCGCATAAAGATCTCCGTCAAGCGCTGCCCCACGTTCCGGATGTTCCATTCATCAAAGTTCTTCGGCTTGTCCGCCGGAGACCGAGTCCGGGCATCCAGAGCGGCGTCGATCAAGCTCTCAAGACACTTTACCTGCTCCTCTTTAGGCAGGACGGCAATGTTGTTCTGGAAAGGATACGGAACCCACTGGCCCTGGTATCGCACGTAAGAAATACGTTGGTGCGTGTACCAGTCATCAGAGGCAGGCAATGCCTCGTTGAGGCAATCGTCGAAGTATTTGTAGTGCGAGAATATCACGTGCCCTCCAACATCGTAAAGCTAGCCAAGATCAGCTGTACATCCTTGACCAAGAGGGAATGAGGTCATTCATACGAAGCCTTCAGGCGTCACATCGGTCGATGCAAGCCCGCCGGGCGTCTCGTTCGAGTCAACGATGAGCCAAGATGCCGAATTCTGCCACCATTAGTCCGTGCAACAGCAGTTAGCGGTAGGATATGCCGAGCTTACCAGTTGCTGTAGTCGTTTGGCAGCTCCAAGACCCGTGGGTCCAGCTCCTATGACAAGAATGTCTATCGTACTGCTCAAACAGTCAGTTCAGCCAACATCTCTGAATGGAAGTACGCAATGACCTCTCACATCTCTTTGCTCATCATAGTGTGTGTTCAAGGCAGCTGCACCTTGATGTTCCTTTATCGCTGCTCCGGACTATACGAATAACCCCAAATGGTGATTAACAGTGGAAATCTATAGATAGGTATCATCGATGTAATGTCAGTTGGAGATGAGGAATGATCAAATATATACATGTGTGGAAAATTGCCGCACAGGTTGCCCTTTTTTGAATTTAAAAAAAAAAAAAAAAAAAAAAGAATTGAGCGTTTTGAAAGACGTTCCTAGGCACAGTCATGGATCCGAAGGATCGAGCTCCGAGTACCTCAATTTTATGAAGCAGACTGATGCAACCCAAGCCCATGCAATCGGCATAACGCACCAAATTGACCCACCCTCCTTCAGACGGTGATCTCGGCAACGATAATCTGTACCGTGGTGGCTGTGCCTATCGACCGGGGTATCTGATTCTAGTCTCCCATATCGAGCATTTTCACCATTTTGATAAAGCTACCAGGCCGCTATGCACCATGAGGGTAAATGCAAGGCAGATGATCAATACTAGAATGAACAAAACGATATGCATGGAGTCGTCCCGAGTCTTGCCACATCTTTGAGTAGTACTATCTGGGATGATCATATCATGGACCCCGTATCCTCTCCTGCATCCCCAAGCCACCATGCAAGTCAGCAATCATATGAAATTGGGCCTATTTCGCCCAAGTCAACCCCTCCTCACACGAATACCCACATTTCTAACCTTGTTTTCCCCTGTCTTCCCCATGCTGAAGTTGTCACGCCATTCTTGCTTTTGGGCAGGTTTCACTGTCGCAGTTGCCATGGACTCGAGTCGCAGCCCTTGGCGGGCTCCTAATATTTACTGCATCTGACCTAGGTTTGACTCCAGCTGATGCACTGCTGCCCAGACACGAGCACTAAACCTACTATAGCTCTTCAGCCAATCTTATGAAACCGTCTTCATTCATATGAAAAGAAAGAAGACATTTGATAGAGCACGAATTTTTTGAATGACTACTTGTATCAGGTGAGTTGTTACTCTTTTTCGATGATTTTGGGTTGTTAGATCCTCTATGCTTAGGGTAGCACACGATTTGAATGTTTATCGTTTCTTCAATTTCGAGCATTTACATCATTTTCTGTTATGTGATTTTGCTGGTAATTATGTGCAAGCTAGTGTCATGGGTGAATTACCATGATCTTCACCTCATTTTCAGCTCTGTTCGTACTGGGCTCATGTCAGGGTAGATAGAGGACATGTATTGGTACATCAACAACAATCATGGATGCCGTTCTCCGGCTTCTACGGCAAAGAACCCTCAAAGGGTAGTCGTACTTAGGTATCCATCAATCCTCTATTCTGCCCGTATAAAGGTCCATGTCATGCAAGCCAACAGCCTTGCTCTTTCTAAAATACTTCCACCACACAATGTTGAGAATGTATATTATAATGCCAATATACGACGTCACAAAGGACGAAACAGTAAATGAAGGTATAAAGGCGTTGTAGCCTATATCAATCAGATTAGCGCCAATACACAATAATTAGTGCTGTAACATGCTTACCGTTGAAGAAGGTGATTAATATGGTGAGCAAGAGGGCAAAATAACTTCCATAAGGCTGTAGTGGACCTCGATATGGCATCAAGTCTCGGGAGATGCCCTGCGCCTTCATGGCGCGAGTGAATCGAATATAACTGACCAAGCAGCTTATCCAGTTCAGTGTCCCAAAGACAGTCACGAGACTTACAAGATATCCAAAAACAGTGGACGAGTCTTTACTGACATTCATGTATGCTAGTACCGTAAAGACACTCATCATGGCTACACCCCACAAGGGCACACCGTTTGCAGAGGTGCGACGGAATATGGCTGGCGCTTGTCCGTCGTGAGCCAAGCCGAACAGAGTTCTCGAACCGATGTAGATATCACTATTGGCGGCGCTGATCACAAAGATCAGGAGGCATGCGTTGATGACGTGAGGGAATACTGGAATTTTCGCGAGCTGTACGGCCACCACGAAAGGGCTGGCAGCAGCTCCCGTGCTCGAGTGGGTGGCGCCAATCAGCTGATCGTTGGTATAGGGTACGCTCATTCCCAAGACCAGGGCACCGAGGATGTAAAATGTCGTGATTCGGAACAGAGTTTGTTTTGCAGCCCGCGCAACTGTCTTTTTTGGATTCGGGGCTTCGCCAAACGCTACGCCCACGACTTCGGTGCCAGTGTATGCAAAGCAAGCCTGGACCATGCATGCCCAAAAGCCCAGGAACCGGCCAGTGGTGCCAGGTACCAAGAACGTCCCAAAGGCGCCAGGGTCTGACCAGTATTTGAATCCGATGCGCTCGCCTGACGGTTGGCCGCCCATTGATATTGTGAAGCAGGTAATGATGAGTAGTACCAAGACGAGAAGCTTTGTCACGGACATCCAGAATTCAGCCTCTCCAAAGAATGACACGTGAAGAATCTATCATCGAGAAAATGGGTCAGTACGATCGTTTAGACGGAAACCAGTATAGTGAATGGAGGGCATCTTAGTCACTCACGTTTACTGCAACAATGGCTACAGTAAAGGTAGCCACGAATATACCAACATTGAGATCGGGTCTCCAATACTGGATAATGATCCCCGCCGCAGTCAAATTATTCGGCAGCACAATTGCATACTTGAAAAAGTAGTTCCAGCCAGTTGCGAAGCTATTGATTATCGTCAGTGCGTTGGGAAAATTAAATCATAGACAACCATCAAGGAATAATACATACCCAAGTGCCGGATCAACGAACCGAGTGGCATAACCGGCAAAGCCCTTGTCCATGGGCAGGAATGTAGCCATTTCCCCCAGCGCCGTCATGATGAAAAATACAACCGCGCCGACGATGCAATAAGCAATCAGCAGACTAGCCGGACCGCCACGAACCAATCCAGTTCCCGAGCCGATGATGAGGCCGGTGCCAATTGCTCCGGCAACTGCAATCATGGAAATGTGACGCTCCTTGAACTCCCGGCGAAGATGGACATCACTGGCGAGGCCCAGGCCCTCCGAGACGCTCGCCGTCTCTTGTGGGCTTGACTTTGGGTCGGGAGACTTGCCATTGGCCTCGACAGAGGACTGCATATTGAAAGCACTTGACGTATCGAATGTGGCATATGCAAGGCACAGGCAATGTTGTTTTGTTCTGCTGGAAGATGGTCAGTCTCCAAAATATCCATGTCGGACCTTGATAGGTCACGACATTGATTTATAGACCTGCTGGTCATCTCGGAGAGGGTGATAAGTCAGACCAGAAGGCAAGATAAGCTATCTCTAGCATGGCTTCATGATCAGCAGGCTGTGAACGGAACCTTATCGAGGCTATCTCAACAATCCGGGGAAGTACTCGATATCCACACTACCTTTTAGTCCATGGAGGTCAGACTCCACGAATCACGGGCCAATTCGACGACCCACATAGATTAATACTTCTTTTCAATCGGATCTTGTCACGCCAGGATCCACCATGGAGGTTCAAGTCCATCCACTCATCATTCGAGATTTGAATGTGGGGCACGTTAGAGGCCGCGACACGTCTGGGACTCTGGGGAATGGACGTTGATGAACGATCTCTTGGCCAACTTGGCACGATTTTGATTACAGACAGTCATGTCTTTGGTTTGTCATAATGTAAAATTCTACATAGGAATGTACATGGAGTGTCAACTCCGTTCGCAGATCGAGCAGTCTGGTGAAGAGCATCTAGTATAAGTAAGGGCATAGAAGCAGAGTGAATGTCTCTCGAGTACGACGAAATTGGTATTCATTCTCGACCTCATATTTCATCATCATGGCTCCTGGCATTACTGAAAATATCTGTCCAGAAAACGCGTCAATCGTAGACACAATGTCTATTACAGCAAAGACAAAGGGAGCTACAGCCATCAAGGAGAAGTTTGCAGCTTTCCGCAATCTAGTGCCTCTGACTTCTCAACCTGACGTCGTTTTCCTGAATGCCTCCTACGCTCCCCCTTCCAACCTCATTGTCCACGAGGCATTGACTACGTACTCGTACGAAGCGCTGCGTTGTCCTCACCCCAAGCCCCACTGGCAAGCGGCCGCTGAAGAACTGCGAGGTCTTGTGGCCAAATATGTCAACACGGAACCTACCAACATTGCCTTTACACGCGACACGACCGAGGGTCTCAGCGATTTCATCCGATCCGTGCCTTTGAGTGCTGGCGACAATGTCGTTGTTCTCGACACGGAGCATCCCAACCACGTGTATGGATGGATGGCACTGCGCCGCCTCGGCGTCGAAGTCCGCCAGGTACCTACCATGGCGGAAGCAGAGAGAACGGGTCAGGTGGTGGCCGCGACCGCTGATACATTTGCCCCCTGGGTGGACGGCAGAACCAAGGCCATCGGTCTGAGCTCCATCATGTTCCACAGCGGCCAGAGAAACGATGTTGCGGGAATTTGTGCCGCCTTTCGTCCCCGAGGCATCCACGTGCTGTTGGATGCGACGCAGCAGGTCGGGTTTGCAGCTCTTGACGTGCAGAGTCTGGGCGTTTCGGCCGCGGCTTTTAGTCTGCACAAAGGTCTCAACTGCCCTACGGGCCTGGCTTGTTTATATGTTGACCCTGCCGTGATGGCGGAATTTGACCCGGTGCCTCCCACTGTCGGATACGGCGCTGTCGAGAATACCCGGGCAGACCTGTTGGTTCCGGCGGATGCCCTGGTGTACCACCCTACTGCTAGCAGATTCGATCATTTGAACATTAGTCTATCTGCAGCAGTGGCCGGTAGAGCCTATCTCAAATTTTATCTTGAATCGTTGGGGCCCAGCGATGTTGAGGATTACTTGTATGGACTTGGTGATGATCTCCGGAAAGATTGCGCCGAGCTCGGTATCGACATTGTTGGTCCCGCAGACCGCAAGGGGCATGCGCCGCACTTGTATATCCTCAAGCTTTTGGATCCAGCATGGGTAGAGTTGCTGAGAGATCGGGGCATCTATGTGACGCAGTACCGTCTGGGCATACGGGTTTCTCTGGGATTCTACAACAATGTCAGTGATATTGAAAGCCTAACAAGAGTTCTCCGGGAAGGCATTTCAAAGGGTCTTCCTACCATGTAAGGCCCAAAGGAAATTCAATCAAGCTTTGATCGATTAAATCCCAATCAATTGCGTTGGTTGACTGGCGTCTGCCAATGAACTCTATGTGTCATCATATTGCGCCTTGCTGCCTTTGCTTGCTCAAAATAGGTTGATGTTGATAGTTTCCAAGCGCATGTTTCGCTACATAACCGGCTAATGCCCAAGTAACGGAACATTCGTCCAAAGCCTGTAGCAAATATGCCTGTTCTTCGGGAATCCCAGAAGACGCAACCACTTGTAGAGCCTTTGCAATGCCATAGACGAATATGAATGGTGCGTGCTTGAGGCTGCATTGGCTGCGATATTTTCGCACGATCGCGATTACGATGCGCGCAGATGTGAGAGAGACTTCATCACCATCGCTGGCCTCCATGTTTAGGACTATTCGTAGGCTATGAAAAAGCATACTGGAATCAACATTAGCTTACACGTAGGCGACAGTCATCGGATGCGACGACAAGACCGATTAGTCTACTCACTGGAGCGCAGCAATTGTCGGACAAATTCTAGTGCTGGTTGCCTGCCATTTATTCCAATGGAGTGACTGGTCTAGGATAGTTTCCCATCGGCATAGTTCCAGATTTAACACATCAATTTGAGCCCTGCGACGATGCTTTTTAAAGGAGCATAGCTCGTTTAGTGCTCTCTGCATGATCTTGGCCAGCTGGATCTGCATCTGGAAAGACGGAACCAGCTGCTGTACACGCTCCTGTCCGCTTTCGTCTACGTCATTGCTGGCGGGTAGCCAGTCCTCCATTCCAGGAAAATCTCTACAGGATTGGGGTTGATCAGCCGACTGAAATGGCCGAGAGCATTCTGGTACTTACGGCAGACGTTCAGTTATTTCGACACCTGCATCCGAGTCTGAGAGTAGCGCAGGTCTTCCGAGCATCATACTAATGATTTTATCAGAGATGTAGCAACCCCAGTAAATGCGGCGTCGAATCTCGATATCCTCTGAACTTAGGGTACTCTTATCGGCGGCCATGTAGTGACTCGGATCATCTTGAATTCCCAAATCTTGTGCCATACGGAAAGCGATACCTAGAGGACAGTATCATTAGACTAACCATGATGCACCTGGAATGGCATCAAGACTGCGCACATACCCGAAAACTTCCAACCTCCAGAAAGCTGACCACGACCAATCTCGTACAGGGCCAAGCAGAGAAAAGCTTGGACTGTTGTAATGCTGGGATGGGCCATGCCAGACACTAGGAGTATCGTCTCGGCGGCCGAGAAAAATCTGTCGCTCATGATCTTGTCTTCCAGCTCTGGGGCCATGGTGAGCCCTAGGGCGCACATGGCCAGGAGTAAGGGGCCAGACCAGTATGAACGATTGCCATGGTTGCTAAAGTGATCACGAAGAAAGGCCTCGCGGTAAATGAACATGGAATGCGGATATTGCCATCGAAAGAAGTGGCGAAGCGACATTGTGATCAACTCACCACGGAGATCGATTCCAAAATCACGAGCAACTTGCTCCGTGTGCAGCTCGCTCGCATTCCCAGACACGGTGTTGTTGGGGAAAGGCCGAAGTTGATCTGGTAACGGCAGCCCAGTAGAGAAGCGGTAGATGGACGTTGGACCATGATAGGATACCAGTCCCTCGTTCTCCACGATAAAGTGAGAAGCGAGAGCGGAGCTTAGAGGCTCTTCTTTATCTACCTCGGACGCAGCTTGCGGCACGAGATGATCGCCGAGATCTACCGTGTCGAGGATCGCGTCACGTTCACTTGGGCTTGCCGCTTTCAATCTGTTCACCAAGTTCTCGAACCAAGCGATCCGATCTTCCAGGCCTGCCACGTAGAGTCGAGAGATTGGACGCCGTTTGGATTGCTCCCGATATTCACAGTCCTGATTGGAGCTGGCGCAATTGGAGCAGGGCTCGGTCCGAGTGCATTTTAGCTTGTAGCAGGTCAGGACTCAGTTCCCAAACTCAAAACATTGGAAATTCACCTTGCGAAACTGACACCGGGCGCATCTACGCGAGATTTTAGCAGCGTGTCAAGTGATGAGGCATTGGAGTCGGGGCCTACGAGAGTTTGGCGCGGTACTGTGGCATATTTGTGATCGCGCTTGTCGGGACTCGGTACGTTCCGATGCGCTCTATCGGCGATGGATCTGGCCCAGACACTCGAGTGAAAAGAAAGCTTGTCACAAGGACAAGAAGCAGACAGGATTCGGTTTGCGAAAAGCAACAACTCCACCGTCACTACTGATAAAGAGGTCCTATAGGTATGTGGTCAGCAAAAGACATGGCTTTGAGTAAATGCTGAGTCTTGTTCCAGTGGAAATCCGATGGTGGGGAACATTGAACCCCACAAAGCGTATCTGGGCACCTACTGGGTACCTCCTACGCTGGGGGACTCAAATTCCCTAGTTTAAATTCAATGTGGTGCTACTAGTGCATCTATAAAATTGAGTTCTGGCATTTGGAATCCGCCCTGTTTACAGCCAGTACAGATTCAACGGCATATATACGGCAACTGTATATGAACAGGGTACAAAGTACTCTGTAGTTCAATGTCTGGCATAATGTACTACATGAACCTGCCAAGAGGTTTGTAAACATTGAAGGTCAGCACAGATTAGTAGTACATTACATTCTAGTGACTGGGAAAAGCCACAACGGGAAGCGGGTCAACTGGTAAGAGAGCCGCCAAGTAGCACCCGAGGCGGGGCGACACAGAGTGAAACTGCACCCATCGTCTGTCCCCGGTACCATGTTTATTTTCTTTTATTTTATCTTCGGCTTCTGGTTTACCAAATGACAAATAAAAGGTCGCTACATCCCTCATATATAGGTATATAGCTAAACTTAAGCGAATCACTGCCTGTCAATGTTTTAAGGGTGACCGGGGAGGAAATATCATGTAGCACCAAGCAGCCTTTTGACCTCTAGCCAGCTGCGCTGATGGAGGTAGCATCGACGCCGAGCACTACTCAATGAGATTAGGGGCGCATCGGGACGATCGTCACGCCTTCATGTCGTCTGTTTCCCGGAAGCGGGAACAATAGACTCGACAAAACGCTGATCCATGACCTGGTGGAATGATGCATGTGCACGTGAGGGAGCACTGGGTAGTACCCAACATGCAGCATCTGGCTGACTACCGCTGTAGCAGCCGTATAAACCACACATGTCGTACTGGGATCCCAATCACCTTTCTGGGTCTATATCATCTTGCCACAATCATGTTAGAGGAGGCCCTCGAGATAAATCCAGTTCTACTTTTATTCATACTTTCTAAGAAGACCCCGCAAGTGTGAGAATAAATCAGAAACAATGCAAATAAACATTCGTTGTATGGTCTTGATGGCTGTCATGATGATTGGCGCTTTAGCCGGCAACAAGACTCAATGTGTTGGTTTCCCCGCGATTTCGCCAAGACGGTTCACTGACAAGATTGCGGCCTGCAGTGCCAGGCTCTTGCCGATATAGCTCAATTGAGAGACAGTGTTTACTATCCAAACACGTCTGCCTATGACGAGCGCATGACGACCTACTGGTCTCTCAGCGCTGCCTTGGACCCGTGGTGCATGGTTCTCCCTAGAACGGTCAACGATGTGTCTATGACCATCACCACTCTTGCGGATAATGAGTGTCCATTTGGTATTCGTGGTGGTGGTCACGGAGCCCATGCATTGTCCAATTCTGTTGAAGACGGTGTCACTCTTGATATGGGTAAGCATCATCTCGAGACAAGAAATTTAGGGGGAAATGAACGTGAGTGGATGGCTGACACGATTATCAAGGTTTGTTCAACACCACGACTTACAACACCGACACCAAGATTGCATCCATCGGCCCAGGAGCGCATTGGGGTAGCGTCTACGATACGCTTACCCCTTATGGCGTGACCGTCACTGGAGGCCGAGCTGCTTATGTGGGCGTCGGGGGCTTTCTCCTAGGAGGTGGTAATTCTTACCATTCTGGTAGTCATGGGTTTGGCTGTGATCAAGTTCAAAGCTTTGAGATCGTCCTGGCTGATGGACAAGTCGTCAATGCTAATAAGTATGAAAACTCGGATCTATGGAAGGCTCTCAGGGGAGGTTCTGGCAACTTTGGACTAGTGACTCGTTTCGACCTCTACGCCATTGAATTCGAGGATCCTTCCAACCCCTACATCTGGGGTGGCATCGTCGGCTACAACTATACGCAGTCGGACGCCGTCATAGATGCCTTTATCAACTTTACCAACAACGTAGACAAAGACATCTATAGCTCCTCTATAGCGATATGGGGCTACTCGGCCAGCGGATTTTCTGTCCGCAGCATCCTCGACAACGTCGCCAACCGGGCGTATCCCCCAGCCTTTGACAAGTACCTCAGCATTGGGAGTCAAACATCCAATTCCCTCCGCAGCGAGACCATGTCCAATATTACTGCTGAATTAATCCGAGATCATAGAACTCGGTATGCCCTGGCGAGCTCACTTTTATCCTCTATAGAGCCTCAGACTGACATACATTATAGCACCATCTGGTTCACTGGAACTTACGCCAACGATCCGCGTATCCTACGATTCATAACGGCTAAGCACGACAAGTTGATGCTTACTCTGGAATCCATCCTTGGACCAGACTCTGGCGTGTTTAGCAGCTGCCAAGCCCAGCCAATGACCGAGCCTATGATTTCTCAGGGAAAAGGAAACAATGTGCTCGGCCTAGAGACACGCATTGCCGCCACGGGAGGTCCAGGATTCATGTTTCTGATATATATAGGCATTGAGAGCGCAGAACACGAAGCTCTTGCCCTGCCATACGTAGAATCATTTTGGCAGGATGTAGAAGAGTACGCAGATTCTCTTGACGGGAACTGGAGGTGGAGGTATCTGAACTATGCCTATAGGACACAAGAGCCTATCTCAGGGTACGGAGTGGAAAATGTGAAATGGCTCAGGGAGGCGGCGCAAAAATATGATCCGAAGGGTGTTTTCCAGAGGCTAAGGAGTTCGGGTTTCAAAATTCCCCAGTACATACCGCCGTAACATCATTTGAGTACAGTGCTCAACGGCTGTACTAGATCAAAAAGAGGACTCACATACCGCCTTTGTATCCGGTAGCATCACGGCAGACACTTTAGCATATATTTAATGCACTACTACGCTTTTAATAGTAGTAGTCGCAAGTTGTGCAAGGGAGCTAGTGTCGAGGGTCAAATCCGAGCTTGAAAATTATTTCCGACCATTCTGTAGTGCAGATCTTGGAGCTTCTTATTATGACTCGGAATTGCTTAGTCCTTGACACGGGCAAATGGCTTGTATCATGTCACGCAGTTTGATGCGATACCTAGGACCCATTTTGAAATGATCATGATCCTCAAAAGGCACATGAAGATAACTTCTAAGCTGGCCTTCCCTGTCAATTCTATTGTGATTTGTCATTATATATGCCTATTGCAGATGCGGCCGGCGTCTCCCATTGCTTGCAATCCTGTGATCGCCGCGAATTATACCGGCATTTCCACTATGCAACGCCGTGAAAGGAAATGCGGCGACGGCTAGAGACAATAATAACGACCCCATTTCTGTGTCATGGATGATCTGGGTTCCCCACAGCCGCCTCCTTCTCGATTCCAGTGGAGATGATCTGAGACCTGGGGAAAGACCGAGGACTTCAAACAGATAAACAAGGGCGTTGTCGACCCAGGGTGAAAATCTTTCCGCGAAAGTAGTTCCTTATTCTTCTTCGACACCATTTGCCCAAGATGAGTGCTGTGACTTATCTCGGTCATTCCGGCTCCGCCTTATCCAAACCGCAAATTGCATTGGTTATTGCCCCATCTTTCATTCCCAACGGCTACAATCAAGCCAATGTCGGTGGTCTCCTTACGGAATCCGACTGGGTCAAGACCTTCCCTGAGATCGATACGGTTAAGACTACTGGGTTGTAAAGGAGCCGGAATAACACAGTACCAGGCATTGTAGTAGCTGTTCTGATTATTGGCGCCTTTATCGGCACCATGTCTTGCTTTTACACAGAAGAACATTTTGGTCGCCGAGCCGTGATTGTCGGATGTGAAAAATAGTGCTTAAAGGGTACACCGTACTACTAATCGGTAAAAGCATAATTCGCCGGCTGATCCGGTACTGTAAACTATGTATATAAGCCGCAGAGGGGGTACCCCCCTCTCTCCCATATCTAATGCTACCTAAGTCCCCTTTCAACGTTCCACATGGTAGCACCACCACTATTACGATCTGGAGAAAGTCCGTATTTTGTTCAGTTCAAGTCAAGTCAAATCAAGTCAAGTCAAGCTGGCTAGGTCAGCCACTGCCATCGGGGGGCTTCACCAGACCAAAGGGTGCTCGCTAGCGAGCCCAGCGCCAAAAAAAGCATCGTGAGCGTGGCCAACGCGTTACGTACGAAGCAGTTCGCGCCGGCGACGAGAGGTCAGCCAGAGGACGCAAAGAAGAACTTGAGCTCATTGCCATCCGGTGGCAGCGTTGAACGGCAACGGCAACGGCTGCACATGCCAACAGAGGGCGCTCAACGCCAGCACCATCTGGCAGCGTGATCTGCCAACAGAGGGCGCAGTGCTCCCAGAGCAGCGCCGGCAGTGTGATCTGCCAATACAACAGAGGGTGCTCAACGCCAGCACCATCCGGCAATAGTCTGCCGAAGGGCGCGGTGCTTTACAACAGCACCGGCCGGCAGTATAATCACAAGACCTAATTGCCTCCCACAGCCCACCGGAAATAGCCGTCAAGCCGGAGGTCCCGGGGTCTGATGCTTTTATCCGTCAAAACGAGAGTTGTACCCATTACTTTAGTCAAAGTCAACTTTCCACACGCCCTCTACAACGAGCGATTTGATCGAAATGAAAGGATAAGCCCCATTGCGATAATTTGTGGTGTAGTTAGCAGTCAAACAGTGGTGACTGTACCTGTAGTTGGGTTATAATCCACCATACCCAGCAAATGCACGAAATGCTCAAAGTCCTTGGGTCGCATCGCTTTTGTGAGCCCATCAGCGGCGTTTTCCGTGGATGTGACTCTCTTGATCTGGATGTTCCCAGCAGAGACTTCTTATTGAACATAGTGAAAATATCTCCTGACGTGCTTCTTCGTAGGTGTGCTGGTTTGGGCCTTTGCCCACGCCTCTGCGCCTGTGTTATCAACTAATAGAGAAATCGCCTTTTGAGGCATCATCTCCAGTTCCTCCAGTAGGTTCCTGATGAATGCGGCTTCACGAGCGCCTTCATTGATGGCGTAGTATTCAGCCTCTGTAGTGAACTGAGAGACCACGCTTTGCAGCTTTGAACTCCAGCTCACTGGGGAGCCCGCCATGCACATCACCCATCCAAGCAGTTGCCACCCTGTTTGGAGAGATTCTCGAGGCCTCAGCCTTTAGCTTGCCCCATTTTGTCATTGGCAGACTTACTGTTGGTTTGGGGGTTGGCCAATTGATTTCCATCGTCCCTGTCTAGCTCGCAGAAACCTCGTCGGCCCAGAATCGAGGGCAGCACGTCGTCCTTGTTGCAGTGTTTACCTGTCTCGGCTACATGTTTAAGTCTTGGATAAAACTGACCTTTTCGAGTTCAAGACTGGCAAAGTTACGTGGCGCCCACCTTTAGCAATTGCGATAGCTGCATCCTTGCTTTTGATGAGTACTAATCTCATCAGCGCTTACCTGCCAATCATATTCCAACAGAATATGGGCAGGTCCGCCGAACTCTCGCGAGTCCTCTCAAGTTCCGCCCTTACGTGGAAATTTTTATCTTCTTTTATCGCTTTCTTCGCGATTGATAAACTCGGCCACAGAATTGCTTTAATGGTGTTTGGTGGTGGGATGGCTGCCGTACGTATTTTTCCCGTGCTATCTCTCACTTGTCCCGAGTTATCATTTTTGCAGATTGTTTGCCTCCGTAGTTTTATAGCACAGAATTCCCGAACAAGAGTGCTAAAAAATACTTGTGCTATTTATTCTGAAAACTAAACTGCTAATAGTATATTAAAATGCATAATGGCGTTAGCTATTGCGCCCTTTCTTTTTTAATAATAATATATTAATATATATTGCGCATATATAATAACTCTCGGTATAGTGATATTTAGATTTATGTAATTCCAGTGGTGAGTAATTTAGCTTAATGGAGGGTTTTATAATTGGATTCCTAACTCCGGCGACGCTGGAGCTGCTCTAAAGCGCCGTCAGTGCTTTAAAACTAAATAGCAGGATAACAACAGGCGATTTAAAAGGTTAAAGATCAGTCTTAAATACACACGACCTTTATTATCACTGTTATCTGGATCCTTCACTCTATTGCTACAAAGCCCCTGATAATCCGACGGTAAAGCATCCCGTCGCTTGTATTCATAACCACCATGTCACTTGCTGTCATCCACCTAGTCCATTTTCTTATTCGCCTACTCGTTTTCCCTCGCGTGGTATTTTATCTTGCGTAGGCTAATCCGGAGGCACAGTCTGTCACGCAGTACATACATGTCTCGAGTAGTGCGACCCCACGTTAAATCGCGCAGGGGATGCTACTGCTGTAAGCGTCGTCGGATCAAGGTACCTAACCTAGTCACGACTATGTATTGCTGCGGGCTGGTGGTAGGCCATAACTAACAGATGCCCCTCAGTGCGATCTCATTGAACCCCGCTGCAGAAATTGTGTCAAACATGGAATTACCTGTACTTTCGAAGGCCCTGCGCCGCTGCTGGACAGCGCGAAAGTGGCTATCCCGCGCCAAAATCCGAGGAGCGCACAATCTCAGAGGAGAGGCCCATCTCCATTGCCAACAATAACGGAACCACTATACCGCGGCCAAGATATCGAGGATTCTGCACATCGATCTCTTGAAAAGCACTTGTTCAGCTTTTACGTACACCAATGTCAAGTACAAGGCAGTGCTGTCAATCATTTCACGCCTAGACTCCTAGACTCAGCGATCCCAGCTCTCGCATTTGAGTTCAGCTTCTTGACGCACATTATCCTGAGCATTTGTGCGGCTTTTTTCCGAATCCGATTGGTATACGACCGCAGTCGTTATGCCACTCTTTCCCACGTCTTCATGGCTCGAGCCATTAACGGCCAAAGGGCCGCAGTCGCTGGGGGCATCAACCGGGGCAACTTCGAGGCTGTGTATGCTACATCAATCTTCATCGCCGCAAATACCGTCTCCCAACACCAGTTCCTGCCCATCAAGGTTGAGACTGCTTCGGACCTGGGAAAATGCGTCGTGGAGTGGCTGAGTGCATTCCGTAATGTGCGATCCGTTGTTGCTGCTTCGAGACAAGAATTTGGGCAGAGCTCTTTGGCGGCAGTGTTCCCGCGAGGGGGCTGGCAGCACTTGTCTGCTCAGGATGCAAGTCCCAACTCTGACCAAGTCGCCTTCGGCTTCCCACTAGACGAACTCATAGCAAACGCTGCTCAGGATGAGCGCTACTCTGATTACCATCACATCATAGTGGGCCTGTCAAACATCTACGAACAACCATCGAGGGAGGCATTCATGCGATTCCTGGTCGAAGCACGGCCCGAGTTTCTGCTCCACGTAGAAGCCGGCGAACCGCTTGCGCTCATGCTTATGGCCGTGTGCTTCAGTCTGACTCAATTGCTTCCACCAGCGGACATGATGGACCAGAGTGCGCAGAGAGATTTAGAAGCCACCAGGCTGCACCTTCCGCCAAATCACAGCCTGCTACTAGAGCGGACGATTGCAGTTATACGGTTACATCCTTGGCATCATGCATTCGCGGAGATTCCAAACTTTAAGGCGAAGCAGACTTTGGACAACACTCCTTGCCAAGACTTTCCCGTGGCAGTTCTCGCACAACTGGGAACATGATTGGCCATAGACCTGGGTCTCGGGACCCGGGAATGGATGTATTCGCCAGGCGTTTGGCCAATAACACCATACCTAGCCCTTTCGGGTCTGGTGTACAAAGGTAAATTTCAAAAGTTTAAGTCATGGTCCGTGCATACTCTACAGTAGGATGACGGCTTCTGGTATTGCGATGCACAATACGCAGTACTTCTAATATAACCCTAACCCTAAGGAATTCTTAGTTATCTATCGAATATAGAAAGCCTAAATAATATAATAAAGCACACAGATTCTAATATACTCCATTTAGCTTATTTAATCTCCTTTATACAGCTAATTATACAAAGAATTAAAAAATCGGGTAAGCACAGTCAAGTGTGGTATAGCGACACCAAAATAGATCGTACAGTGCTTCAGTGACGGCTTGAGTATTTGCGCACATAAGAGATGCACGGACCATAACTTAAACTTTTGAAATTTACCTCTGTACGCACGACCCATTTCTAGAGGTATTTCGCACCCCGCTAAAGCGATTTCTACATACATATGAAATTCAGCCGTCTCCATTATAAGCCCCTGATATTACTAGGAATTCAGGCTCCCTTTTGCCCTTATGCTTGCTCGATGGGCTTCGATAACTTATTGCCGCTAGCATAAATAGCTGTTTCAAGCCAATCCTCAAAAGCCGTAGTGGTAAGTATCTTTATTGGGCAGCCTGCAACGTGCTGGATTGGCTCGATTCTATCTTTATATGTAGAAGTCTTTTGAGCTATATGGCGAGTACCCTCTAGAAATGGTTGTGCGCACATTAAGCCTGAAAAGATTGGATATGGTATCATCAGCCAAGCGTACGGAGTTTACATCTATTACTCGTATTGTGACCACATCTTGGCACAATAGATACCCTGCATATTCGCACTACAAGCCCAACGATTGGACAACTGATTTTGGCATTAAATCAAAACCTCAGATCTCTTAGTGATAGCACAAACTTCGAATACGGATGACAATGGCTAACAAAAGTCCTGTCATTATACCCAGGTAATCCTATAAAACCCTCATCTGATGTCTGCTCCTGAGCCCATCATTGCAACTTACGTATCGGACCATCCATTGCTGCTAATATCAATCCAATGAATCATCCATCTTTTCTCCTATTAGCCTTTGGCCTCCTATCAGTCCTTACAGGCGCTACTCCGTGTTCATGCAAGGTAATTAATTGCCTAATCCCCTTTACGCTTTTGTGTCACTAGTTGACTGCTAACATTTGTCGCCACCGTAAAGCCTGAACCAACCTCCTTTGGTGTACCGTTGTCTCTAAATACATCCTCCAATGGTTCCATATTCATTGGCACGCCCGTAGATGCGAGGCCTCTGAATGTTAATCCGAGTTTTGACCCTGCTGTATCTCTGATGCACGGAGACAGCGGCAACACGGGCGACACCGACTATGCTGCCCCCCTTGGCCATAACCTTCGCATTTCGAGTGCGGCAGAGCAAATCGCCGTCATTGTCTGGGCATCTGATGGCAGCATGATTGCTGGCTATGGAAATGCTTCTACGAACCCAATCACCCGTGCCATTGGTGCAGTCGACCCATCTACATTTGAGGTCCTTGCATCATGGACTGCGCCCGTTAACCAGACATTAAATCTCGGCTATATGGAATATATCTTAGATACCGACGAGGTTTTGCTTAGCACAACGCAAGGGTACATCTATGCTGTGCACCGCGAAAACTGCGATGGTGTCCCATCTTTTACCCTCCGCAGAACTATCGATCTGACCACAACAATCAAGCCGTGGGAGTGGATGCTTAACTCCATGATAGACGCGGCCGGAAACATCTGGTTTACCACGGGCGGCATTACTGGCAGCGGTGATCCGGCGCAGAACTCGACAACGGCCGGCTATGTGACACCCGACGGCACAGTTTACGCGATTCATATCGAGAACCAGATGGTGGAGAATGGTATCGGAGTCAGTGGCACGTCCATGTATATGGCTACGGGCCTTTCTGGTGCTGCCAATACGTCGTACAACGCCACAGGATACATGTGGGCCTTTGCACCGGAGAAGGGCGTTGGCTTGAAGACGGTGTGGAAAGTGCCCTACAATGCCGGGTCGGGCGGAAAGCCTGGCGAGATCACGCGTGGAACCGGGTCGACGCCTGTTCTCATGAACGACCAATTTGTGGTCATCACAGACAATGAGGACCCGCAGATCAACCTCCTCGTCTATCACCAGGAGGAACAAGAATCGGCCGATGCGCAGCTCTTTTGCAAGGTACCCCTATTCCAGCCTGGCGCAAGTAGCAATGAGAACTCAGTTATCTCACATTTTGATGGGGACAAGTACGGGCTTCTGGTGCAAAACAGCTACGCCGCGCCGCCCTTCGAACTTCCGGGTCCTGGATTCATCCTTAACGGTACTTGGAATGATATGAGTCAGATGCCCGGGGGGTTCGTGCGTGTTGATGTTAATCCCAAGGGTGGGTGCGAGGTGCGATGGACTGCCAATCTGGCCAGCAAGACGGTAACTTTATTGTCTACTAAGACCGGGCTTCTCTATAGTTACATTCAAGACAAGGCTGTTACGCCAACTGGGCAGTACGATTGGTATGCGGTCGCTACTGACTGGGCAACTGGCGAGATTGCATGGAAGGTGAGACTCGGCTCTGGAGGTATTTTCAACGACAACTGGCTTCCGGCAAGCATAGGCCCAGATGGACAGTTTTACCAAGCGGTCTTTGGTGGGATAGTAAGCGTTAAGGATGGGTTGTAAGGCATTGAGCATTCAGTCTCCGCGAGGTCCTGCCAGAAATCATCTCGGTATACGGTTGTCACGGTACGTGGAGAACACAGTGATCATTTGAAGAACGGCTGCTTGGTTGGTCTAGATTGGGGCCACCAGCCGACAAGAACATGTATCCCATCAAGTACTGTACATACGCACGGACAGATTTTATATTAGAGTTTTGCTGACCCGTTCACTCGGGTGACTCGCTCATTTGTTGTATATACAAGAGGAATATCCGTGTCCACCAGTGCTAATCAAAACCTCCAGGCGACAGTCCTGCAGCACTAGATCCACCTCTACCACTCTCGGTGATGCGCGTACAACAATTTTCCCGGAAAGAAATAATACTTGTAGATTGGCTAGTCTGCTCTCTTCGGGGATCTTCTTTTTAGATGTCACTGACTCGTGTTATTCAGCCGTCTGCCTATTGAAAGGGGCGTTTAACATCGCCACAAAATTAGCCACTTTGATTCCAAATGGCCACACGCACATGAACAGGTATCTAAATAGTTCCCCAGCAACTTGATGCTGCCTTCTTCTTTATCCCCCCATTTAAAGTATGCCCTTTTCAATTTGATACAATGACCCTTGCATTCGTGAACTTATCGCCAGATTCTTCGGTAGCAGCGTCAATCATCCATCTGGCACAACTCTCACGTGTAATAAGCCACCCAAAGCCCGATTGATCCGACGAGAACGTCTTGACAGGTTTGTTACCAGAACCAGCAAGGACAGATACATAGACTACAGTCCAGTGCACATCATCTCCGCAGTTATCCTCGATCTCAGCATCTACAGCGCTGTGATCCTCCCACGTTTTTCCAACATTGGTATAATCCATCATGAGACGGAGGAAAAGTGGAGCGACCTTGTGTGACTCGCCAACACTGAGTGCATTCATTACGATTATGCGTGGCTTCTTTGAGCCTGAACTGCCAATACGCTGCTGTTGTTTGCGTAGAGCTTGTATCGCTTGAGCAGTCGAGTCCGCCATCAAGCGGTGCGGGCCGAGGAACTCAGCCCAAGGCCACTCGGATGTACGCTTTGGATTGAGGAACGTTACAACCGCATCGATTGGGATGTTTGTGGCATGGAATGCACGGTCAATGTCTTCTTCAGACGTTACTGAGCCTGTCACAGCTATGAGTCTGTCATGTCGAGGTAATGAGGAGGTGTCCCGGACGAGGACGGTCACGCGGTGGCCTGAGGATACCCTGTGAGCTCAATACTCCAAGATAAGTTGAAGGGAGATCAAAGGAGGGACTCATTAAGAATAGAGATTACCTTGCTCAAGAGCATATTTATAGCCAAACACGCCCGTTCTGCCTGTGGCGCCCAGAATTAGGAAATGCATGCTGTGAATAAAATAGTTGTCATACGAAGAAGGGCAATCTGGGTTACCACCATATTGTCTGGTGGAGCCAAAGGCGTATATGTATCGATTTTAAGATAACTTCTCAACATAACTTAGCCATTTATCGTAAGGTTCGCATTTGTCCGACGCTTATAAATCATGGTGTCACGAACCTCGGAGACTTTTCAGGTGGGATCTGTTACCCTGGTAATAGCGTTATGTTGTAAAAGTATGCTGGAGAGCTGTAATCCACATATAGAGCTCAACAGCTGTCCATCTATAATTCGACTATGGAATCCAGCCGGACCAACAGTTGAGCCGAAGAAATGAACCAGTCAGATCAACGGGAACACCGTTATGGTCAGTCACTGCCATAACAAGTGGTGTAATTTAACCGATAGGCCACCAACACTTTTCCGGCACTGCACCTGCTATAAGGTCTGGCGTGAATTGGTGCCCTAGCCTCCATTCTCGGTCGTGACTATGCCGAAAGTTAAGCACATTTCTTAATTAGGTATATAAATGGGTACTGACAACTGTATCTTGATTAAAAGAGGATCGAATCACTACTAATTGCCTTTTTAGTAGCTATACCTAAATAGAAGTGACCTATCACCCATTCCCTCGAGCTCTTCATCTGTATATTTTGCTCTGATTTCATCTTCAGTCATTTGAGCTCGCTTCTTGTTCTGGCGCCAGTACCCGAATTCCAAGGCCAAGCAACAGACTATGCCAAGGGCAGCAAACGCAAGCGACGCGCTGAAGCCAGTGGGGTATCTTGGGGCCTCGGAATCAATGTAAATGTAGCTTCCAATGATGCCACCAATATTGCCCATTCCAATCATAAAGGCAACGCCCTGGGCCCTCTTGGTGGGCCCCGCCAGATTGTCCACCGTCCATGCGTTCCCGCCAGGGTTGATGGGGTAGAACCCAATGCAAGACAGAATGACGGCAAAGTAGCAAACGGCAATGTTGTTCTTCACGTCTGCAGCCTTGACAAATAAGATAATAAAGGCAATCATCACGAGGGTTTGAGCTCCCACAATGAACGGCATTCTCCACCTGAAGCGATCGGCAAAGATTGCAGAAACATAGGCTGAAACAGCGCCCATGAAGTAAGGTGGAATCGTCAACAGCTGCGCGTTGCTGCTTGTAAAGCCCATGTTCTTGATGATCTGCGGCATGGTGAATTTCAGGCCGTAGTTTGGAGCAGTATTGGACCAGTAAACCAGTGCCTGGAGGTAAAGCTGCCAGTCGAGCAGAACAGACTTAGCAATCTGCCACTTGCGAGATTTCTCGGCTTCGCGAACACGCGCGCCATTGCCTTGAATCGCCAACTGGCGGAGCTCGAGGTAGCGAATCTCCTCGGGCTCAAGCCAGCGACCCGAAAGGGCCGGGGTGTCTATAAGGCAGAACCAGGCCAAGATGCCACAAGCCACTGACACAAGTCCCTCGATGATGAATATCCATCTCCAGCCTTCCAATCCCGCCACTCCGTCCATTTTTGCAATGGCAAAAGCAAGAAGGCCAGAGAATGCTCCGGCCACGGCGCTGGCCGAGTAGAACAGGGCGATACGGACTTGTCTTTCGTTGGGGAGATACCATCGAGAGATAATATATATCGCAGCAGGGAAGAAGCCGGCTCTAGATATACCCGAAATCAGTATATGTACTATGAATTGAAACGACTATTCCGCGGATAGATACGTACTCAAAAACTCCGAGAAACCATCTGGCGGCGACGAGACCGCCAAAGTTTCGGACAAGGCCAGTCAATGTCATTACCGCACCCCACGCAGCGATCATGCCACCAATGTACCGAGAAGGTCGGGCAAAGTATCCGAGAACTATATTGCTCGGTATTTCTAGATGCATGATGTATTAGTTTTGACTTAACATCTTTAACATGCAGCACCTTGATTTGATATGTTCATTACCCAAAAGAATATAAGGAACAAAGAAGAGAGAGAGTGCAATGTTGTATTGACTTCCGCTCAAGTTCAAGTCCTCGGCGAGGCCTTCAATTTTGGCGTTGCCTAGAATAATCAGTCGCGGGAGCTGGCAAACATGCTAAAGCATCGTTCGTACCGATATTCGCGCGGTCGATATAAGACATCAAGTAAAGCAGCGCAAGTACTGGGACGAGGCGGATATCAACCTTTGCATGGTAGTTCAGCATAAACCAGACCAAGTGTTGGCTCGCAGCACTGATAAAGGAACGCATACCTTTCTGATGACTTTCCTACGTCGTTCCTCGCCATAGTTCTCGACAAAATAGATCTCGTCACTGCTCAAGTCTTCGGCCAGGTCTCTTGACCCATCTGCAACATGCTCAGCTGAGCTGGTGGCAGCTTTGCGATTGTCCTTGTGAGGCGCATCGGTGGTAATTGTGTCCATGTGTGGTAGATCGCGCATTTTGGAGACTTGTGGAACTTGAGGAAATGATGTCTTTAGGATGCGTATGAACAAGTCCGTAATCGAGTCAGTCTATCCTGCGTGCGTCTCCTTATAAATAGGCAACAAGACGTAACTTCATCTGTTGGTTCAGTCGCGCAGGAACCCAGGAACCAGAGTGTTGGGTCCAGACTCTGTGGAGAACCCCATGGGGGGAGATTCTTGGCCCTACGACTGTAGTGTTCATGGCTGCTAACTAGCGAGGTAGATCCATAATCAAGGAAGGATTTGAACCCCATGGGAACGGAGAAATGCGCAGTACCCAATTGGAGACTCGTGGTCTTGACGCCAGTTTGTTTGGCGTTTGTGGTGGCTGCCGTATGGCATCCAACAACAATGTGAGTGTAGGCATCGGAAAAGATATCGTGCGATTCATGTCTAGGCCTAGGCTTAGGGCGACGCTGTGAATTATGGCCGGGGGGCCACTTTTGAGGTCGGAATTCCCAGAAGCGACCAATCTTGTTTTTTCCGATGGGCATGTATTCCCGGCCCAAGATCAATCTGGCTTCTGGTCGGACATTGTACACACGTGATTTACTCGCTCACGTGGAAATGCTCACTTGGGATTTGGAGCTTTACTTGCCATTTCAGAATATAACATATACCTCGAGGTCTTGCAGGATACACTATTAAAACAATCTTCGATTCAAGAAGTGTTCAATATTAACCATCATCTGATCAATTACAATGGCTGCTGTTAACGGATCTTCAGAGGAATTTTGTCCTGCTCTTTACCCTGATCTCAAGGGCAAAGTTGTTTTTTGTAAGCAGCATCTTCCCTCCTCTCTGATCCCCCTATACGACATCGGGAATATTAATGAGATGCAGTAACCGGTATAGGTCAGACAGGAGACCAGAGTATGTGGGGCAATGGTGCTGCCACTGCTCGTGTCCTTGCTGCAAACGGTGCAAAGATCTTTGGCTGCGATCTATACCTCGAGCCAGCCCAACACACTGAGAGGCGCATCGCTGCCGAGGGTGGAGATATCACTGTCACTACTGCCGACGTGACCAACGACGCCTCTGTAAAAGCCGCCATTGATGCTTGTATTGCTAAATATGGTCGCATCGATATACTAATCAAGTGAGCATCATATCCATTGCCCTGGACTTTAAATCCAAATCGAGTTTACTTAGGGCCCGTTTACTTACATGGTGAATGCTAGTAATGTCGGGCGTTCCGAACCTGGAGGCCCGGCAGAAATGACCGAAAAGGTTTGGGATGCTCAGACCAACGTCAACCTCAAGTCCGTGTATTTGTGTTGCCACCATATATTGCCCATGATGGAAGAACAAGGCTCTGGTGTCGTCGTCAACGTGGCCTCCATCGCCGGGATGCGGTACATTGGCAAGCCACAAGTGGCCTACTCTGCCACCAAGGCGGCCGTGATCCAGTTCACCAAAGCCACGGCGGTCATCTACGCCCCGAAGAACATTCGTATGAACGTCGTCGTGCCTGGGTTGATGAACACGCCGCTGGTTGGAATGCTGGCAGATAAATATGCCGGTGGTGACCTGGCCGGATTTGTTGCCAAGCGAAACAAGGCTGTCCCTATGGGATTGATGGGCGATTCTTTCGATGTGGCTAATACTGCGGCCTTCCTTGTATCCAAGGCGAGTCGATACATCACGGGACAGAAGATCGTGGTCGACGGTGGTATAACATCGTCTACTGGTTAGTTAATTGTAAAACTGTAGATATGATGCCCCGAGTCGACGGTTGTATAAGAAATTGAATCAACAGGCCAGCTCTTTCAAATTTAGTCGTCGTTGAGAATGAATCATGGGCATATGAGATGCTACACTGGTGATGCGTTCTGATGCGCCACTCCGAGGCTCAGTAGTGTCGCGCCGTTATGTGACACAACTGGAAGGGTTTATCAAGTTTCTTTGTTTGCGCTCTCTTCATTACATGTGATCCCGACTTAATTCTACTCCTGTGCTTGAATATTGGTCGTACCTGGTTTCAATAATACAAATATGAACACCTCTAAAGTTTTAGGGAAGAATATTTACCAACATGCCACATTTATCAGAAAGAGGCAAACCATTATCTCTCGCTCTCCTCTTGACCGCGAAACTGGAAGGGGCAAACAAAGTGCTAAGCGAGGGGACCCAGCTCTCGTAATATCATTCCCAACTTTAATGATGTAAATTACAAACGATGCAGCCATTGTGGAAAAGTTACGAATACGCTTGAGCTCCGGTATTTCCTTGTTCCACTGTTTCACGATTGACTTTATTATCATGTGGCAAGCCTCTTGTCCCGTAAACAGACACTGATAACCACAAAGTATTTCATAGCACAAAACCACCTGAATATCACCAATCCAAAAGTCGAATCGGCACAGAAATTTGAGAATCGCCCTGTGGTATAAGTGTCTTTTGAAGAAGAAAACCTTTTTATTCATTTCATACTTTTCCGGCTGACTTAAATACGTCAACCATCAAACGCTCGACGCCCTGAGAATAGATCTCTACGCCTTCGGATTGTAGTGTCGTGAGCTCCACTTTGCCTGCGTTATCCTCAAGATACTTGTGGTATCCATTTCTCACATTACGGTTCTGATTGACCTTGACCATTCCCTTTTCCATTGCGACCCGGACCATGTCATCCGACAGGGGATGAGTGCCGTGGAGCACCAACGGTGTATCAGCACCCATCGCCTGGTGGATCTTCTCAAGCCTTTGGAGCAGGATTAGCTAGATGTGCAAACCTTCACGGGCTGGTAAAGTACATACCGATCCAACTGCCAGTGCTTCTCAGCTCCCCCTGGCGGATAGGGACCATGCACGTTTCCAAAGCTAGGGGCCAAGAAATGGACACCAGTCTTCTTGACAAAGTTGGCTGCACCATCAGGATCGGTCCACACGCTCTCTAGATCAATGTTCGGGAGCCCGTCTTCGCCACCTTCCATTCTTCCCAGTTCTGCTTCTACGGTAATATTCTTGTCCCTGGCTCTATCCACGACAGACTTGACGTATTCAACATTCTTCTCTTCGTCAAACATGGAGCCGTCAACCATGATGGAATCAAATGGGCATTGCAGAGCCATGTCTGCGTCAGCGGGCTTGAGGCAATGATCGAGGTGGACGGAGATGGGGACGGAAGCTCGGTGAGCCCGCTCTGCCGCGAAGCGGATGAATTCCGGGCCCTGGAAATGCATTGTCCAGGGAAAGAACTGGATCATGGCAGGGGAGCGACATCTCTCGGCGGCCTTGATCACGGCCAGGACGCCTTCTGTGTTGTATCTACAGAGACAGCCGATTAGAGTGGGCACATTCCTGGACATCAAAGACCTCCGTTCGTGGGCTGTGCGAATGACTTACACGCAAAATCCACCGACAGCGTAGCCTCCTTTCCTGGCATTGTGAATAATCTGCCAAGTCCGGTTAGTCGCGGGGTACTCGAATGTCGAACCCATTTTGAGATGTAGCGAAGTCTAGACGATTGTGTGGACGGAGATTGCTTGTCACGACCTCGTTGTCTGCTCTTCTGGGGTTGTTGAGACCATCTTTTAATCACCCACATCCAACTAACTTTGCGTGTCTGTGGGGACATTCTTCCGCCATGATTAGCCGGTTTACGCACCGGAAATTGACTCGATTTAGGTGTTGGGAGTTCAGTAACTATCCTCAATATCACGCCCGACCCATGGCTGAGTTTGCCGCTCGGAATTCTCTCGACTGCCCCGCCAGCTACCCCTAGACTGTCACCCACAAATTCCGACCAAAGCTAGTCCGTACGCATCAACAAATTCCGACAGAAAGGGACAGGACTGTGCACGCAATAGCAAATCGCAAGACTGCTGCTTCTACGAGTCGCGCATTGGCGCATTAGGAGTCAGGGATCAAGACGTTTCCGCATCGCCAAATGAGTATTTCGCGATGCGCGATGGCTGGTAGTTGCTTTCTCGTGACATTTGTTTGCTCTAATCCCTGGCGGAATTCCCGTCGCACACAGTCTATTCAGGCACACAGCGATGTGGCTTGGCCATGTATGATAGTAGTTATTGTGAAATGTATATCACCTCCAGATAATGAGAATTGATGCACATAGTGAATACACTTTGCAATCTTGCACGCCTGGAAAATGTCAAGAAAACACTTCATCGACGGCGAGGATGCCAAGGATCTTGTCCAGGACGCTCTCAGAGGTCTCACTGTTCAGCATCCCGAGCTTGTGCTTGATGTGGCAAATAAAAGTAAGGCTTCGTACTGATATCCGTGAGACTAAATGAATGAAACAATCTGCTGACAGTACTCCTTCTCTTTAAGCTGTCTACAATTCCAGACACGATTCGAACGAATGTGTGTCTGTCGTGTCAGGAGGCGGCGCTGGTCATGAACCCGCGCATGCCATGCTAGTAGGAAATGGAATGCTTGCCGCCGCAGTCTCGGGGAATATATTCGCATCTCCTGGAGTGCCCCAGATCTTCCAATGTATTCAGAGGATACACGGTACTGCGGGGACAATTGTCGTCTTGAAAAACTACACAGGCGACGTTTTCCACTTCAGCCTAGCCATTGAGAAGCTCCGCGCAAATTTTGGTGCGCGTGTAGAGATTGTGGTTGTCGGTGACGATGTCGCTGTTGGTAGGAGAAAGGGGGGCAAGGTTGGCAGGCGAGGACTAGCAGGCACTGTTCTCATGCACAAGATCCTTGGCTCCATGGCTGTGTCGAGAGAGAGTATCGAGAAGTGCATGGCCATGGCGGCGCAGGTCAACAAGGGCTTGGCGACCATGGCCGTGTCTCTAGACCATGTTCGCATACCCGGTCAGCCGCTCAGCGAAACCGAACTGCAGGACGAGATAGAACTCGGCATGGGTATTCACAACGAACCGGGCTCGATGCGACTCAGGCCCCAGCCTGAAATCAAGCAGGTTGTGGAGATTGTCTTGAGCCGTCTCTTGGACACCAACGACGAGGATAGAGGTTTCGTCGACTTTTCGGGAGCTGAGGATGTCGTTCTAATGATTAACAATCTAGGGTCGCTGTCAGTCCTGGAGCTATCAGCCATCACATGGAAGATTCATGAGCACTTGGGTAAGTCCGCTCTGCTCATCCAAATCTGAACAGCTTTCCCTAACAACGCCAGGACGCCGAGGAATTAAGCCGTCGAGGACCTATAGTGGCACTTTCATGACCAGTCTCAATGGCCCAGGCTTCAGTGTTACTCTTCTCCGTGCCAATGCGGAAATGCTAAGACATTTGGACACTGCTACAGATGCACCCGGATGGCCAGTATCTGTCATTGCCTCCCGGACGGCTGATCCAGAAAGGTCAATTTCGCTCTCATCTTTACCTCTCTCAACGGGAATCAGGAATGAAAGTAATAAAATTGGACCCAAAGGTGCGATAATATTGATACTGTTGCATCACGTTGTTCTAATCATTCTGCGCTGTAGTCGACTACGACTTGTTCAGACAATGTGTCATGAGCGCTTGTCAGGCTGGTATAGCTGCCGTCCCGAATATAACCAGATACGATACCATAGTAGGAGACGGGGACTGTGGTATAACTCTTCAGCGCGGATGCGAATCGGTTTTGGGGCTATTGAAAAGAGATCAGGAAGGCAAGGGTGAGACCGCCTTGACACATATTTTGCGCATCGCGCGGGCAGTAGAAGAGAATATGGATGGGACGTCTGGTGCCATATACGGACTTTTTGTCAACGGGCTTGCCGCAAGTATACGTACGATGGAGTCGGAAAAACGGATGGGACATGAACAGTGGGTTCGAGCCGCGCACGGAGCCTTGTTCGCAGTCCAAAAAGTAACCCCGGCAAGATCAGGGGATAGGACACTCATGGATGCACTTGAGCCATTCATTGCTGCATTGACGAAGAATGGTGTCGACGCTGCTTTGCAGGCAGCTGCCCAAGGAGCGGAGTCGACAAAAGGGATGAGGCCAGCATTTGGAAGGGCAGTCTATGTGAACGAAGAGGGATGGGACCAAGTACCTGACCCGGGAGCTGTTGGGATCGTCGCTCTGGTAGAGGGTCTCCTCAAGAACCTACAGTGAGCCAGACAACGCAGACTTTGGATGCATTGCGTCAAGATCATGTCCGATAAGCCGCTCGTGGGAACAGACCATAACAAATAGACGCCAAAAAGCATCCATACCTACCAATAGCCTAACCGTTACATGACTTGTAACTTGTTTGCTTTCAGTGGGCAGTTCTTGCATCCTCTCAGCTGGCAAACACCATCTTACCAGATCGTACAGAATGGCTACCTAGATATGTACTGAGTCAATTGTTTTTTTTTTTTTTTCCCATTCCAATAACAAAGGATGTAGAGAAAGAAATTGTATTACAAGTTCTTGCACAGTATATAAATTTCAGGTCATGGAAGAAGCTGGCTACTAACGTGCCGATCAAGGCAGGGAGTGTCTGGAACAAAGAATTCGGCATTTCATGTCTTGAAATTGGATTAATTTTTTCTCTACTTCGAAAAAGCTGCTTTAGCACGCTGGCAGCAGAATGAGTTCTCGCACACGGGAGATAGAATTGAGTAAAACATGGTACTTGGAACTTAGTGTATGTTTTCCGAGGATTTACCGTCAGCCTCCATCCACTTCGAGCATAGAGCCATGCGCTGTGGGAGACTTAGCGACGAACCCCCCTTGTGTAGTCTGTAAGTTTGAGCTCCCGTCTCCAGTTGTGCAAGCCCACTTACTGCAATGCTGCAACATGCCACTATGCTTTGCCAAGTGATGCGTTACCTTTTATTGTAACAGTGTGCGACTCGCACCAACATGGCAAGTCGCGGGCGCGTGCCTGCGAGTCGGCAAGTGCCAGACACTACTTCGCGCATCACCAAGAAGAAATATGTGACTAGGTACGCGGGATAAGGTCCCGGGGTCTCTGGTAGGCGGTATACTCATAGTTCAGCAGGGCATGCGACGCGTGTAAGCGAAGAAAGTCAAAATGCGATGGACGCGAGGTATTTCATGTTCTCTTTCTCAACCATACCAAGGCGTCAGACTAATTTTTAAATGTTAGCCATGTGCCAGGTGCCTCAGGGCGCAACTGAGTAGGTGGTTTCTTGCCATCATCACCCACCTTGTGCTACGGCCTGCTCACCATCGTTGACACTCAGATTGCACTTATGATACCGCTTATCGGCGCGTGCAGAGACGCAGCATCTTAGATGGCAGTACCGACGCATCGGCACCTGGTGTACCACAGGCCCAAAGCACGGGAGCATCGACTCCAAGCTCAGCGCATACTGTCCCCGCCGGAGGGCCCTCACATGTTCACGACGTGGAAGTGTCCCCTTCCGGCCAGACGGCTCTTCCTGAGCCGGACCGCTTGCGCCAAGAAGAGGAGTTGGGTCAGTAGTCACATTTCTCGAGTGAAGAGATTTGGCTAATACGTGCTTAGACGACTCGAGTGTCCATGCCTTTTTGCGACGAGTTTCCAGGCATCTGAGCGTCGTAGGTCGAGGACTCCCGAGGAACTTGCTAATGAACAAGAAAGAGCCTCCAACAGACTCTGGAAACAACCAACAGATTATACTGCCAAGCAAGATCGTGGCACAGGAATACGTCAATTGCTTTTTCGAGCATGCGAATATCACATATAGGTATCTACCTCAGGCGGACGCATATGACTACTTGGATCAGCTGTACGATGAGGACAGTTCGTTGTTGAATAACGATGCTCGAATGGCAATTATCCTCTTGCTCATGGGCATTGGGTAAGCGGCATTGTCTGCCTTCGGTGACCTCCATGGCTCACAAGGATCATAGTTGTATTTGGCTAGCTTCCTATCGGTCTCTACCATTCGAAGAGTACAAGATCAAATCGTAAGCCTCTACAAATCTAATTCTCTTATGCAGACCCTCATCCGTCTAGGCACAGATTTCTTCGAGCTGGACGTGAAAGGCTTGAAAGCGCCACGTCCAACGGTGGTGCATCCATCGAGCTTGTCACAGGCCATGTTCTCAAGGTAGACGTTCGGTGCAGGTGTTCATGATGAGTCCTAATCTCGTTATAGTGTCAACTTGAATGTGCTGCCAGCAGATTCAGAGAAGCTTGGATGACTCTCGGTACGGCGATACGCCTTGCCCAAATGATCAGGCTTCATAGGGAGCAGCAGACATCAGATCCCATTCATCAGTACTGCGCTAGGGGATTGTTCTGGGCCATTTTCATGATTGACCGGTCAGGATACCAATGCGATACCTCCAGAGCGATACTGACTCTTCTAGATATCTATCCGTCTCGCTAGGGTGGCCTATGGCGCTCCACGAAAACGACATCACGATACCTCTACCATCGGAACCCGATGCTTCCATTCTGCCACGTGTTGGGCCACAAGAAGCAAAGGTTATTTCAGGAGTAGTTGCACATGCCCGGTAAGACACGGTACCTGCTTGAATAGACCGACATGAAGCTGATCCATCGAGACTCACCCAAATTATTGGGCATGCAATCATGAAACTCTACGGAGGTACTCGAATTTCTCCTGATTCTTGTGAGCAAGCAATTACTCAGTTAGAGGGAGAGCTTGATAAATGGCTCCAAGATACCCCTTCATTCTTTCATCCTCGAGGTGACTCTCGTGAGGCGGGTGATCAGGAGTTTTATGACTTGCCTTGGATCTTTCGACGACAGAGAAGGACGATACGCTCGGCCTTTCACTTTACCAAAATGCTCATTTATCGTGGCACCTTGCTACAGGAATTTCTGCACCACATCCCAAGTACGCCGCCATTCAAGGAACCAGGCTCAAAGTATATTCAGCACTGTGCTGATAATGCATGGGAAATGGCAAACATTGCAGCTGATATCGCAGATGACGACACATACAACAGCGTGTACTGGGTAAGATCTTGGACACGATTATGAAGGAACCAGCTAACAATGGCTATAGACAACATCTCACTTCATATTTTGTGCAATATCGATACTACTGGTTTATCATCTCTTGTACCAGGGCCCATTCAGCCGTTCTGAATTGGAACGCCTGCTTGAAAGAGCCATGAAAGGCCATGGGAAGCTTGACAATGGCCCTAGTCTTATCAATGAGGATTTGCTGCAGGTGTGTAGTGAAATGTCAAATGAATGTCGCGTGATTCTAAATTTGGGCAGAAGTCACCGTTGGAAGCTCGACCGGCTGGTCAGACCGAGGTGCCACTCCGTGACCACACAAACACTGAGAACGCGGCTCTTGACCCAGTGGTTGATCGAGGTATGGTTGAAACACAGCCGCTATCAGCGCATGGAGCAGTTTCAGTAGACACGCTACTTCCGTCTTGGCTGAATCAAGCCCAGGCACCAACCAACACCGGAGTCTCCTTTCTCATTGAACCCGGAGCGAGTGCAGGTCTGGTTCATAATTGGTTTTCACAAGGTTTGGACTCCTCTACTGGTGATGTCTTTGATATGATCATGGACCTGGGATTTGATGGAACTTATGCTACCGACTTTGGCTCCAACATGGACTATGAGTAGTGCGAACCTTCTGCTGGAGTACATAGCTGAAGCTGCCCTTTTGTCGGTAAATTTAGGAAATTCCCGCTATGGTTTTCGGCCATTAGATCTCGATCTCCCTCCTTGCCGTTGTTCTTTTCTTCTCCGCACAATGTCAAGTCCCGCTCTGAGGACTCACCCACTCAACGCCATCCAGCGTTGTGGTCAAGGTTCCATTCGAGTCCAGTATATTGACCAACACATCAATGCTTGCATGATAACCCTCTGGACTCGTCTTCTTACTACCATTGACTGCGCCTGTCTGCAGAATGTCCGAATACCAGTCAAAGTGAGACGAATACAAGGATGGTAGCGTCAAGGTCACCTCTTCATTGCCGTTCAAAAAGCTACTACCATCGTCCGAGTAGTTTTTGTACACCACTGAAATGGTTCCCACCTGAGGAGCAGTAAGCCAAGTAATGTTCACTTGAGCGAGCCCCGTGCTCTTCCCCGCGAGTGTGTACTCGCCGGCAGGTGGAAGTGAGATGTTGGGAGCCGCACTACCCGCGACATAGGGCTCGCCCCAGGGAATCACATCAGCATGCTCGGGCACATCAAGTGGAGCGCTAGGCTCGCGGTCTGTAAAGGTGGCCAAATACATTCTGTAATTGCGCCCGTACGGTTCGGTTGAAGGGTAACAGGGCAGTGGGTTGTCGCCACCACAGGACGGCGAGACGGTGTGCGTCTGCCAGTATACAAGCTGGGTGCTGTCGGGCGACCAGCGGGGGTCAGCCATGCCGTTCCACTCGGGGTCATCAACGGAGCCGCTGCCAGCAACGCCATAGCCATTGCCGTTAATCTTTTGCCCGTAGTAGTCGCCGCGGTCGCCGTACCAATCTAGTAGATATGGTTGGAAGAACCGACGAGGGCCATTGTTCCTCGACGAAGCGGGTAGCACATTCGCAATCAGGTCCACAATCGGGGGAATCCCGCGCATACCCGAAATGAACATTTGACGACCGCTACCACGAGTGTCCATGATGGCTATCCACTTGTTGTCCTGTGAGAAGGAGAGCGGGTCACAATATTCAGGATGGCTCGTCACTCTCCTTACAGCACCTGTAGTCAGATGGGAAGCGAAAATATCGATATTGCAGCTTTCGGCAGAATAACCGATATACGTAATCTCACTGCCATCACCACTGAATCCACGCGCCTCGCCAATGTAGTTTTTGGTAGGATCATGGAACAATTGATCACCAGAAAAGGTGAGCGGCTGTGGCAGACTGGAGTTGTACAGTAGGGTGACATTGACAATGTCGTAGCGTGGCGCAAGTGGCGTTCCGGAAGTTGGCGAAGGGTTGAATACAATGCGTCCAAAGTACCCATACTGACCGAGACCTAAAACGGTCGTTGTGAAGGCGTTGAACTGGATATGCACCTGGTCAGGATGCAGGCGTTGTTCGCGAAAGTCGCCGCCAGCACCGGAATCGTCTGCTGTCGTGCTCCAACGCAGTGGATAGATATACGTCTTGTTTGGCGTGCAGTCGTCAGAGACGAGATCGATATCGCCGCAGTCGAGCACCGTTTTGCGAAGAAGCAAACGCTTACCATCCTTGAACGCTTGCGGATAATCATATGACGACAAGTCTGCACCTTGCGCATTCTCAGCCGGTACGCCGCACGTAATACATTTCCATGGATCGCCGTGAGTAAAGTTGGTTCCATCTGTCTTTACAATAATTATTTGTTGGCCGCTGTAGATACTAGATGGGTCTGGCCAGGCCGGAGCCCCCTGGTATGTCACCAGGGCAATAACGTGTTTGCCGTCTGGGAGGAAATCGCCAGATTGAAAAGCGCCAGCAACTCCATTTGCCAGACAACCCGTTCCTAATGGATTAAGTTCAATCGTACATGATCCAGTATCATTGTTGGGAGCCAACGGTGGAAGGGGCAGTTCGGTAATGGCAATGGGCTCTGGAAGTGGTGGAGCCGGGATATAATCTCCAGCAGCTGGCGCGACGCAAGCATACAAGAGCGACGAGCTGGTCAAGATGCGCCAGAACATTGTAAATCCTGGGATATAGGCAATGATGTACTGGAGCATCATTGAGGCAAAAGGCAGTGGTGCTAGACAGCATTGAATACTCACGCTAGGCGACTTGCCTTCGAGGTTGGTACACGTCTATATAAACATGTCTGTTCTTGCCGATCCAACTCCTTCTGGTGCAAAGGAGATTAACGTCACCCCGCGCCGCCTAGGTACCAAAGAGTACGAAGCCGAGAAATGCGAAATGCGAATGCACTTTTGGGCGTGAATGGCACGGCGTAAAATTTGCCATTTAGAAACCAGGGCTCTCTGAGCACATGGTGCCATTGCCCAGAACCTCGTATTGCGAGTTTTGCAGTATGACTGCATGCGCAAGTATCATTTGTTTTTCAAATTCGATGAGGACTAAGCGGACGATGCGACTGTGCGCGAGTTGGTGTTCTATTTACATGTCGGCACACCACAGTCGGATGCATCATGCTACTTGAGATCATGGCGACTCGGATTAATGCGAACTCGGAAATAATGCGAACTGGAGTCCATATTACAGGGGTAGACCCGAGCAAACCCGACAGTAGAGCTGCCTGTTAGTAAATAATGGATCTCCTAATTGGCGATTTGCGTCTAAAATCCGACGTACTTAGCTGTAAATGGTAAAAGATAGATTGAACCCAAAAGAGTTCTGTCAGGCCTAAGTACGGTGTCACGATAGATTGTTGTACAAAGAATGAATTACTGTTTATGGATTGGGCGTTCTGGCCGCCCAGGCCTCTGGCTAGGTGCATCTCACTTGCCTGGCGGCTCGTTTCCGTGGTTCATGTAATGTTCGGTGGCTGTGTTCTGTGGGGTGCAGCTGGTGCCTTGCTTCGGATTGTCTGGCCGGCTCGAGTGACTTCGCAGTGACTCTAACCCAGGTGACGTTCGGCTGATCCTCGATGTGGTTGTCGGCTGCGTCGTCGTTGTTGAAGGGCAGTCCAGTCATATCCGACTAATGAGCCAGAGGCAGCGTGCTGAGAATAGTTTTGAGGCCATGCGAACGGGGGACATATAGTGGGGAACATGCTAATAAGGAACATAGACCTCAATAGCCTCAACTCGCACCGAGCATTGAGATGGCGCGTTCCTCGTCTATGAGGAATGGAGGCCAATGTTTGCTGTTTATATTGTCAAAGCCTGCCCAACCAGTGCACTGTAGGTTAGATCTACCTGGAATCTATAGCGTCAACTGGTGAGGGGTGGGGTCTCCGCATCTCCGGGGCCCGGGGGTCGCTAAGCGGAGAGGGGGACCCGAGGTTCAGTGGGTTTGGGCCTTTCAAGGATGACGGCATCCCATATTTGAGCCTCAGACTCACGAACGATTGCTTCCGGCAACATTCAATTACAATATTCCGCGATCGGTGTGAGCCGGTGCCAATTACGCCTCAATGCTTGGTAATTCTTTGGATGGAATTCAAAAGATCACAAACATGGCAGCATCACCACGCCTTCTCCTCGCTCTGAGACGGCCTTTGATATGCTGCCACCCTTGCAATATCGGCATGAGGCGCATAGCAACGAGCGCTGCCGAGGCCGCCTCAAAAATGACGGATACGTTTGCCAACAAGGTATTTACAACGCGCCAGCTCCTTGACGCCAATCAGCTGCAGAAACTCAGCTTGACCTTGGGACGGCGAGAATTGTACCCAGGTCTCGATATTTCTGCTGAACCCCCACCGGCCAAAACCCCGGTCCCCCCGGGTTATCACCTTGTCTACTTTACGCCAGGTGGCCTCGAGAGTGAACTGGGACCAGACGGTACCGACCGCACTTTCAACTCTCCCGCGCCATTCACAAGGCGGATGTGGGCTGGTGGAAAGATGACTTGGCCGGCGGGCCCGGCCCAGCTGCGCGTCGGAGAGGTTGCCGAGGAGCGGACAAAGCTGTTGAGCGCCGTTCCCAAAAAGAGTCGCGACGGCGGCGAGATGGTGCTGGTACAAGTCGAAAAGGAGTTCTGGGGCAAAGACGGACTGGCACTGACGGATCAACGGTGAGTATTCTGCTTGACTCCTTCGAAATGCGATATCAGCATCATTCTGTTGTGTGATGTATCTAGAATGGCCTGACACCCAATAGGTCTTGGGTTTTCCGGCCAGAACTGGAGGCGGCAACTGAGCCCGTAGCCAAGCCAGTAGAGGGCAAGGTGAAGAGAGGACCATCAACATTGGTGGATGAGCAAGCAGAGGGTCATGGTAAGCCCCCGTCTGATTCCAAAAGCTCACGAACAGCCGGAAACGTCGCTAAGTATATTAACAGCATATCCGCTTCGGAAACTGTACTGGTCACCAGTTGGCCTCTTTCGCTTCTCAGCTCTGACTTTTAACGGTCACAAGATCCACTACGACGAAAGCTGGACTCAGAGCGTGGAAAATCACCCTGCACAGGTTGTCCACGGGCCGCTCAACCTAATTAGCATGCTTGACTATTGGCGAGATGTGGTGGGAAAAGGCGAGGTGGGTGAAATCAGTTATCGGGCAATGTCGCCGCTCTACGCCGGCGATACTTATCAGATCCGCACATCGAACCCCGTTGATACAGAAGATGGCTCGCCGTGGGAAATATTGGTCGAGAAAGATGGTAAGACATGCATGAAAGGTGCAATTACTGAAAAGTCATAATATTGAATTTAGTTACCTCTACTGTCCCGACTCGTTTGGCATCCCCACTGCACTACATTTGTTGTACTAAGTTGCTATACAACAGCTCCACTAAGTTCTAATCGCGCACTCAAAGCTCTCAATACTATTACTGCTTCCAGGAGCGATGTTCAAGCTACAGTTTATGCTTCAAGATCTCCAGTCAGCTCATTATACGCAGGAAAAACAAAGGGGAGCTTTTCGGGGAGGAGATCCGGCCAGGTCTTTTCAATAAGCTGCATAAGCTCATCAAACAAGATCTGATAACCTTCCGACGTGAAATGAACACCTAGTCGCTATTCGTCAGCCAAATATTCGCGAGAACAATATCTCTGCATTCAGATGAGACCCTTTGGACATGGCTACTTACCATCCGACAAGAGCCGATCAAGCATGATATTCTTGGGTGCCTCCAGTGACCCAGCAAGGACATCATCACCGGCATTCCAGCCTGCACGCTCCATGAGGACGCTCCAGAGATCAAGGACAGCCACACCGGGAGACGACGCCTCGCCGACCCGGCGGCACGCCTCGGCGTACTCCCTGGCGACGAGCGAGCGGCGCGTCAGCGCAGGATACCCGGCGTTGCGGTCCTTGATGTCGTGCTGGTGCTCGTCAATGGGCGGCGGAGTGATGAGGACAATGCGGCAATCCCGCTGGGCCGCGAGGGCCGGGTGCGACAGAATGGTCTTCAAGTTGGCCGTGTACTGCTCTAGCGGCACGTGCATGCCATTGTTGGCCGATGCGAGGGTGCCGTCATTGGCGCCCAGGAGTACGGTCTGCAGGTGTTCCCTTTATGGTCATTACAATGTTTGGGAAGATGAAGACGTCATGGCGGCGGGTCGGAGTAACTGAAGAGACTTACGACAAGGCGGAGCCGGGCTTGCTCTGGAGATGGAATCACGTACGGGAGGACCTGGAGCGCCTGTCTTGTATTGTATCCGCTGTTTGAATAAACACGTCAGTTTTAGACATGGGGATAAAGAGGTGTGAGATGGTTGGCTTACTCAAAGCCTCTATTCACAACATCCAAGCGCCGGATATAAGCTGAGGCGGCATTCTTACATCAGCATGTTTCCAAAAAAAAAAAAAAAAAAATTATATTCAGCGGCAATGGACGGCGACAAACCTTTCTGGAGCGCCGGGGTCAAACCATTCTCCTCCACGCTCGAGTACTCAGTGAGGGAGTCACCAAAGAGCAAGAACTGTCCATACTGGTATTTCGCCATGTTCGGAAGTATACTACCGGGATGGATTCTCGCACTAGGAAGGCACAGTAGTTCTTGGGTGCTACCTAAATGTAATTCTGTGGTAATGATGCTGGGGGAAAGCTTCTTTCCGTTGCTGGCTTACTGCTAGATTCAAGTGTGGATTTTTCGGATTTTTTTCCCCCCTCGACTCTTCCAGACCCACCGCCGCTAGCATCGAGACTATGTATACCTGGGGTGATGGATCATATTGATATGGCTCACCGGCTGGCTCGGAGTCTGCAACTCTAAATACTGGACCACGAGACACCCTTGTCAGCAGCAGGTACTATCTATCCAGTGTCGACAGCTTCGCGATAGGTATTGCGTCTTACAAGCTGGAACGACAATTTCCAAAATGACGACACCCGTCAGTGTTAATCCAACTGGAAGCAATCACAAATCTACAACTACTGAACCAAGATTATACGTTACATGCCAATTATTACGAAACCTTACAACTTGAATTCTTCGGCATCGGCTGTGAAAACCATGTTTATTGGCGATGACAATTAGAACGCGACGATACGTATACTATTACAAACACTACTATGAAGCATGACGCAAAAGGGTATCCTTGGCCAAATGAGCTTTCTTTCCAGTACGCCAGGAAGCAGGGAGTCAAATTCCCTGTCTTACACCCCATAATCCTGGGCTTTTCATACGCCAAGAGGATCCGGAATCCAGACGCGAAGTGATGATAAAGATGTCCACGTAGGTGCTGTCGAGCGAAAGAAACGCGGCATGGTGAATGCCATCTCAAAACTGCGTCATTACGTCAGGGACATGCATTTCAACGCTCTCCTCCAAGACGGCAATGCCGTCAGCAACTTCCAGGGGGGTTTTGTGGAAACGGCCCTCTTCAATCTCTTGCTCTTCCATCTGTGTCAACGTTTCGCGAAAGAATGTTTCTTCCTGCTGAGTCGGAGTAGGCAGCGGTGTGGCGCACGCACGAATGAAGCAGTTCTGGCGTTCTGCGATGTCGTTGTCTCGCGTATGACTGGAACTGTCATGCAGATGAGAGATCTCACTTGACGCTTTGGCAGGTCTAGTGATCTCATTGTTGAACTCCTTCGTAGCAACGTTCTTGGAAGTAGCGGCATCCTCGACGCGTGCAAGCTCGACAATTTGCTCATCAATGACATTCAGCATACTCCATAGCGATGATCGAGGGGAACCGGAAGTGCAAAGGACCGACCTTGGCTATTCTCCCATTAGCATCTTGTACGGGATATCTCATGACCTACACAAGATACATACCAAAGGTACAGGTCGGTAACCAATGTTCTTGACAACATTTGCGTCACCAATAGGTCGGATACCACAATGATGGAAACCAAAGCCTGCGGCGGCACTGGGAGGAATGTCCCCATCAGCAACCCCGTCAAGGCTCAAGTAGCTTCGGGGCTCGCAGGTAGGTCGACAGGCATGACAGCACTTGAACTGGCATTCAAAGCTATCATCCGGGACCCAAGCTCGCTTTCTCTGGTCGGGAGCTGCAAAGCCGGGCGGCAGCGGCAGTTGGGTTGAGCTGGATGAGCTAGAACTGGGTAGGTAGGTAAGAGGTCGTCTTCTGACGGTTTTGGAGCGAACTTCCGATGCCAGCACATGCTGGAGCTGAGCAGATCTATCAGCCTTGCGCTTCGTTTCAGCAGTGTAGGAACAAAAAAAAAAACCTACATCTTCTCTTTGCTGCAAAATGGTTGCTATCTGGGCAGGAGAATATGTTCTCATGGCAACGTCATCGATCTCGCTGAAGAAGCTGTACTTGTTCGACCTAGACTCTGAACTGCGTGGTCCTGGCTTGACTTGGGCCGTCAGCGATTGACCGATGGCATCAAAGTTCACCTTTACGCAGCCATTAGTCTTGGGCTCCATGTTGTGTATTGGATAAACAGATATCTTACCGGATGGCCATTGTCGAGGTAATGTTGTAGCAAGTGTTCTCGGTCCTGCGTACATCGATACAGCCAACCCTACTGGCCGGATCGATGGCACATTTCGCAAACAAAATTGGGCTCAAAGATGCGCGTCATGGTCAAATGTGTACAGGTGGGATTCCAGTTCTGAGGGCGGAACTGCGAAAAGATTGAGCCCATTGCTCTCGCGCTTTGGCGGGCGGTTCGCCCCAGCGAAATATTGTCCGTGTTGTTCATGATGTCCAAAGTCTTTGCATGACTTCTCCAGGGGTACCTTTCAATTTTGAGAATGCTGTAGAAAAAGTGAAGGTGTAGCAAATGTGGTTTTAAGAGATGCGGCGTGGGTGGGTTGTGGGTTTGTCGAACGGGCGCAAATGGGCAAGCCCCGATAAGGCCAAAGATGTTTTGATGGTTTGTTGCGATGTTTTGGCCCAGGTGTTTTGCCCGGGATTGGTGACAAGCTTTTTTTTTTTCTAATGGCAAACGAACTTGCCCAACAAGGTTGTTAGCTCGTCCTTGCCAATGCAGAGCAGCCAGCGATGTCGAATCCAGAACAGGACTTGGGCGACTCGAGCAGAATGAATGTCTCGTTAAAAACTCAAAAACTAGTCGAAATGTTTCAGACCCGTGGATGAGTACCTTAGTGAGAGGGAAAGTGAGACCTAAGTCTGCCGGTCTCTTGAGTTCACGAGCTGATGGATACCTACCTATGTAACTTGCCCAGGGTAAGAGGTAGTAGATAGGCTGCATACAAAATTTCAGACGTATTCACGGCTTGATAGCGCACACTTGGAACAATCGTAGCAATTTGTATGTCTCATTCACTGCAACTGTAGCGTCAAATGAAGACCATACATTTATTCAGACGCACCGATACATTCTACTGCCTACCTGTATATAGAGCTATGTATCTCATCACATTCAGCACTTGATGATTAGCTCACGCAATTCCTGGTGGTAGTTTTGAGGGAGTTGATGATATGTTGTAAGCTCGCTGGTTTTCGCCACAGACAGCCTTTTGAGCCCTGCACGCTGGTAGTCCCATTAATGCCTCGTTTGGCGAGCATTGAATGACTGCTGCAACCATGATCCGGTAGAGTTGATAGAAATAGTTGCAGCCGCAGCTACGGAGGTCCACGGGTATAGATCAGTGCCCAACGGGTACCTGCCGTGATATGAAGCGGCTGTGAAACCATTAAGCATGGAATATAAAAGACAAAGAGCGTGGATATGTGCAAGGCGAGTCAATTCCTATGGAAAAGTGCTTTATTCGGAGGACGACATTGAACTGTGGATATCGCGAGGGACCTGAGAGAATCTGCAAGTCAACTGAATAACGCTCCCAATGGATACCATGCCAGCCAGCAGGGTCTTGAGCTTGGCAACTAACTGGTGGATTGCCAAATGTGGGATGAGTTGTCTAAGGTTTTAGTGCAAGGTTAGTCGCGCCGCTCTGGGCAATTGCCCTGGGCGGAGACACGATTCCCAGCGGCCCTCGCCTATTGGTTGTGGCTACCAACCATCACAGGGGGTTCCTCAGAATGTCCCTAGCAACGGATTCAGCTGTCGTGCAGCAACACAACGCAGCCCATCAGTCTCCAACGCCAGATGTCATTGGGCGCGCTCAGAGACAAAAGACCTCGGAACGCGCTGAATACAAAAGTGTCAAAAGTTGGGACTGGATGAGCCCAAGACTGACGCGATTTTCACCATCAATGTTCCATGTTGACGGCTCATTCATGACAAGCTATCATTGCTTACTCGTATCCAACTTAGGCAATGCTTCAATCTAGAGAGCCAATCGTCATCGACAGCCGTGATCTCGGTATGTCAGTCTGGGTCCAGAGGGAGCTTTCAATTGAAGGGAACTGGGGCACCCCGCGGCATCGGCAAGCACTGACCTGAATCGACCCAACCTCTCGTCGTGCATCATCAGCCCAAGGATCAAACCCAACCTCTGCCATCCATAATGTACCTTGATACTATTGTGCTCGAATTTGAACCAGGCTCACCTGACTTGTGGTCTATACACTCTTATTGTGTCAATTCATTTTTATAGGAGGCCGTACTCACGTTTCTGGTCTCAATGAGATTTATTGTTCATTTGTAATGTGAACAATTGTTACACTTACTCTGGCATGATTGATTTGATGCGATGCCCGCCAGAAGCTTGGTGGGAATAGCACCTGGCCCAGATAGGCTAGACATCGTAGCTCGGGCCAGGGGTCGGGGGCCCGTATCCCCGGGGCAATAAGCAGCTAGACACCCAGCCTCGGCTTCATTGGCCAAACATAAACAAAGCGTCTGGCAATTGGCCTTTGCTTTGCGTGCCACGCTGCTCCCGCCCCATCCCAAAAGTTCAACCTTACATAGCACAAGTCAATTGATTCATCGACTGAGACCGTCCTCGAAACCAGACGCTTGTCCATCAGAGCGCTTGATATCCTCTTTGCATCCCTCATTGCAGGACTTTGTTTCTCAAGTTTGCGACTAGGAAACGCCCCTCTACCGGACCGACCGTCGTGTCGAGCACCTACGACCATGACGACCTTCAAGATCGAGCGGGACACGGTCCGCAAGGGTACCGAAACCGTTACTGATGCTGCTGCTGCTGCTGCTGCCGCCGCCGCCGCCTCTGGTTCAAAGGATGGCCATCTGCCCGGAACGAGTGGAAAGCATCCTCATCTTGAGAAGATCGGAACTGTCATTACGGGAGGAAAGTCCAATGCTGGCACCAAGGGCTACCTGATGGTCCGTAAACTCCCCATCCTGTTCTCGTTGTCTCGGCGTATGCGAGCACGAAGCTATTCCGAGACCATCAACTAATCATGTCATACAACCTACAGGCCTATATCAAGCAGCTCGAAGAGAACCCCTTGCGCACCAAGATGCTTACGTCCGGAACCCTGGCTGGTCTTCAAGAATTCCTGGCCTCGTGGCTGGCCAAGGATCGCAACAAGCACGGAAACTACTTCACATCGCGAGTTCCTAAGATGGCAGCTTACGGAGCTTTGATCAGCGCGCCCCTCGGCCACTTCCTCATCTGGTGCCTGCAGAAGGCTTTCAAGAACAGGACGAGCTTGCGCGCCAAGATCCTGCAGATCCTCGTCAGCAACCTGATCATTGCGCCCATCCAGAACTCGGTCTATCTCGTGGCCATGGCGCTCATCGCTGGTGCCCGCACGTATCACCAGGTCCGCGCTACTGTCCGCGTCGGTTTTATGAAGGTCATGAAGGTCTCCTGGATCACTTCGCCCATTTGCCTTGCCTTTGCTCAGCAGTTCCTCCCCGAGCAGGCCTGGATGCCCTTCTTCAACGTCGTGGCCTTTGTCATTGGCACATACATCAACACGATGACCAAGAAGAAGAGACTTGCTGCTCTCCGCAAGAAGCACTTTGGCGACGGTCGTGGCTCGGGCTCCGTCGGCGGACGTCCGGACGACTACCCGCCAATGGGTCCCAACCCACCCTACTAAACTTGATATGACGTGACGGTAATGAACGACGGTGTTGAAAGGGACAGGGTTCCTGCGCGGAAGTTTTGCTCAGTATATATGTCATGAGCAGCTAGATACCCTTCATGTTGAATACGAGTCATGTCTGGACTTTTCGAAACCGTGGGTAGGTATTTTACTGGGACTACCGGTATACAAAATCGGGATGTGGGGGAGTGGTTACCTAGTTTTAAGTTGACATCATTCCTGAAGCCAAGTACCTGTATATCCTTTCCAAACTATCGAATTTATATTTTATTTTTGCAACCTTTACTCGTTCTTTGATCTATGCCATGTACAGTGGATCGATGCAACCTGTACCAATTCCCCAAAATGGGGTGGGATTGTTTGACTAGCTTGGATCATCTTGCCATTATAGACATGTTAGGTAAACATTCATGAGCTTGCGATCTCCGAGCAGGCATGATGTCTTCTATGGTACATTCTATCCGTCTGCGGTCTACTCCTGTTCAAGCAGGCAATTTCAAAAGGTGAAGCAAATGTCGAACTCAGGCGTAGAGGAGCAAGCTCACCAAAGGTCCGTGGCATGGGGTGGCCCAATACAGGGAGGATAATAGACAAACTCGAATATTAATACGGTGTACATATTCAAATTAGAAGAAAAGAAATAGATGCCTAGGATTCAAGTTTGGACATCTGACCACAAAGGCAAGGGCCATAGATCCGTCAAGCCATTTGAGCAGTAAACCAGAGTCCCTTGCGTTTTGTCGGATCCAAAATATTCCTCAGTTGTTGGAATCCTCAGTCATTGCCATACTTGAGTGCTTTGTCTCCAAGCATTGAGTGAGTGGTGATGGCCCAAAAAGCACTCAAGAGAAGGAATGGTCTTTGCGCGCTTGTTGGGCCATCACAAGCCACACGCATCATTATTTTCCCCCTTCCCTTTCCCGTACATACTTTTGCTGTTATATATATATGTCTTGAGAGCAATGTGAAAGTCTTAGCATCTATGATTGAGATAGAGTCTCAATTGTTCAACTGCTAAAATGAAGGTCATCGTCTTATGTGTGCCCACTACCAGACAATGTGTTGCGATAATACAAAAGGAATTCTGATTCGTGGTAAGCACGAGGTTTTTCGTTAGAAAATTCTTGCGGCTCGATTCAAATGATGTAGCGATTGCAATATTAAATTTTATGAGCAGGCGAAATGATTGTGTTATACAGTTCGATAAGAGCGAAGCTAATCGCATCTACGAACCGGAAAGCTGGAGAAGATTTAGATATTGGAATAAAGCTAGACGACACACGACGAGCTCTCCCATCCTGTAAGCCGGACTCGATTCAAATTGAACCAAATATCATGCTTTATTGTGCGAGTGTTGGAGTTCCTGTTGCGATTCGAGAGCACGTCCCCCGCCAACCTCGAGGCGTGGCCGGCAAAAGAGCTGACCATAGTAGGTAGCGTTCTGCATCCGCCATCTCTTGGCGTTTGCGGATACTGCAACAATATACGCGGCCTATCAGAGTGACCACATAATGAACTGATGGAGGTAACATGATATATTCGTGGAAGAACAAAAGAAAAGATGGTCCAATTTAGGTTGGAATACGAGAGGAGGCGCGTGTTGTGGAGCCACCGTGGTTTACCCGCTCCTTCTTCTCAAGCCTGACCAACATTGGCTTGGATTGCGGCAGGCGGATTGGAGTCGGCGACCTCCACCGACACCAGCCGACTCCGTCAACACACACAAAGTTTATAACCATTGACGCAGCCGCTCGAGCTGGGTTACAAAACTCGCTTTTAAATGATGATAACCCAATCTCGGCTTGGTATGATCTGCAGGGCACCGTCAAAATGCGGGCAAGGCGTCGCAAAGACGTTTTCGAGCTCGGCAAAACCAGTCAGGACTGAGCCAGGGCATCCGGCCTGGCTGCAGCAGATACTAAGGGATACGGCACCGCCCCCGAAGCTTTATGCCTGGACCTCCGCCAATCTCAAGGACGCAGCCGATGAGCAGCAGAACAGTGATCTAGCTATTTCACCCAAGAAACGAATTCATGTGCTCGGACTGGGCAACCTAGGCCGTCTTTTTGCTAGCAACTTACGCAAACTGAGCAGCCCGCCGCCGGTCACGTTGATCCTTCATCGTAAAGCTCTTTTGGAACAGTGGGTTTCATCTCCAGGTATCGAAATCACTCGTGCTGGACAAGTCGAGAAATTCACAGATTTCAATGTCGAATGGTGGACAGAAGAACGGCCGTCAACAGGGCCAGTCGTCGAGGCCACCGCCGGTACTGGTATATCAAACCTCATTGTTGCCACAAAAGCCTCGGACGCTCTGCCTCAAGTCGACAGGTTGCGCAAATACTTGGACGACACCTCGACCATTGCCTTCACGCAGAATGGCATGTGTAAACTTTGGCCGCCACTTGGGAGCACCTACAACAGCCATCGCTTTTCAGACCAGAAGCAACCCAACTGGCTTGCCTGTGTGACGACTCACGGAGTGGTGTCTTCAGCACCATTCAAAAGTATACATGCTTCCGTGGCTTCAGCAGCAATAGGTCCGGTATCTCTGAACACTCGTTCTGCTGACGAGTCGGGCTACCTGATTGAAGCATTCGTCAATGGTCCCGACCTATATGCCAGGGAAGCTGCTAGATCCGAGCTATGGATATTGCAGCTTGAAAAGCTTGTTGTTAACGCAGTCATCAACCCCTTGACCGCTGTCCTTAGGTGCAAGAACGGCGAGCTGTTCGTGCCTAGAGATGATGCTTTGCCTCTGATCATCGACAAACTCATCGAAGAAGCCAGTCAAGTTCTCAGAGAGCTGATTATACACCCATCCAGTACTGATATTCTTAAAGACGTTGCTGCGCATTCCAAACGAAGCAAGGATCGCTCGACGGATGTATCTCTTCAGGATGCAAAAGAGCAGCTTCTTGCTCGCTTTGCTTTCGAGAAGCTTCATCACATGGTCCATGAGGTCGGCTACAAAGTCCGGGAGAATACCAGTTCAATGCTGCAAGATGTTCGTGCAGGAAAACGTACAGAAGTGCAAGACTTCAACGGCTGGCTCGTGGACACCGCGCAGTTTCTGAGTCCTGATAGCCAATTGCCGACTCATATGAGACTGATCTCTCTGGTTGAGGATGGACTTACAGTTTCGAGAAGCGAGTTAAGCGAAAACTTCAACCTCTCTCGAAAGGCATAATACTACCTGTCCACCGAACATGGAAATCTGCCCTGCTCCAATCGGTCCTCTGTTGCACGCATTGTCAATCAAGTTGCGCCTGGGACGGAATGAAACTCCGCGGCGTTCCTACCACTGGGTGCTTGCCCTACCTTCCGCTGAGTATTGGCTTTACATGGCCTCGGCACTCAGCCAATTATGAATCCGGGACCGTGTTGCAAAACCAACCCCGTACAAGGGTGACAATCCTGCCTAGGCATGATGCGACGTTAGCATCCGCGGACTCCAAACCACCCATAGGCCACAATATCAGGACCAGCAACGCGTGCGCGGCCAGGCCGGGGCTTTTCTCTCCAAGGATTGATTTGGCCCTGGGACAAAAGAAAACACCAGTATTCTATTTGCGACAGCCCGTAGTTGCCTTCATCCTGCCCCATCTTGCATGTAAACAGTGTTTGGAGTCGGCTTGGCTTGGCCACAGAGTTGGAGGCAATACGGGAGTACGTCAAAGAGCGTGTATGAATAAGACGTTTCTTGTACAAGTTTTAGCTAGTGCAACGAAGCACTCTTGGACGGGGTTCCCTTCGATGGTGGTGCCCTATGAGGCGGTCGAGGTCCCTGTCATGCCCACAAATACCACTCGGCTTATACGCGGCTCTGCCTGTGGATGTCTGGGCACATCTCTAGCAATGGGATTGCCAGCTCAGGGCAGTCGCATTCCTGCATCTTGTGACCATTTGGCAGTTATCCCCAACTTCCCCATTATCATCACATGGGTTTTCTCTACAGGCTTGGATTTATTGTTCTTCCTTGCCACGCCAAATGCCATGGGGGTACAATTAAAAAAGGGGTCTCAACAGCCATGTCGCGGCGATCCCACGGTTGCAATACTGACGGATCCCACAGACTCTTAAGCTTGAGTAGAAAATCTCCGATTGGTCGACAAACTCCGATGACCACAGCGGGAGAGATCGCTTGGACTAGCATGCGATCATCGATATGATATACGGAAGGAGTAATGAGCTCGTCTTGCTTCAGAGCAAGCGCTATACAGCAACTACTAGTTGGTCGTTTGTGCATAGCGTCGAATGAAATGCATTGTGGCATGCAACACGCGAGTCACGATCCCACCATTCGCTACCTCTGCCAGTTGCACTGAGAGCCATCCTTCCATGACAGGCTTTATCTGACAAGTGTGGTGTAGGAAGTTGAGGTTGGCTTTCGACCCTCTGGCCGATCGCGAGCGTAACACAGCGGGATGTGACATCCCAAAGCGGCATTCATATTATTGCTTTAGTCGCAGAAGCTATATCAACAGATCTCAGTGGTCGTACAACTCAAAGCGACATATCTCGCGTATCTTTCAACAACGCAATGTCCTGGAAAATGCCATGGAAACCCCCGGCCTGTATGTGGATTTAAGTCACATGCAGCAAGTTGCAAATCCCCTAAGGCAAGAAAACTGCCCTAGCCTGGGGATCTGCTTACAGGGGAGTAGTTCCTGCCCCTCACCACACCAATGCTGACATGGAGTCACAAACGGAGAGGCGATGGCTTCTCTGCCTCTGCTTGAATCACCAGCCTTCAGGTACATGGTTCATTACCTGGCAGCCCATGCTGATGGCATTCACCGATTGTGATGATACTGCCCAAGAGCCGCCCGGCTCCGGATATGGAAAGTTTCGCGGGCCTGGGGCTTGCGTCTGAGAGCCCAGCGCAACCCTCCACCGCGAATAGGATGATGTACCTTAGGCGAGATGTGGATCACTCGGCCGGAACAGTGTAACATGGCTGCTGGTATTCACACGCGAAGCTGGCTCCGACGTTGCATTCGTGGCTCTGAGAGCATTTTACAGGGCGTGAATACCGGCAACATCAAGCGACCTAGTCGATAACACATCTTACGATGCGCCTACAGCGCACGCGAAATTCTCGGCCGGCTTTCCATCGCTGCGAAAAACATTTTCATGAAATGGTTTCCCCATTCCGCTAGTCACGGCAGTTTCCAGTACGTTTGTCGGCCATGGTTTCTTCTTTGACCTTTTTGGGGGCACTCTTTTCACATGCAATGTTTGAAGACTGTGTCCTTCCGGTTGTTTGTGGCCAGACGCTCAAAATACCCCAGATGTTGGGATTTGGAACCTCTGCGTGGTTGGCACGTGAATTCCCGCGTTTGGATGCGGCAGTCATGTCACAACCACGGAGCCGACAAAGGATGGTGGGGGTTCGCCCCCGGTCAATAACGTTGACGACAGGGCTTTACCCACAAACCGGTTATGACTCTTCTCCATCCCAGTTGTCAATCACAGTGGCCCAACGCAGCTGAGGGCAGAGCCGACGATGGCAGCGAATAGCACTAGCAAAGACAGCAAACCCTCGTGTCGTCTCGACTTTTGCTTGGGTCTGATTCCTCACCGCCAACACGACTCACACTTATGGAGGATTGGGTGAGTCCATGGCTTACTTACCAGCCAAACGAGGGTGGAGCCCTGCCATTTCCCGCTCGGCAGCACCCCTCGAGCCGGGAAATAGACCAGTGAAACAGCTTACCAGTCCATACTCAATGTCCAGACCCTGTCGCGGCATCTCGCCTGAGATAGACTCGGTAGTTTGATCCCCAGTCAAGGTGCTTAGCGGAAGATTTGGGTCGCAGCAAGCAAAGTTCTACTATCGCTACCACGAGTCCTATTGTCCCCGGACTCGCAATGATCCAGGATCAAGTTGCTGATTGTGATTGAACGGTTCTTCACTGGCTGGAATACCCCACGCAAGTATGGTTCATCCCCTCTCTGGGGGAGCACATGCCGAGGACGATGCGATTCCCTGATTCGCAACTGCCTGCTGCCGCTACGTGCTAAACGGGTATTTGCGTTGCAGCTATCTGGTGCAGCAATGAGATTTCTGTCTCGCGTACCTTTTGGTAAGCGAAGGGTGTGTGGGTAAATTTTGGCGGCTGCACGTTTCTGTGGCGAAATGACGAACCAAGTTTCTGGCATACATACGCACCATGCTCTTTTTCGTTCCTCTTTTGGGAATTCTATTATACCTTTGCTCCCTATAACACTGACAATTACTCTGGCTGTCTGTCCGCACAACAGAAAGTTCCCTTTCCGTCTCTGCTTGCTTGCTCCGGTCCTCAACGAAAAGCCCGCCCGCCCGTCCGCGCGCTTTGATGGTCCCACGCACATATTATTTGCTGCTTTGTCATTCCTCATTCTTTACAGCACGGATTTCCGCCCCTGTTTTCGGGATAAACGAGAATGGCGAGGGAAAAAAAAAACATTTACAATATCATGTGTAAATCAAGCGAACACGATTACGGTGTCGATCAACCGAGTCAAGGTGGCGCAATCGCAGGAACCTCTTTCAACGCAATTGTTGAGCCGAGGCTGCCGGAATTAGCTATCATTCAGAGGATGCACCGGACCAGCCTTGCGGAAAGGGTCAGGCTTTTTTTTTTCCCCCGAGCCGCCAAGCTTGTATACCATCATATTTTGGAATCAATGTCAATAGCCACGATTGGGGTAGAATGGATGTAATGAATTTTTCGCAGAAAAGAAAAAGAGAATACAATCTGTCTTTTTCCCTGTCGCCAAATGATGTGATTTGCCTCCCTCTCCGCAACTTCTAGATTCGTATAACCGCATGATCCGCGTACCCGTGTTTCTCTGTGTTCCTATCTCCCATTAGGCTCAATGTCTCTCCCCTCCGAAATGCCCGTCATGTCGTTGCTTTTCCTCCCTTGATGCTGCATAGTATTGTTGATAAAAGAAAGGGGAATAGGTCTTGCAGGATAATAGGGTATTATAACTACAAAAAGAAACAATAAAGTATATAGTGCTGTTGTGTAATATATCATAATGGAAGAACATATATACTACAATCAGTACATGCATTTTGAATAGAGTTTTGAAAATTCAAGAAAAAAGGAACGTAAAAAGAAATGGGGGGTTAAACAAAAACAGGAGAGTGGATAGATAATGTAACAGATATGCCCGCCAGCCTTCGCCCAAGTCTATAGGTCGTCAGAAACATTGACCGATGTTGGTCATTGGTATCTCTAAATAATTAGATCGTTAAGAAGCCTCAAATTGAGAGTATCTCGAGGCCGTGAAGAAAACAAGAAGAAATTGTAAACATACACAAACGACACCTATAATAAGGAGTGGTTTGAATCCTTCCTTCCAATGTATCTTTTTTCACATTTTCGACGCCCGACGCCTTGCTAAATGTCTTTTTTTTGAAATTCGCAACAAAACTATCTTCGGGCCAAGAAAGTAGATGATGGAGTGACTGATCGCGGAGGACTCTGCATCCTTGCTCGACTTTGTTTCTTGTCGACCAGTCCGTTCTTGTGAGGTGCAATCAGGCTGATGCATGGTGGTACGTTGGCTGTGCTACATCAGGATTGTCGTCGTGTCTATATTGCGCATGTATTCCCGGCAATTGTGAGCTTCCTAGTCCTTGAAGCTGCTGAGGGTAGATGGTGTCCCCTGACCCAGGAGCCGAAACTCCTGGCGGAGACGCTGATTGCTATAAGTTCTCTTCTTCATCGGTCCCCTCTGCTAGCTGCTCGGCCCGCTCGCGGCAGGCTACCGGGGTGAAACCAGTACCCATCTTGTTGGCTACGATGCGCCACTTCTCGTTTTCGTAGTCGGCCAGTGCAGCTCGCAGTTTTTGGTCCTACAAAATGCCATATTAGCAAAAGTGCTTCTCCCATTACCGTTTTTGTGCCGTGTTTACTAGGAAACTTACCGTTTCATCAGTCCACTGTGTTGTCTTTGCCTTGAGCTTTGTGCAGTACCGCACTTGCAAGGTCCCTGATGAACGTCCAGGAAAGAAGTCTGCGATTTGCTTCCACGTCAAGTTCTTATTCTCTTTGAGATCAATCAAAAGCTGATCGTCCTCGGGAGTAAATTTGAGCTTTGGCCCTCGTGGCCTCGCCGCCGGTGCTGGCATGCCGGCCTGGCCCACTACGCTTGGTGCACCTCCGCCACTTGCGGACAGACTCCCTTCAGCGTCGCGACGCATCATCTTTGTCGGTGGCCCATGATCAGGAAGGCGATGATGGTGGTGGTGAGTTGGTGGCGCGCTGGTAGCTTGAGCATAAGCAGCACCCAACGGTGTCTGTTGCATGGAGTCAAGGTCTCCCTGGTCCAACTCGGGCATTCCCGAGACGGAAAGATCCAGATCATCTGGCCGACTTCGCTTTGTCCCTGCGCTGTGTGGTTGGCTTGGCGTCATTGACGGATACAATGGAACGCCATGAGAAGTGGTCTGGGCACCATAATGCGACGCTCCGTGATGGCCCATATGTCTCGCGCCTGGAAGACCACCTAGATGGGACGGGTCCATCAGAATCTGGTGGTGATGAGGCGTGTGATGTTGCGACATGGCGGGGTGCGGATGCGACGGAGCCGATTCATGTAAGTTGCCGGAGCCAGGATGCTGGAGTTGATTCCCGCGGTGGTGGTGATGTGTGTCGTAGGCGTGTTGAGGCTGATTCTGCTCGCCCGGATGCGAGTCCTGGGGAGAGTAGTCAACATTGTAGTCCGGTCCTACTCGATAATTGCCCGCCAGCGTGTCTCCAATGCATGGGTTCCGCCAGAGCGAACCGCTCTGGACGGTCGCCGGACTCTGGATGGAAAGTATTTGCCGAACCGGGCCCCCGCGGGCCTGCTGCTGTGGCGATGGTTGCGGAGTGGGAGGACCGGCGTCTCGTGAGGCGAAAATTGTGCCCGTCTTGCCTGGTTGCCGTCGGGATATGTGTGCGCAGGGCTCCTACTTGCCTGAGAGCCCTGAACATGTGTTGATCCTGTCGCCGGCACAGCTTTCCTGTGTCTTGCTATATGGGAGTTGTTGAAGAAAGTAGTAGTGGTGGTGGTAGCAGCAAGATAGCCGTGTAAGCTAGGCCTAGGTCTAGCTCCGCAGGCGTAGAGAAAACGGGCGGTAGTGATTTGAAGTAGATTTTAAGCTGATGTTGGTGTCCGGTGTCTAGTTTAAGAATACAATGCAACCTCGACTTTTTTGTTTTATTTTCCAGTCATATGGGAATCCCTCCTAATAGTCTGGTTCCCCTTAGCCGGTCTAATATATCATGGCAGAAGTCAGGTGGGTGGAGGAGAGGCACAGAGGACATGGGCTGCATTATATCGTCTGATCTACCTTATCGTTACGTTCCCCAGCAGGGGAAAGGCTGGTAACCGACAGACGGGTACCTTGACTACTTCTCTTTTAGTCGACAAGTTAAAGCGCGAGTACCATGTGTGACAAGAACCAGTGTACATAGTGTATCGTTCCTGGACGGGTGTGGAGAAGCGGTTACCTTGCTCAGCAATGACGGTGGCATAATTTGAGGATCTTATGCCATGGTCTGCTTGCCGGTTATAGAATGAGACCCTGGCCCCGGGGGAATGATGCAACTGGGGCGAGGACAGCCACAACGGACCAGGCCTGTCAGACAGGGTGTTCAGAAAACGGATTTCAGAAGCCTTTCCGGACCCTGGCAAGTCTTGGCCGAAAGAGGGACTTGGCAAGCGGGAGATCTCATCTGGGAGGAAATGGGATACTTAGAACTGGGTAGCTGGGAGCAGAGTTGCAAAGTGAAACAAGCACCAATGTGCAATTGGGCAAGAGGATGAGCAAGACGACGACATCGTGGGTGTGGCTTTTCTCTCGGGGGTGGGTGAGAGGCCATCACTCTATCCAAGAAGGCTAATGCACTTGCGACTTTCTTCTCTCTGGGAGCTGTGATGCCGACAAAATCTTCATGTGCGATTGGTTCCTGGTTCTGCTTGCAACACTCGATCAAGGCCTTGTAGAAACAGTTGGGCAGGGATTTTTGTGTCCTCGCGTCTCCACTCCTGAGGGGCCTATAGTCGACCAGGGGCAACCTATATTAAGGAGTTAAAACCCGCGATCGCGACACCCCATAGGGCGGGCTCCTGACTGGGGTTGAGTACAGTAGAAAGCCACACAGCGAGCGAGGGCGATGCCACAATGCTGATGGAGCAGGGGATGAGGGGGGTTCTTTTCCTGCTGGATGGGTCTGTTTAAAGCACTACTATAGGCGCATACTCAACACCGACAAGCGTGGACGCGTCTCCTGATCACCGCACACAGTTCGCAACATCCACTTCTAGACGACATGCCTAGAGCGGAAGTGAAACGGTGGGTTTGCCATTGGGCATGTGTGTACTTGCGTGTAAATACATGCAGTAAGTAAAGTACGTAGGACAGAGCCCCCGGGCATAGGAGATCAATGTGAATTAAAAAAAAATTCGTGAGAGAGAGATACATACGCGCCGCGACCTAGTTGAATGACTGTAACAAATGCCAGAGAGGACCGAACACGATGAACCACGATATGTAGCATCTGGCAAGGTAAAGTTGCAGAGCTTGATTGATTCGGCTCTTGGCGATATCGAAACTGGGGTGATACTCTCCAGGCTGGCAAAGCCAATTCCGGGCGGCTACTGAAAAGACGTTACGGCCGATCTCATGCGCAGCAAGCGTTGGGTTGGATCTGTCTACTAGGCAGTCAGTGCTGGTCGTATGTGGGCACCTGCGAGTCAGCTTGGGTCTTGTCGAAATGCTATAGTACTGGCTATAGTTCCGTGGAATGCCCTAATGTGGTAGAGCTACACAGAAACCATAGAAGACGACAGCCAGGGGTTGCGATACTGAAGTGAGAGTTTGTTATTAGTGCTGTATTACCGGCCACTAAAACTTCGCCCCAAAAAGGACATTGGCGACATCTGCGCGGCTCAATGCGAGCACTCCAAGGCAAGATGGACCAATGAGAAGCCATCGTGGGGCTCGGAAGATGCTGTAAAGGGCTGAAGGCAGACACATTGAGCATCTGTCCAAACCAGCAATCTAGCCAGATTGAGAGAATTCAGAGGACAGAACGAGTGCGGCGATGCGGCAAACCCGCGATTGCTCGCAACATGGTGGGCGGAGGGCATTGAAAGGGGGTCTCGTTGTCAGGGATACGCATTAACAAAACGTGTTTCAACGCACCCAGGCAATTAAAGGACGAATTATGCTGCGTACGCCGAGCCCTCTCAGCTTCTAGAAAAGATCTGATTGTTTCTAGCGCAGACGGGGGTCTGTCGCTGCAAATTGCGGCTGAGCCACGAACTCGCGTGAGGTCATATCCGCCGAATAATGGAACAAAGAAAGAAAGAAAGAAAGAAAAAAGGGAGAAGCGATACGAATCAACAAACGTGGTTGTCATGGGTGTGTCGTGGGAGGAGCACGTTTGAGATTTCGCCATCATGTCATTTCTATTGGAAGGTGGGGTGACGAATAAGGTAGCTGCTGCTACCCTCGATTTGTGGTATGTACATTAGGGTCCAAGGTCGCTAGTAGATACGCTAAATCTAGGTAACTCCAGGTAAGCACGTCCACTACACCGGTGCTGGCTTTACACTACTACAGGCAGGCACAGGCACTGTCTTTTGGGGGTGTTTACTGGGACTGGGGGGGAATAAATCAATTGACAGCAAGTGGGACCCTCTTCTTTCTTTTGCAGGTCGTGTGTCTGGTCACACTCTGCCAGTAACGAGCCTCAAGCTCATCCACCTTTCTTGTATCGATGGACCTACGAACTAAGTATGCACCTGCTTGCTGCAAGATACCTACCTACCAGCTACTCATCCACGTTTTCTCGCAGGTTTCTCACGCATAACCTCAATGTCGTTTGTGTGCAACCCTACCCACACTTGCGCTGCATCGTGTCCCGCGCCTCAAAGTCCTGTCGAATCATGGGCCGGGCATGAGAAGGGGCCCAGGTCCATCATCACATCACTGATCAGATCTGGTAGACGATAGTCCATTGCTCCAGCCTTGTGTGGGTTTTCCTGAGACCAGACAGACCCTCAATACTACTCACCACCAACCCAGCATTGATCCTTTTTGCTTTCTTTCTGGAAGCAAGAGCCTTTTCCAAAAATAGCTTGCTTCCTCTGGCTTGCTGTAACCACTACCTAATGTACTCACTCGCCTGGGTACCCTGAGAGAGTCTATGCAAGCGGTTAGGCGCCTTGGCCACCCATTGACCACAGTCACGCTCCCTTCGTCTCAATTGTGCAAGGTCTCAGTATTCAGGCAAAATCATGACAACAAACCCAAAGTGCTTCAAAAAGTTTGGATCATGTTCACCTGTCAAATCAAGTTATTGTGCAAAGTTCCGACGACGCGGCAGTGGTGGGAACTCCTACTCCTGTTGGGTAGGTAGGTAATTAGAACAAAACGAAACGTATAGTACCTTGGGCAAGTTGTGTGTTGCATACCTACAGAATACCTTGCTACTGCTACTACTTACAGGGTGACAGATGGATGGCGTCTTACACACCTTGGGCGACGACAAACACATCCGCCGCCATGTGAACAGAGACTGAGATGTTCAGATAGACGTCTTCCCGTTCCTCTTCTTCTTCCTTCCTTCTAGAAGGGAGAACCTGGTCGCTTGCCCGCTCCTCAAGCCCCTATTCCATGCACGCCCACACACCCCCATGACTATATCCTCGTCATTTCGTATCCGACCATTTGGATCGTCCGCTGCAGTCGGCACGCCACGCACCACACCCTTCCACCGATTTGCCCAGCTAGGCTTGCCTGGGGGAAGGGGGATGGAGGGCCTGCAGAATAAGGCAGGGAAGGACATGGCCATCGTCATTGGCCTCCGCCTCTCTTCATTCTAATGAACATTCTCCATGTGCCCGGCCAACGTTTGCCAGCCCGCTGGTACGATCGAGAAAGAGCCCATTGCCAAGGGATATTAAGCTACTGCTGCTAAGTGTGCCATGGCCCATGGACATGTTCGAAATCTGATGGCAGGGTCCGCCCTGCCTGAACAGCGACGAGGGATTCCCACTGATGATGCCTGCTTAGTGAGCGGATAGCACCGTGGCATTCCAACGTTAAAAACTTTTAAACTCTGAACTTCTTTTTCGTCCCAAGCAGTAACACAGACCGGCAGGTAATGCGGAAGGGCCATCAATCGATCTATGTATCAACGTCTGTCGCCGTCAACAGCCATCAATCCGGCATCACGGAGCATCTCCATCCATTTTTGTTCACTAGAGGTGCTGATGGAGTAGCACAGACAAGGAAATGCCTACCGGTAGACTCTACAGCACTATTTTTGACTTCATTTAGCGTCACGAGGGGTCCGCTTCGGTGTGTTGCGACCTGGACTGACTGAACTGGCCATTTTCTCATCTGCATGATTTCATCGGTTGCACGACAAGATGGCTAATTCGGTCGGGGTCCCGGCGTGTCCCTGATCTACAGTACCGAGTCTCGAAAAAGAAAAGTTTCCACTGGCTGACCAATATCTTCCAAATCTCCGCGCCTATTCGAGAAATTGTAGTACACCACGGACTGGGCATTGACATTGGGAGATACCGACTTGCTCATCCAACATTGAACACGATCTTAGTCAATGCCGGCGCGGAAATTGTTACCTTGTTTTTGACTTTGAGTCGCACACGGTTCGTACAGCTCATATGCACCATTCATTCGCTCATTGAGATATTCCTCGTCTCCCAGACCTTCGGAGTCTCCCCCCATTGCCAATTACGGAGAGACTTGCCGAACTGGAAGCGGAGCCAAGGGATTGGAGTCGGTTGATGCTCGGCTGCTCTGAGCTTCTGCACCCCTACGCCTAATAACAATGAAGCCGATTGCGGCTCATGATTGCGCATGAGCTACCTACCTGCCTTTGCCAATCCCCTCGATTGTAGGGAGTGGTGATCACGCAGTGGGACGATTCCCCATGCGAGCGTTGTAAAGCCTTTGCACATCAGGCACTGGTGCGTCCCAGATGGCCTCTGCCAGCAGCGGTTATGCCATCATGCTGGACCTTTTTCGCTGCTGGGTACTATCGTGGGTTGGGAATGACGACGTGTCTTGCCTGACGAGCCACCTCCGGGTAATCAATGTCCTGTTGCGCTAGAAGAGCTGGGCCCTGCACCGCGCCGCCCATCTCAGCCGCAGAAATATGGAGAAATGTAGGTTAAACTAGATATGGTGCCTGCCCTCCCGCCGCGACCTTGCTCTTAACGCGCATCTTACAGGAGCTGTTTCGTACACCCCTGATGTGTTCCCGCACATGGAGGTGGCTGCGACCGCATTCCAAATCTCACAAAGCAATGCACATGGAGACGATAACTCGTGCTGGACTGGGAAGCGAGATACACAGCCCATGTGAAAATCTCCGTCGTGTCCAAGATGCAAGTGAATACGGATTGCGATGCAGATAGAGAGGGCGGGACAAGACAGATGCCAATCGCCAAACCCCCATGACAGCCGTCGGTGGACGCCGCATCCAAAGCCGGTATAGCATGTACCTACATCGCCTACAACACCCACGAGGGCAGTGTATGTACATCAACTACATGACCTATACATACATACGGACCCCAGCAGCCCGCGAATGCCAGTTCAGTTAGATGCAATTAATCTTTGTACCAGCGCCGCATCTTCCCCGGATTGGCTGCTAATTCAGCACCACACGTGCCGGATCCGTGGTTGACCTGGGTTGCGCATTAATGGGCTAAGATAAGCCAATTTACTCTCAGGTCGTTCTACGTCAGCCGCCATCTCGGCATCGCCTTTACTTTCACCAGTACTCTGGCCTATGTAGGACATGACGCCGTGTTGGTCAGCGCTGCACGCATTAGTGATGGGATTTAACTTCCCAAAAGAGCGACTCAATATACGGGGAGTAGGGTCGCTCTGGCTATAGCAGGTGTATACGCAACCAGCTGCAAGGTACCGCACCGGATCATCCCCGGTCTGGTCTTGGTCGGGCGCATGTACCTTGCGCCAGTGGGAAAAGATTTTGCACAATTCCGGAAGGTTGCCGTCTTTGTCAACTGCCCGCTGCTCCTCGTCAAAATGGAAGGATTCGATACCTCGTTTCGATGCCATGCCATGATGATGGGAGACAGAAAAAAAAGATCAATTAATCAAAACATGAACTATGCAACCAAGACGTTTCTTACTCATGGTCTACTCCCAGAGGATCACACGAGGCACAGGCCGGACCCAGAACGGCGGGTGCGCTGATTAACGAAATTCCAGGAACGGAAAATATTTGTTTCTTCTTTTCCTCGACAGCGTTACATCCCACCCAAAACCTGGGATACTCAGCTGCAATAATAGGCCGCGATAAACTGTAACACTCGGCATCACGTCTTCGGCTTAATCTTGGATGAAAGATCAAAACGTCCGGTCGGCCAATGGTATAACACGCAACGCTGCCCTTCCTCCTACCCACCCACCCGGTGATGAAATAAAAAGTCCTGTGTGAAATCATGAGCCTGCATCACGGGCCTCGCCAGCGACTAGAGAGCTACCAAAAACGGTCTTGATCTGTCACACATGGTGCTTGTAAAACATTCAATACAGATTCCTTTAATTCTGTTTCTTTTTCTCACTCATTTCGGACTTTGTTCCAGATTTGTCATGGACTCTCGAGTTGGTTGAAAGCCCTAGGTGACAAGTCGTTATTAGCCGAGAAATATACGTGCAAGTTCATGTTGGCACGGGCCATGAAGTTTACGAAAAACCATTATTACATCATGTATAGTCTTTGTTCTTGATAATTGTCAAGATTCCCTCATTTCCTTTTCTTTGGTAACAAACCCATAACTGCCAGTGGGCCTTCTCCGTTGCAAATGGTTTCTTTTATTTTTGGCAGCTTTCTCCTTTCTCGCAAACAAAATCCCACGATCCCTTGACTTAACATGATTGCCCAGGTATATAAGATCAGCGCCCCTCGAGACTAAATATGACCCGCGCGGCGATGCGAGCCCGGAGTTGAGTGGGGTCTTTTTTTTTTATTCCTGCCCAAACACATACACACGCAACCAGATACGCAATACGAAGGCCGATCCACCGCCGGACTATTTTTTCTGGGTAGGAAATTCTTGTTCAACTATAGCAAGGGTTACATTTACTATGATAACGGGAACCTGCAAAGTGAAGTCGCAATACTACCTCGTTTCTTGTTTCGTTTCTTGACCATTGAAGTTTGTTTGCCACAGTGTAAAAATTTTTGAACAATGGCGCTTTTTTTCTCTCTCTGTTTCCTGGTAACGGACTGGGTCGCGTTGACAATTCAATGCATCATCCTCCACTCCCAAAAAAACATGTTTCTTCAAGACAAAGCAGCCCAAGTCAAGCGCGTTTCAAGAACTAAACTGCTGTAATTAAATATTCTTCACTGATCATGCGATGATGCGTGCATCCGATATTCCAATGTAGAGGTTGATGCATTATTTCGTAGTAATAGCGAATGCCTCGCGCGCTCCCTTACCAGGCTGGACGGGCATGGGCAGAGGCCAAGTGTGGTGTCTTTTTTCGTTGCTGATTGAAAGACTTGCACTGAAGAAATGGAACGCGTCAGACAGACAAGCATAATGACACCTAGAAGACAAATTCTCCGATCCCATTTGGACATATCCGGTTGCCTGGTGCAAGCGACCCGGCTGGGCGGGTGCATCGTGTCAATGCCAATACCGTGAATTGTCCGACTATAGATTGCACCCGTCGCTATCCTCGTACTGGATATACATAACAGACTTTCGGCCTAGCTCAAAATGAACCGCATGTCCTTGCTTTCGGAATATGTTTCTCGTTACCCTTTTGCCATGCAAAAGCAGTTGTCGACGGAAATAGTGCTCGACTTGTTCTTAAGCTGCTTCTTGATATGCCGTTGGAGACGGAACACCACAATTTGCATTTGCATACTTGGTAGCAGATGTGTTTTTCGAGCTGCCTGCGGTATTGGACTTGGCCTGAATTTTGTTGAAGATCGATAGATCAGTCATTGATGCCTACCGCCTGGACAACGCATTTTGCGGGCGTGATAGAGAAACCAAGGCATCCAGTCGCGTCCATCGCCATGTTTGTGCCTCAGAATCGTCATGGCAACAGTTTTGTGGGAATAAGTAGGAAGGAAAGGCAAGAGAAGAATTGAACTCAACTTGATCACAGTCGCCACCACTAATCAAGTGCAGGCGTCTCCTATTGACAGCTCAGCCCAACTTTACACAAGATGGTGTACCATAACCCTCTTCAACGAACCATGAACGCCGTCTTGATCGACTTCTGCCACATCTGCCAACCCGAGCTCATGCTCGAATATGAGCTCGATACCGTGCCCGACAATGGTAGATCGAAGACCTGCCGAAGGTGCAGCAAGACCTTTGTCGAGAGTGTGAGCTTCACAAATCAGGATCAACTCGAGAAGCAGCTTGCACGTCTAGCCGCTGGTCATTTTGCCACAAGCCACGGGCTCGCCATTGCCTCGCTGGGCCCGGCGCGGCTCGAGAAGATTGAGATTAGATGGAAGGACGGCGATCACTCCTTTGGCTATGGGGCCACGTCCCTCCTGGGCATGGAACCTGATCGCTTTCAACGCCAGCTCGACATGATCCCCTTGCGCGGCTTCATTGACGTGATTTATATCGAGTTCAAATCGCCGTCGCACGTCCATCCTGGGCCGAAACCACTGCCTGCATTCCCATCGCCCACCACTTCCCAGGTGTCGTACAGTCCGAGGGTCACATACCCCAATCAAAGCAGGGGACCGACCGGTAAATCCAAGCTCGATCAGCCGTGGGATGGGAGGACTCTTCATCCAAATCTTCATAACCCATATGTCTCTCCAAAGATTCGTGATGTCTTCATGTCAGACTTCGACCCCTCGCCCACTCCTGTCGACGCCAAACCCTTCTGTGATCATACACGTATCAAGGCAATTCCTAGCAACGGATTCCGTACTTCAGGATCCTATGAGATTAATACAGGTACGGCTCGGAGAACTCCGCTCCAGCCAGGCACGAAAAAGAATCATAAAGCAGCATCTACTGATCCATACCGCAAAGCTTCAAGCAACCTGAGCAAGCATCTCGCCCAACCTCTGAGCAACCCATTCTGCGACGGTCTCTCAGATCCCAAGCCACAGACCGCGAGCATTCTCCCCCTAATCCACCACCCTCACATGGCACCCCGACACACCTCTCAGCAGCAGGCTTCGAACCACCATGTCCCGTCCTTTGGTGATGGCCGGGCGAGCCATCCTTCTCAGGGCGCAGCCATCAAACTTGTCCCGCACCCGAATGCATTCACGGGTCTTTCAGGCGACAATCCCGGGATCGGCACCCGTCCCATGCGACCCATCAAGAGGCTCCCGCGAACCAGAAAGCCGTACTCGGGGCCTCATAACTCTTTTGGGGCCGACCGAGCTGGACACGGTCATCATGCGGATATTGGAGCGTTCACCAAGGACCAGCAAATTGAGCACTTTCTGGGCGCTTGGGATGGCTATGCTGGGTCGGATGAACTCATGCACGATGCCTCGTGATTGTCATGTTGGAGTCTAAGACGATGCAAATGAGCTTTGCGGCTCTGACTGATGCTAATCAAGTTGATGGAGAATGGGCATTTGGTAACTGCGACGATAGGTATACTTGTTCGAGGACCAAGTGCTCCACCGGTATGAGCACCTTGTTCAACGGTCATTGTCAGGAAAAACAACATTTCCGGTCAGAATGGACGGCATAAATAAAGCAATTGCATGAACAACAGTTTCAGTTTCAGTAATCTAGGGATTCAGCCTCAAGGATGCTGCCCTGCCAGAACTTTGAGCAAGTCCATTCCAATGCGCTGGCCAATGTTCAACTCGGTTGCGTAGAAACCTTAATCATCGACATCACGCTAACCACGGGAATTTGGGTGGTGAAGAAATTCAATACTGGTACATCATGAAATTCCAATATCTGTCATCAATTTGAACTGCTGACGCTGTCACTGGCCATGAGCTGGTATCGAGACTCTCTCCAGGACAGAAACTATGTCATGGTATCCATAGATCCTGGCAACTTCGCAAGGAGTGTTGCCGTTCTCATCTGCTATGGTGAAGTCTGCACCTCGCGACAACAAGAGGTTGACTGCATCTAAATTTCCTGAGCGCGCAGCCAGGCTGAGAGGAGTTCTGCCGAACGCGTCTTTCCAGTCAATGGTGCCTGCATCTCGTTCGTCGAGCAGCCATGATATAAGCGGGACATGACCTTTCATGGAGGCTATATGAAGTGGCGTTCCCTCATCGACCAATAGAACTGTACCGGAAGTTGAAGCAAACATCTTGGCGACCTCGAGATGGCCATGATTAATGGCGGCGTGGAACGGCGTATACCCATGCCAATCAGTGGCAGTGCAAAGAGATGGGTAATGAGATAACAGTAACCGTGTGGTATCTTTCTGCCCACATCCTGCTGCATAGTGTAAAGCGTTGCGCTTTTGGTTGTCCTGTGCCTTAGGATCGGCGCCCAATTCCAGAAGCGTTCTCACAATGCCACAATACCCGCGCGCTACAGCATGGAGAAGCGGCGTCCAAGAGCTTTCATCTGTGATGTGAATTGTCGAATTTATGTCTACACGACTGAGGATGCTGGCCTTTTCGATTACACAACTGATATTTCGGATGCTGGCAATGTGAAGGATTGTGTATCCACAAGGGCCACGTTTAGTAGCTACGCTGAGGAAGTCGCCACTATCCATGGTTGGTATGAGTTGTTCGATGTCTTCTTGATCTGCAGTCCAAATTAATGCTTGTAGAGTATTGTTCCCCCAAATATCTAATCCTTCAAGTGAGAAAGTTGGGAAGTGCCGCATCAAGAGGCCCGATATCCGAGCGTCTCCGTTGAAAGGGAAGCTAACTTCGCAGGGGTCTATGTATACGTAAGTTTCCAAATATTCAAGCTGTTTGATGCGCATCATGTAGCTTTTACAAGCCTCGATATAGTGCCTGATAGCATCGATCATATCTTCAGGAACAACATCTCGGGTATCCATGGCGCGCAGGAGACATTCCCGCATAGTGAGTTCAATGTCGAGTCGGCCAGACAATTTGCAACCATCCAAAAGAGCTTTCAACATTGTTTCAGATTCCACGGGCTCGACGTCCGCGTAGTCATTGAAGCGACGACTTATCACGCGAGATACCACTGAAAATGCGGCTTGTCTGACCAGTGGGGAAGGGGATTGTAATAGTCGCGAGACCTCTTCGGATATCATCCTCTTCCTTTGTTGGACCGCCGGTTCGAGACCTGAGAAGTCAAACATCATGTGTTGATGTTCCTTGGCTTTGATTGTAGTGTTTAATCTTGATGCGTAGTCTGCGCACCGCTGAAGCCAAGATAGCTCCAATTCCCTGGGGTCATTCAGCGAATGCCATAATGAGCTTGTGCTATAAAATCTTACCACTTTTCACATTCTTTGAGGTCATGCGATTCCTTGTCCTCAGGACGGCCTGTCTCTTCCGGTGAAGCTCTATTTGCTTCTGACCCCAAACCGGGTTTTGTCGCCTTGAGATTTATGTTTTCTGAGCACTCCAGGTCCATGCTTTCACAACGGCGGCATTTTTGCGGCCACAATCGATCCGGTGGATCACACTTACTCGATTAACAAGACTGGCCATTTTGGTATCTCCCAAAGAGTTTACGTACTCGTTTTTTATCCTTCCGACAGTCCTTGCATTTGGAATAGTTGAGCCTCCTTCTTTTGGAGCCGCCGACATTCATTTCCACGTTGGCACTGCGGTATGTCTCGAGCTCACAAGTTTGCTTGAGGGCTTGCTTTACTTCAAGTGTGTTGCAGAGCTGTTGCTCGAAAAGGTAGGCCGAATGAAGTGGGCGATGGGCGACGTAGTAAATGATGGATGGAACAATTTGCTTCCTTTATCAGACTATCAGAGCGCGATATTCTGCGCCAGCTTTACGAACCGGCTTTTACCTGACGGGAAAAAAAGAAATCAAGACTTGACCCGACACAATTAGCAGCGCGGTGACAGGGCGGGCCATGCATGACTGATGTGGTGAGCTTCAGCTGACCAGGACCCAGGGCATCGCATTGCTTCGCAGTCGTCTTATTGGTGGTCGCACTGTCGCACTGATCGCACTGTCGCACTGATCGCACTGTCGCAGTTG